ACAGGCTAAGCGAAAAAAAAATTACGTGAGGGTGTGAACGCGACTAGTCGCCGGCCCTCCTGTGTCACTTCAGTCACTCCTCCCAGCCTCTCCCAGGCAAAAACATCGATCGGATTATGTGAAAGCCGTATTATAGGAACCGGTGGAGGAAATTAGCGGTAAAGAACAGGGAATCATTGTATCTCCATTTACGTTATGCTTTTGCAAGGGATGTGTCCATAAATGCTCTCAACTGCAGCAACGGGTAGGAAGCGAACCACTGACAGCATCATAGAAAGACAGACAGACTGGACAGGACCATAAGTGATCTCTGTAGTTTCGAGGAAGCCTACTGATGAGTATCACATGGCTTCCAACTAGGTTTATTTGAATTTATAGGCGATTTCTTCTAACGGCCACAATTGGCACCGGTACCGGCCGATGGTTATGAAGAAAACATCGGCCATCGGCCCACCGGCCAAATGTAGCCACCGGTACAGCCCTACTTTAGAGGAATCTAAATGAATGATGTCGACGGGGTTCCCCTTAATTCTTGTACCCGTAACTCGGCGGTTCTCAAACTCGGAGAACCGAGTTCTCCATGTTCATAACGTCCATGTTCATTTTTCCATGTTCATAACGGGACAGTCCTTCCCTACATTATGAATGTAGGAAAATAATATTTCTTTAGAATCGATTTAAAGAAGTGCTTTCAATCGAGAGATGTTTTTGCCTTTTCCATTCTCGATGAATGGAAACGAAAAATCAATAATATATTAATTGAAAAATTGGTGGCAATTCAACGAATATTAAAAACATAGATAACAGTCACATAACTGCATGAATGTGTCTTAAGGTCGCCAAGTGAATGTCTTTAATTATCTGATACGTATAAATATATATAAATGAGAAATTATTAAGCAATGACCTGGGTGGCTTTTTCGCATTTTCATCTCGGGTGGCTTTTTTCCGCTTTTGTCAATTCTGGGGGTCTTTTTCCGGGTGGCTNGTGACGCAATTATTAAAATTGTCGTTAACTCTTGATGAGCTGTCATCGTATATTTTTACCGGAGGGACCATTTTGTCCTATATCTCATTAGGGGTCAAAATGTCCGGGGCCATTTTGTCCTAGGAAGATATTATTCGGGGCCAAAATGTCCGGGGCCCTTTTGTCCGGGGCCATTTTGTCCTGGATTCCCCTTCCGAACGTTCACAAATGACAGCATCCTAATCAACAACTTATTAAAGGATCATCATTGTACTTGGACTGAGGAGTACTCTCTACCCGTGACTTTGGGAACTTGAGTGAGTTCTGATTGCGCAAAAGGTTTCGTTCCGGCAAGCCATGCGTTGAGGGCATTTACCTTCTGGTGTGTTTGCTGCATGGTTACGCTGCTTATTTGCTGTACGGTTATTTCCAGTTATCAATTCAATGCTTGCGGAAATAAATTGTTGTACATTCAGGAGTTAGCTCGTGGTGCCAAATTCAAAACTATGATGTGTATCTCAGTCCAATTACAGGGGACACTTTAATAAGTAGCTAATAAGGAGGGTTCTTGCTAGAGAACAATCTCCCGAAGGGATGTGTGAATGTCAAGTTCATAGCTTTAGCCAATAGATAATAAAAATGTGTGACCAACCTAGTTAAGATTCCCTCCTACAAGATTGGTAAGACTAACAAGAACGGGGCTTCCTCGCAAGTGTGCTGAGATTCCCACGGGACAGGTTTTTCCTCGAAAATTTTTTGGAAACGATCCCTTACATTTCCATGTGTTTTCCATGACTTTTCCCAGAATGCTCGTTAGACTCACCCACTTGTAGTTACCCGCGTGGCTCTCATTCCCCTTCCTCAGAATCGGTACCATGTTCGCTAATTTTCGGTCCCATGGCACTTTCCCAGCCAAGATGCCATCCTCATATGCGATCATTAACGGTGTCGATACTTCCTTCTCGAGTTCCTTGATGATAGGAACTGATATCCAATCGGGACCGGTTGCATATCCCTGCTTTGACTTTTCTAAAAATTCTACATTTAATCTCTTCCTCTGCGATGACGATAACCTTGATAAACGTGTCGGTGACCTTGATCGTTGTCGGTACGTCATCGGATTCGCTCGTGGAAACGGAAGCAAAGAAAACATTTAGGTCATTCCAAATTCCCCCTTGTTAATGGCCGAACGAATGCTGACTGACATCGATATAATGCCCTTGGGACTATTCCTCGCACTAATCGTTATCCCCCCTACCGCCTCCTGCATTGCTAACCTTATTTCCAGCTTCAATGACCTCGTAGTAGCCTGGTATTCTTCGTACGCCATTTGATTACCAGTCCGACTAAATGAATCTCATATAGACAACAAAGGTAGATTTCAGTGCTGGTTATAATGGAGTAGTCATGATGCATTTCTCTCTCTTTTAAACAACCTGAAAAATTGCTACAGGATTTCCGCAGTGAATTTAAAACCGTATAGCGTATCTGATGGAAGGTCCCTGGTCTGGTTACTTGGGGTGACTAATGGCTGAAATAAACAAGCTGGAAATAATTTATCAGTCGTTAAAACAGTGTTTGCAGCTTTTTTTTAATATGAATTTCTACACTTGTTATTCAGCTTGGGAGTTCGAAGAGCTCCTGGTTATTTCAGAATCCATACCCAACACTCATTTCAAGTCAAAATAGGTTATGTCCACTCGAAACTATAGCAACGGGCGGTGCTGCTTGATCTGCTATAGCCAAAGTGCAAATATGGAATTCCTTCGATAAATGGGGCAGTTACCAGCGATGGTCTAAGAATCCGACTGAAAACACAGCAGCTGGGAATGCAGCAGTTTCCAGCTTCGCCTCTTGATTCCAGCATTTACCTGTACCTTGATGAATTCCGGGTATTTCCACTGCTATCAATTGAATTTTTCCTGCTGGATTCAATGCTATGGCGGTTTAGTGATGGAGTTTGTTCTGAGAAAGGAACGGGCTAGCTGCACGAGGGAGAGGGAGTCAGCATGACATGAGGTACTAAAGGTGAGACTTGTCATAACTAATATACAGTAAATAGGAAGTGATGTGGGAGAGGAAGCCTGCCCAGAGGGAAAGAGATCATTGAACAATCCGGTTCTTGATTCGATTGACCACCTGCAAGAGAAGGTTATGTCTCCTTTACCTCCATGACCTTGGGAAGTATCGGAGCAAGATCTGAGGGCCAAGGAGAGAAAGCCGCCCTGTCGGCCTTGGAATACGAAATCCGTACTTCGAAGCAGTTATTGACTGAGGATACGAGAGCTATCAAGCCCGCTGAGATATTCCAGACGCATTTATCCGTAGGGGGGGGGGGGGGTGAAGAAGGCGATCAGGGAGAATGGAGAGAGGACCTTGATATCACGGCTAGCGCGCAATTTAGAAAGAAGAGACTCACGAGATTGACGTAAGCATCTCGTGTTCCCGCGGAGGCAACAGTGGGCTGAGACTCAATCTTTTCCTCTTTTCTCTCTTCAAATACCACACCACACGTACCACACGTCCCTAGTCTCTATGCGGCGTCAACAGGCTGCTATCTGATAAAAGAAAAATGAAACCTCTAGATCGGGAGTGTCAAACTCAAATCGGTCGACGGGCTGTATTCTTTAACCTGCAAATGCCTGCGGACCGTACCCATAGGCTTGTGTGCGGAGGGTGCAGAGAGCCAATCCAGGCGAAAATTTGAAGAACAGACGGCGGGTCGGATGAACCACCTCCGTGGGCCGTATGCTTCACACCTCTGCTCTAAGATGGAAAATGGTATATGAAAAGAATCAAGCTTTGAATGTATCAAAGTATAAAACATGTGCAAACATTCGCCACTCCGTCGCATCCTCGTAGCCATTACTATATGGGGAAAATGAAACAAGTATCTGAGGAGCAGGACCAGGATACTGAATAGATTATATACCATGACTTACAGAAGAGTATGTGATAAATAATCAGAGATGAAGAGCAGTAGTGCATGCTGTGAAAGTAAAGGATTTCTATGACTGTTTCAGATTTCCCTTCTAATTTTCAATCCGTCGAGGTTCGGTATGTATGAGCTCCGCGCATTAACACTTGATGGCTCTGCTAGACTGGAGGGGTAATGGTTTCATAAGTGACCCATTTGTCGTAATCCACCGAGCAACGTAAGGCATTCGCCCAATCCTTACTATGCTCATCATATGGTGAACATGATAGGCTTACTCTCATGTTTAATGTCACACAGGCAGCTCGATGAGTTGCCAGCCTAATGACATGAGTTCTTTCTCTTGATTGCATGGATGTGGTGATGAGTGGAAATGCGATGCTCGCTTAAGAATCGTTTCTCAGAGAGAGCACAGCTCAATGAGCTTTGTCTTCGCAAGCGAAGTTAACCGGCCGAAGTCTCGTTTCCTTGCTTTTTGGGGGCACGGTCTCTTGATTATTTTATATTCCGTACTTAAAGGTTTTGTACACCTATTTTCTGTATTTTTATTTATTTATTCATAGGAATGAAAAATAAATGGTTTTCATTATATTAATATTTGCAATGCGAAAATGGAAGCAAGCGAAAAGTCGAGATTGGAGTTGCAGCGTGGTGGGCTGAGTGAACGTCAGTCAGTCTATTCACTCATGCATCACATATTGGACTGCTCTCTCAAATAACGAAGCGTTCAAGTCCGAAAACTTGAAGGAGTTTTCTGGTCTAGCCAGTATATTTTTTTTTTAAGAGCCACTTTCACTGCCGTGATTGAAATCCACAAGATATAGTCCCTTTGGAGGGAAAAAGAAAGAAACTGTAACGCTCTCTAATAATTGTTATCAAATTTGTGAGAAATTTTGCATGGGAGAATATACGCTTCAAGTTTGACAGTACCGACTTATCAGTGCATAATTGATAAAATCATTGGCACCGGGAATGTACGGTAAGTACGAGGGTATTAGATGCTCTTCTGAAGGAAGGTAATTGGCAAATTCTTCATCTAGTGATGAAACGCGACTGAAACCATCGAATAGGTTCTCTAGCTTTAAACGCTGCTGATTATTACCTCAAGTTTCGTTCTATTGAAGACACACAGTCAAGTCGCAGCTTCAAATTGCATATTGCAACGGCGCTCAAACTGGCAAGCAAAGCTTGAGAGCCATGAGAAAGATCACTTTCGGACAGGTGATGCATCGCCACAGAAAGAGAACTGGGCGTGGAGATCCACGGCTCTTTGTTGGCGTGCAACGTCGCAACATCGCTTACCTGCGTTTTTTCTGCATTGTTGGAATGCACTCCTGCAAAAAAAAAAAAAAAAAAAAAAAAATATATATATAACATTAAACCAGAAGGATTATGGACAACACCTGTTTAACGTTTCAATCAACAGATATCTGTTCTGTCTACTTCTTCCATACTTTCTTCATATGAAGCTTGTAATCATGCATTGTGAAGATAATAATTACATAATAAAAGACACTTATGCTGAGAAACAAGTTTTATTAACTCTCTGACACTTTGGATACAATTATCTTGATGAAGTATGGTTACAAAGGAAGTGAGGAAAGGTATAAATAATGTCATTGCAGACATTTTCGCCCATTCATCCTTCTTTCAAATTCTTCTTGAAATCTGAAACAGACAATGCGTAGGGAAATTATGACGACAGCGATGGCTACTTTACCCGAACCCTAGTGAACGGATTGCGTCGGTTTAGTACCGAAAATGTTCTTCTGGATGCGTCCCTTCTCGTTGGTTTCGTCTCTTCTTTCCATGTGATGAGGAGGAGACGTTGATTCGTGAGAGCCTCCAGCTGGATTACCCCGGTCAGAATTTCTACGCTCATCCCTTCGGGGATAGGTTGAAGGACCCATGTATGCCCGACCGTCAGTACCGTATCGAGGTCCACTATCCGACCAGTTCAGGTTGCTCCGTGATGTCGTTGTCGTTGTTGTTGTTCCCTCGCCCGTGTATCCCCAGCCGACATTCCCCTTCTGCCAATAATGCGTCGTGTCCGGATAGCTCTTGCATCTGCCGTAGTTAATATTAATCATCGTCCGATACGATATCGATCCGATCCGTTTGACCGTAAAGAACAAGGAAATGAGTACCTGCAGATGATCGGATCGAAGTACTGCCCAGTGGAGCAGGGAACTTCGTGGAGACATTTACAGGAACAGTCTTTGTGGTCCCAGATCTTATACGATAGCCTCTGACAGTCTCGTTGTTCCTGGAGGTTCACGCATTCGCATACACAGTCCCGGAAAATCTGATTTTTCCCGCAATCCTATTACGTGGAAAGTCAAAAGATTAGGCAGTGTCTGATGCCAGAGACAGGAAATTGTAGGAAACTCACGGCCGCGGTCATTCTGCAGTCACAGCCACAAGAGACGTGACTTTCTACCTCGACCAGAATCTTTTCCGGAGCGGAACCGTTCAAAGGTAGAGCCAGGACCTACGCAACATGAACAGGAGCAAGAAGCCCGAAGCCCTATCATCTCATGAACCGCTGCTATAACTATCAGTTGATAAAGGCTTCAATAGATGCCGCAAGTAGACGTACGTGAAAGTGAAGGGGCTCGGTACGAGTCGGTAGGCAGGAAAGGAGATCATGTTGGCAGCATCCACCACATTGAGGTATCCTCGTGCACTCCGGCACAAAGATTACCCCTGGGTCATTCGGCAAAGGTAATTTCACTGTTTTATCTTCCGGTTGACAGGGTGCACTCCTGGCGAAAGTCACTCCTCCACCGCCCATGCCACCTGCAGTTCAAATCTTTAAATTTGACTCCGGCATATTTTTATTTCACTTCTACTCATGGAAAGAGCCATTCATGGGTGAAGGAGTAATCTGGGAAAATGTCAAACTCTGTTGAAAAAAAATTATGCAAGGTTCTGTAACATATCAGATTAATATTTACAACTCTCTGAATGACTTCGGCGCTTATCCTTGCAATAATGCTACAGAAGAAAATATGTAAATGCACTTGAGAGGGCATCTCCTTTTTTTTGAGACCGTGATTTTCGTTCGTCTCATGCAATCCTGTTTTTATCGGTTTCTATCTATGCATGCAAGTTGCCAAGTCGTTTCATTTTTCATGCAGTACACTCCTTATTTGGTGCAGCAGTCGCATGCAGACAAGACGAAATTCTAGGAGGACGACACGTTTCGCATTAAAAGGCATGCTCTTCAAAATCGAAGGACGATTCATCTGTGGCGTTTACTTTCCTCATGCTTTGTTTCCATCTCTTGTTGTTAGTGAAGATGAGGATCAGAGATGAATATCATTTCAGGGTTTCTAATATCAATACTGAACACCAGTGGCGGCTCGTGATATTCAGCGCTAGTGGTTCGTCTATGTAGAGGGGGTAGGCAGGGGAGGGCGCTGCTTACCTCCTCTCCATAGACGAACCACTAGCTCTAAATATCATGAGCCGCCACTTCTGAGCACATAAGTATGATCGAGACGGAATGTCCTTTATCCTTTATATTTCGTTACATTTCGTTCAGTAGTTTATTTCACATGCAGTCCTGCAGCAGCAATCATGCCAAATGCAAGTGAACGCATGGGCATGAAATCAAAACCGATCGATTTACCTACTTCTCCCGAATGTCGAGCCGAATGGACTCCCTGAATGCAAAAAAAGAGACATAAGTGTAACAGTGATGAAAGGGAACCCGCCAATGAAGACGAAATAGAGAAGGAGAAATCATGACAAAAGAACTGAAGAAAAAGAGAAACAGAAGAAAAAGCATCTCACTTAGTGGACTGACGGAAACTTCTCGTATCCCTATGACTGCAGAAGAGGAAAGAGACAAACTCTTTTCCTGGGACAGCAAGGTTAACATCTCCTCCAACGAACCAGCTCTCCCCAATCTCCTTGCTATGTCGACAGTCAGCTATCGAGTGAAGGAAAAATATATTATGGATAAACATCAGATGAATCAAGCTTTGAATGCATCGAAGTAAGAAATTTGAAAATGGTCACCCCTCCAAATTGCGGAGGACTTCTCTTGTCTGGGTGAAATTCAATGATAGACGAAGCACCATACTCACGTTCACCATCACTTTCACGTCCCCATCGCCATTCCGGATGGGCGTAAACGAAGAAGAATCTGAGGAGGACGAGGCCACCGAAGAGAACATATACCATGGTTCACAGCAGTACGAAGGAGGCTCAGGGATGAAGTGCGGTTTGAATAGGAGTAGAGATGAGCCGAATGCCTGTTTGGGATTCCCCTTCCAGCTTCCCCTCTCCAACCCATCGACGTTTGGTATGTATACACACACACACGCACGCATACACAGGGTGAGACAGGAACAGAAAAAAAGGAACATGACATCATTAGTAGAGGCCTCGTCCTGTCACATTTTAGAAGTCTGGAGTGAAGGGTATATCGCGAACGAGCGTTCATGCGTTCCGGCGTTCATTTCCCGTACCCGATAAAAGCATCCGGAATGAGCAAAAGCTAGAGAAGAGGGAAGGGGAGGAGAAAAAGTTGAGGAATAAGAATGCCTCATTGTCGGGCTGGAATCCGTGCTGCCGCGGAATTCTCCCTCGGGGAATACGAAGGAAGGAATTATATCATGGACCGTAAACGTCATGGTACGGCAGGCTCCGATGAACGACTCGTGATTGTTGCTCGTTAAGGGATGTGGAAGCTCTCGATGATATCATCCATGATTTACAGCTACCAGACTGGCGCAAATGAACCATGGAGACTTGCCTCTCGTGCGTCGGGGCATCGAGAGTACGTTCGTGGAAAGAATTTACGTAGCGTTCGTTTTCTCAGCCAGTCTGCCTTCGTGACGTCACAGTCCAGACGACAGTTCTCGGAACGTTCGGTCAGGGTCACGTGGCCAGAGAGTAAAACATAGCGTGGGCGTCCTGACATAAAATTAAGCGTAACCTATTAACCTTGATTTTGCGCCGAAAATGGAAGAGTGATAATTTGGGACGACGAAATGGGAGAAAGCATCGAAGAATAAGAGCGCTTATTTCCAGATTTATGTATCGAAAAATGGCTTTCAATGTGCTAAGAGATAGAGAAGACGATTGAGAAGAACGTCACGTGATTATATACACTTGGGAATCGAGCCAAAGGCAGTCGCGGCTGAGGCGACTCACTGGGAGTTTCCGAACGGGCCATTACGTCAACTATGGCATCATCTCAGTGGGCTGGGAAAACAAACGCAACCTTTCTCCAGTTTTCTCGGACTAGAATCGAAATACGCAGTAAGGACCTGTGTCGCTCGACCATAGTCCGAAAAGAGGATGCGATTTGGCGTGGAGGAATTCGAAGCGGACGCCACGAGAGATAATAGTCTACTATTAAGAGGGACTGAAAGTGAACAGTCAATCCGATTTCGCTGTGCAATATTTAAAGTAAGTGTTTGGTTATTACGAATCCGTCCAGTTGGCCTGGCCAGATGAAGCCTGAAAGTTTGCGATTCCTGAAAGAAATGAGGAGGTCTCTTGAAACATGCAGTTTTGAAAATTTAATTTGAAATTAAGTCATAATGTTATGTGTGAAGCTTTCTTTTACTTGGAGGATGGATTTCCAGTAAATTAAAACTGTACTCGGTATATCATCATGCTCGCTCCACTGCAAAGGCACTAAAATAATTGACTAGTATGATTTTGCTACTCGGCTCACTGCAACCGTATGTAAAACAACCACAACTCTGTGAACTTCGGCAGTAAACTCCGACAGTCGCAGTAATTGAAATGCAGTCATTCGCATTCAGTGTGCATCATCCTCTATCCTCAACTGTTTTGAGGGCTTCTCTGAATTAGATTGCATCAGCATGCTCCCGAGCCAGCAGGATTTCAAGGAAAATGGAAATTCCAAGATTTACTATAATCCAGGCCTCCACAAATGTCGATTTCTTTGATTCTATTTGCCGTAAGACTGAAAAAATCACGAGAGGCTCATTCTCGAGCGGGATCACTCATGGTTTCGACCAGTGGCCCAATATGTTGATGATTGGCAAGGTGAGCCCTCAACAGAACAAGTAAGAAGGGAAAGGAAACCGCAGTTAAGCCCCACTTTTCATTGGAAGCAGCCATGTTGAATTGGACAGAGGCAAGCCTCCCACTCAGGATATTTTTAAAAGTCGTAACTTTTCCATGCCTCACCAGAACCGAATGTATGTATGTATGTATGTGCTACCAAAACGACCTTGGAATGCTCTTTCATAGACATATAGGGCATATTTTATAGTGGACTATCATAGATTAAATCTGAGGTTTAAATTCACAAAAAACGATACTATTTGGTGATTCGACATGGATTTCCTTCCTGAGAAATGATGAACACAAAAATGATACTTATGACATAAAACTGCACCAACGAAGGATCCTGGAATGCCATTTTGGTTTTGTTCTGCTGATCCCCACGAAAGATCAAAGTTGTTTTGAACTTATTGATTGATTTTGAAATTGCCTTGATTTTGAAAAAAAAAAATATATATATAATTAAGTTTTTATAAAATTGGTACTTTGTGATACTTTTATTGTACTGTCTCAGGCCTTCCATGTGAGCAGACACACATTTCTAGATGTATTATTTTCTGAGTCATGAAAATGCCCCTTGGAGTTACATGTGGGCATAATCTAAAGCTTAAAAAATCATGCCTCGTGAACGTTCTGGGAGAAAAAAAGCTAAAAAATTTGGCATTTTGAAGTTTTTCTAAGCCCATGGCTTCTAAATGTGGATTTTCTCCTTCATTTCTGAGATGGTCTAGTTTTACTTATCAGTTGGTACGGAATGATCCCACTGGGAAACAGAAGATCATCAGGAAACACACTGAAACCGTTCCTGCAGCTGTGAAGAAAAAGGATTGCCATCATCAGCTCCGCAAATCCCAAGCACATGACCCAAGTCACGTGCTTCACTGGGCGCATTCAATTATGACCCGGGTCATGACTCGAGGTTCATGTTTCTCGGCAGGTGCGGCGCTTTTCATAAACTATTATACCCAGGATTGATTACATTGACAAGAGGTGTCACTATGGACACTTTGAAATTGGAGTAAAAATTTGGAGAAATATGGAGTAAAAATTTATTTTGAAGCCTCAATGCAAGCGTTGATCTGAGACCCTCGAGTCATGACTCGGGTCACAACTGAATGCGCCCACTATCACCCAATATCTATTGGGTCAGGTCATGGCTGAATCACAAATACGAAAAGCAAAGCTGTATTAGAAACTGTATTAGCCTTAATTTGCAGTAAGTCAGGAGAAATGACAAAGGTCTTCGAGGTTCTCCTGCGTTTGAACAGTATGAAGTAGCGAAATATCCTCACAGCCAAACATTTCTTTACTTTTCTGGTTTCCCTGGAAACATGAAATTCTGCCGCACCAGGCACCACCACCGTGCTTGTTGCTCGCCTATGCTAAATTTAATCTAAACCTGGCCTGAAAGGATACACTCGCAGCAAAAAGCATCCAAAGGAGCCTGTTGTCCCTCACCTGTGCTGAATTAACGAACGTATACACAGGGTGGGGGGGATAAAATAGGAATTACTCATCAGTGCAGGAAGAGTGCACGGAATGGGGGGAGGAAGGGGGTTCAGGGGTATCGCACCCCTTCTTCGTCCCTGCTATCCTCTCCCACCCCTCTGCTTCTACTAGCCCCCTCTTTCCGTGGGGGATTGGGAGGAGGTGGGCCTAGAACATGCCTTACCCAGAGCCTAATCGTTAATTAGACCCTGCCTCGCCTACATTAAATCTAAATCTAAACTAAGTCTGGAAGTTCATTCACGCTAACGGCACCATGGCAACCAGTGAGAAAAATCTCTGTTGGCGAGAGGGTTTAAATTCATTTACATGAGTTCGTGTTGAGAATGCGAGATTGGGAATTTGATAACCAGGCCCTGGGAAACTGAAGATACATTCCACACCCTCCGGACATGGTGACATGGGAGTATCAGAAACAATGGGGGGCTATCAACCAATCAACTACACATCCCCCCCCCTTCCTTTGCCATTGGAAATTCGGTAAAATCACGTCTTTTCCGTAAGTTATAACCGAATTGTGACTGGTCTCCACTGTAACCTAGAAGCGTTAAGTGAAAGAGCGAATAGACACCATAATACAGTGTGACACAAAAGTCACTTGACAAATGAGAAAACAAAAAAACTTTGTCTAAAATCTTTGTTTGCGACCCCAACTTTTTGCAACATGTGATGTTTACTGATGAATGTCTCTTCTTCTTGGATGGTCATGCTCCCACACAGAATGCGCGTTACTGGTCCCAGACTAACCCAGCTTGGATGCACCAATCGAACAAACTTGGTGCTGAGAAGGTGATGGTGTGGTGTGGTCTGCTTGGTGACATGGTAGTGGGATCACACTTCTTCGAAGGGGATCACCTGACCTCACTCCCCCGGATTTCTTCCTCTGGGGCTATGTTAAACAGCATGTGTTTATGACGGAACCTGCATCCCTCAAAGACCTTAAAGACCGCATCACTCATGTTCTTCAGCAAATCAAACCAGCAACACTAGCCCCTGTCAGAAATGAACTAAAGAATCGTTTGGAGCACTGCATTGTGGTTCACGGAGAACACTGAGCATCTCCGCTAGTTCAGAAATTACGATTTTAGGCAAGGGATTTTTTTCTCATTTGTCAAGTTACTTTTGTGTCACACTGTAGAAGTGGATTGACCGATTCCAATAAGCTGTCGGACTGGTCCGACATGACCACTGACTTTTGCTGCCGGCAGGGTAGGGCACCCGAGTGGAAAGGGTTAAAGTGAAAACAATGTAGGAGGACCTTGTTCGGAATTCGTCTCCATTGAACATTCCAGAGGATTAAGCCGCTCTCTGATAGTCCTCCTGCAGGTTGATTCAGGATGATGTTTAAAAACTTCTTTCTTAATTAGTTTCCATTTTCACCGTGGCAAAATGACGAGAGGCAAGAAAAATAAGGCCCACTGCGGCAAAACAGCGTGATGAACTACCCTCGAGAATACGCTTAGGGAGATACACCTGCTATGGAACAAGTTTATTTTTTTTTAAGATTAAGAGAGAAATGAACTGATTGCATTCTGTGCATGTCACAAATCAGTTTAATGATGAGTTCAACCCATTCTTAAACATACTTTCCTGGAATGAAATCAGTTTAACTCCTAAATCGATATGATGCATGTCACCCTGAGTCGGGCCATTCTAAAAATATTCCCCTTTTGGACAACCTTTTCTGTACAAGTCTGAGCTAGGAATGGACTTTTTGCTTTTAGACTTTGATGAAGTTTAGCTCTGGCGAGAAACAGACCTTGGCTGCTTTTGCAATGTGTTCAGGTCAAATTTAGATTTAGATTAAGTTCAGCAGAGACGAGGAACAGACCCCTGGAGAAAAGACTTGGAGAAAGCTACGAGTTATTAGCTCGTAAGCTCGTAAGTTCCCAAGGGATTCGTATTGTGGCTGAACTAAGATTATTGAACCGGGAGAAGAGATACATTCAGATTGTTGCATTGAGGAGATCCCGAAGTCCTCTTTATAGGAATATGTGCCTCGACTAATTCCTGGAAAGCGAAGATGCAGACGGTGTCATCAGAACAGCACCCCAAGCCAAACTTATAATTTCCAGCATCAAATTTCTCTTCACTCAGAACTTTATGGGTGACATGCACCACATTGGTTTAGGAGCTAAACTAATCTAATTCCAGAAAAATATATTTAAGAATGAGCTGAACTCATCGCTAAACTGATTTGTGGCATGCACCAAATGCAATCAGATTTATTTCTCTCTTAAACAAATCTTCAAAGATAAACTTGTTCCATGGCAAGTTTATCTTCCTAAACGGATTCTCAGAGGTAGTTTAGTATGCTATTTTCTGGAGTGGGTCTCAGTTTTCTTGCCTCTCATCATCTAGCAACGGTGGAAATGGAAACTAATGAAGAGATAGACGTTTTGGACATGATCCTGAACCAACCTGAAAAAATTATCAGAGATCGGCTCAATCCTCTTGAATGTCAATGGATACGAATTCGAACAAGGTTTCGTCTTTCCGCAGACACCGTCGCCGACTTGGTGCGAACAATAGAGCAGAAGCTGACACATAGTATTGATCATTCTCTTTCCGAGTGCACCCATACCGCTTTTAATCGCGTTTAAGTCGTGAATAAACGTGTCCATGGAAACTAATCTGATTTTCGGTGGTGCATGTCAAAGATAAATACATTCTTAAACATGCTTTGTAAATGTGTTTATCCCCTCTTTAAACAAATCCAATGCCTCAGTTGGTACATGTCACTAGAGGTGTGCGTGAGTCCCGCTTCACGCGTGACTCACGACTATTTTCGTGAGTCGTTACTCGTACGGAGCATCGGTGAAGGCCCTTATCGTGATCGTGATGCGCACAGAATTCACTCGCTCGTGATCGTGAGTTTTTTTAAATTTATTTCGGCGGAGTTACTTTGCCAGTTTTTAACTCTTCCAGACACATGCCACAGTTTGGATATGACTCTTCCATTCTAGCTCTTTGAAGTTCCAACCCTTGGGAACGTCCGAAACTTCATTTTCTCATGCAAGCTTTTTCCTGGAGCCATGGAGAATCCGAAAAAACTTGTTTTGTCTGTCAATCATTCGCCGCCTGAAAGCAGATTTCCCCTGTTAGGCCATTGCACGGCCGAGCTTGCTATGCATATGAAGTGCTCTGTGTTCTCATAAGTTCCACCCCAAGCATGAGGGTTTTTTTCCAGGTGCTCCGCGGATTCTGGATCAATCTCTGAATGTTTGGACATGATTTTTCTCTACAAGAACTTGCGAACAAGTAACTACACGTAAATCAAGTATCATCCGGTTACTACACAGTTTCTTACTATTTACTATTTTTAAATGCAATAACTGAAGAAAATATTAATTTACATCATTTTGAAAGGGGAAAGGAAGGGTCAACTGTCACGTGTGACACTACTCACGAAGTATCACGCGTGGTTTTCCGTGAGTTCAATTCACTATCGTAATGATCGTGCGTACCCGTGAATCTCAAGTGATATTGAATCAATGGATTGCATGAACATGAGTGACAACACGGTTTTTCTCTCGTGATCGTGAGTGATCGTTAGTAAAAAAATCACTCACGCGCACACCTCTACATGTCACCCTATGAAAGACGTTAGTCCGTTCTTCCAAGTGGAATAGAAAGAATGGAGGCTCGTCAGGGGAGGCAAGGGAGGCCTGGCCTCATCAAAAATTCGGATACACTTTCCCCTACAACTTGGAAATATCCATATATACATCAAATATCAGAAAGAAATCTCTCAAAACCATTGGATTCACTCTGAATTGATGAAAACGAGCAAACTCCGGTCTCTTGACAGTCGACTATTGCCCAGAATCGTGCATTGGAGGCCAGGGTAGGAGCATCAGTATCACGTAGTAAGCGAAATACAAGTAGTATACGTGAGCGAGAGGTCAACCTCACCGTCTGTATTGCGCATGAGCGGGTGCCTGCTAGCAAGCCCTAGTACGTCTTTTATACACATTTGCCTTAAGTAGAGAGCTGCTCGGACATCTGAATTCGCATTGACAATTTCTATCTACGCAGTCGCAAATGATGGAAAAGTCACTAGATATATTCTACATAATCATGATATTCCAGATGCAATTTTGTTTGGGAGAAGTTCTGAAACTCGCAAGGGGAGAATTTCATCAGACCGATACTTTTCTTCTCGAACCAGATGCATCTCTACTCTCCTTCAAGTTTTCGATGACGTATCAATTCCTGCTCTGCTTTCATTTCGATTTAATATACACTACCAGCATGGAACGTTCTCGTTCAGTCTCTCATTTGCTAACAGCCACTTCATGAAGTGCGACTCATCAGGCTACAAGACAGACTTAAATACACCTTTCGTGCTTCATGCTCCCATTAGTACTACAATTAATTCTAGTTAATTATGAAGATCATGTGCTGGCCCCCCAGATTTTTCGTCCACGAGCTGCTACTGAATAGAATATTTCTTACCTTTTAATTATTTATGTAAATATGGAAATTCATGAATCTTACTTGAGCCAAATTTCCCGTTGCATCCTCTGTCCCTTCCCTCATCTCTCGAGGCGTCAATGTTTACATCTGGTTTGGGCAACATGTTCACGAAAAAGTGAATTCTTGCCTGATTCGAAAAGCCTGGGATTTATGAAAGTACTAATTATCCACTTTATTTGTCTCATTGGGATTTTAGTGCTACTTTTGATTATGCTTTTTTTCCCAATCATGGATCAGTATGACCAAGTTGTGACACCTCGACAGGTTTTCGAGCTTGCTATGGAAAACTCCATGAAAGTGAGTGGTGGTGCAGGGACAATCAAGAGTTCAATCGCGGTCACGATCAAGTTTTCTGCTGCTGAGTTCTCGAGAATTATGCTTATAAAGACGAGGATTCTTGCGAACTGAGAGAATCTACTATTTATTTTTCTTGCTTCTTGAATGAAAATTCGAGGGGAGTGTATTTTTATCGTATGGAGATTGTACTGTTTGTCGCCAGTGACCCGTCTGGAAAAGGACACAGGAGACTGACACGAACGGAGAAAGAAAGGAGTATGGAGATGAGTTTGGAAGGCTTGGGATGGAAAATGAAAGCCAAAACAGGGTTCCATGAATGGATTCATGAAGGTGAATCTCGGATTTACTACCCAATGAAGGGCAAGCAAAATGCTACGACGCAGGACGTCAGTGGAGGTAGGCGCTTTTAGGTGGTGCATGCCTCCGAAATAGACCAATGGAACCGAGTTCCTGTTTACGGGATTTAGCAGACGTGAGCAGGTTGAGAAAAGAGGTTTCTGCATTCTGGGTTTCGAGAAATCAGTACTCGATCTGAAGACCGTGCGGGACCATGTATTACGCGTTACACGTGAGGCGTCAGTCCCGCGGGTCACCCACGCCCACATTCAACGGTCAGACAGCCTTCCCGCGGGACTCGTGAGTCTGAAGGACGATAGGAGGGCCTTCCGCTCAGCCTGACAGTCCTCAGTCGGCTCTCTCCAGTTCCAGAGGGGAAAGAAAGTCGGACGGACGCACCTCCATTTCATCGTTTCCATTCTTTTTCCGTGACACGTGCAGAGTGACACGCATTGAGTGACGTAATTCACCATGACCTGCCCCTTCATGAACGGGTGAGTGACTGAATCATGAATGCTCATTATAGCAATCCACAATACTAATGTAGGCGTTCCAGTGCTTCGGCAAAACGTGACGATTCGGCAGATTCGAGTGAGTCTATCGTGCTCAAAAGTTTTGGTTTGGAATCAACTAGCCGTGATACGAGACCGTTTTTAGTCATTCCAGTTCAATGCACGCCCAGGGTCAGATTACCCTGTGAAGCCCGAAAGGGCTTTCACCTCTTTCATCAGAAACAGAACAGTCTGATGCAAGTGTAGAACGAGTTTTCCCTCCGGCCAAGGCGTGGAGGGTTGCAACTCTTCAGGAGTGACAGATTCATGGATGAACCTTGGTTTTGAACCGTTAGGAGGAATTGTAATGAACGTCATGGGCGATCCCTTCAGTTGGAATGCAGACGTGCGTTGGCTTTCCATATTTTCTCCCCCTCGCTCCTTCCCCCGACGGTCTTTCAACGACTGGAAAGAGAGAGAAAAAATGCTTGTTCCGTATGTACCCGCTGTCTTGAAAGCAAGTAGAAACGATTAAGGAGCATTTCTCTCACGGATTCGTAAATTTCGAGAGCAATCCAGTTGAAGGAAGTTGCATGAGTTGTGCGCCTGAGCGCAGCGTACGTCGACCTCGTTGATTGCTTTCCCATGTGGGAAACAGACATGGCAATGAACGGGAATGTTCCCATCCGACATTCGCGTGAAATAGAGCGAATTATCTCTCCGAATTTGCGAGGATAATGAGATGATTCCCTTACAGGGAAGTCGGAGTTCCTCCTCCGATGGCAGAAGAATCGATGCCGATGACTTCACCAGGAAGATACAAAGGTAGGAATCGAGAGGGAGAGAAAGGAGGGATGTATTATGGAGAATACTTGCAACTAGATAAAGTCCTCGATGCTCAACGACTCCTTTCTGAATCGCACGGAAACCTCGTCCACGATGAACATCTCTTCATCATCACCCATCAAGGTTTCTTTCTCTTTCATCATCCGCTGATATCGTTTTTATTTTTATCTTTCCTTCGCGTGCTGACATGGGGATTCCCTCTTTCCCCCCTCCCCTCGCTAGCCCATGAGTTATGGTTCAAGCAAATCATCTACGAAATCGACTCAGTTCGCTATGTATTTAGCACCGAGGTCTGTCCAATCATTTCCCTGCATTAAATAATAGAAGCAGACGACATCCCATAGTAGTCCTCCTTTTCTTTTGCGCAGAACCTGGACGATACCAAGATGTTGGAGATTATCAAACGGATGAATAGAGTCGTTCAGATCCTGAAGGTTACGTTTTTTCTTACGATAGATGACTTCTATATGACGATTTTTTAAATAACTTTTTTTATATTGATATTTTGATATTAGCTTTTGGGAGATCACATATTGATCCTGGAGACGATGACACCGCTGGATTTCTTCGAATTCCGGGATTACCTTGCACCTGGTTCCGGATTCCAGAGTCTTCAATTTCGGCTCCTGGAGAACAAACTCGGTTTGAAACAGGTCATTATTACTTTCCTCCTTTCTCATATCATGCAAGAGGAAAATTTTCAGTTGAATTTGCACCCGGGAATTTTTCGATTGAAGGTCAGTTGGGGGAGGGGGGCTGCTTATCGACTGTCAGTCCTACCTTATCTCGGTTTCAGATCCATCCGTCACGCTCCAACTTGAAAATTTTCCAGCACCCTATGTCCCTTGTGATTATTCCCCCTTCGATGCGCCTGATTGAAGTGTTCCCAACTCCTCGAGTGCTTCTCATGCTATCCATCAGAAACATTAAAATCCGATGTTCCCCTATAATCCATTCCGCGGCACTGGTACCACCGTTTCAAGGAGAGAAAAAGGCGTTGGGCATGTTGAGTTCGGAATCGGACTGTCAAAACATATCATATCTCGTATCGCTTTTTAATATATTCAACCAGGACAGGATTCTTTCAATATTTATGGCCTTCCGAAAGATAACCGCATCTGGTTGGAGGGAGTCCAGTAGATATATCAGCCATTTTTCGGAGCCCCCCTTTCTGTCTCATAGTCTTTTGATGAGCTCAGCAAATCACGACTGCTCCACGTATACAAAAACAGTCAGTAAGAGTGATGCTAGTTTCACAGCCGACTTACGTCAGCCCAAGCATGCTTGCCTCAGGATGGAAACACGTAACCCAATCAAGACGATCACCGTAAAAAGAAAACAAGCAAAAAAAAAAGGGGGGGTGGAGGGCCTTGAAAAAGTCTTTCCCTCATTTCCATCCTGGTCGGAGTGGAATTTCTTCCTCAGTAAGGGAAGGGGATCTCATATTCCAATCTCCGGTTACCAAACTAGTCAACGCTCCGGCTAGAATTTCCTCACGAATAATGATCATGCGTGCCACCGCCGCCATCCATTTACTTTTGTAGAGTTAGGGTGGATTTTTTAACAGGGAAATATCCGATGATGCAGCTTTATTCCAGGGAAAATGCATGATATCTCCTGGAAATAAAGCAACATTATAGGATAGTTCTCTGTTCAAAAATCCACCAAAATCTAGAACCAAACCGCAACTAAACAGCCGTTTTGAAATCAGTCATAGACTGGTCAGTTGAGTTGCCATAGATATAGGGTCACCCCAGTGGCGTATTTTGGCTGAAGGTTCGGGGGGGGGGGGGGTGTGCAGGGTAACAGAGTGGGGTCGTCAAACCCCACCCAAGCGATATCAGGGGAGAAAATTATTACCTCCAAGGGAACTCCAGACACTGTCCCCGGGGCGGCTGTCCCCCTCCCCGTAAAATACGCCACTGGGTCAACTATTTCCAGTTCGGATAGATTTTGGTTAAAATAGTCAGTAGCCCGGGCAAAAGCACGGAAAACTTAAAGGCAAAGAATGCGAACATAGCCATAGGGGGGCCGGGGGTGGGGCGGTCACCACAACCCCCACCCCCTAGATCCGCCACTGGCTGGACATACGAAGAGACAGGGCGCGACAAAACACCCCTAATTTCTCGAATTTCTGCCCCTGTGCTTCGTTAATCGACATGTCAAAGACAAGTCGGACGGGTAACTGATACCGAGCGAAGATGAAGGGCAGCCCAAAGATCAAAACGTTAGGGTAAAACGGTAAAACTCGGAACATCTGAAGGTTGAGTCGAACGCACAAACCATGTGTATTCGATTCAACCTTAAGGTGTTCGGGTTTTGCCATTTTACCCTACCTTAAATCGCCACTTTGCATGCAAAGTGGTATGTTGACTTTAATTGGCGGCCTCACGCTGCGCTACGGACATCACAACCCACCGCGCACGCTTCCGAACGTCAGTGGCCTTCGCCCACGCTGCGTGAGCCTATTACTAGGGCTACGGAAGAGCACACGCAACTGCGTCGTGTGCGTACGCGTATGTCTTGTGTGTGTGCGCGCGCGCATGCCACCGACCACTACCACCACCACCACGGACCACAGTAGATTTGTTATACAGACTTTATTACATAGATTCTAAGAAAGTGGGCTTGAAGTTCAGTTCAGTTCTGAGACTAATAAAAAAAAAAGTGATCCGTGGGGCAGAAGGCCAACATTGCGCTGGAAGCCGGGAAGTTTGAATGACTCATAGTGATTCCCGGAAACCAGAAGTCACTGAGTCATTCCAACCATAGGACGACCTCGCGCCAACTGGCATTAACACCTTTAAAAATAAATGAGTTCACTTTTTTTGCTCTTTGTTCTACTTTGGGTTCAACCAAATTAGGCTCGAGTTTAGCACGAATTTGGATCTTTCATCATCTTCCTAGTTTTGTTCGGGCTCGAAAGAAATAGAGGGTACTCCGGTTCGAGTTCAGTTTGATTCGGCTTCGAACATTCCAATCCGATCTCTAATATCCATGTTATCCTCGTCGGTCGAGGGATTTGGACAGAACAGTGTAGAATGACGTCATAATACCATATTTCTCTAAAGTGCCGAAAAAATATCTGAATTAGACGATTCCTCATTGTTCTTGTAGGAGTTCCGGATTCGGCACAGTACCTCAGGCTACAAGGAGACTATTGCGCAAACCCTGGGGGATGAGGCAGTGAGGGAGTTGGAAAAATCTGAGACAGATCCATCCTTGGCCACTTTGGTCGAGAGATGGTTGGAAAGAACTCCGGGACTCAAAGATCAAGGAGGATTTGATTTCTGGAAGAAATTCAAGGCCATCGTGGAAGCCAGCCTCTATCGACAGAAGACGGCCGCTGAGGTTCGTATTGAATAACCCCGCTTACTCCAATACATGGGTTATATCAATACTTATGGGGGCGCAGAAAGAAATTCTATTCGAAGGTGACTGCCGAGGGAAATGTGATAGTCTTTTTTGTAGTTCTGTAATCTGATGACCTAAAAACATCAGAACTTCAAATAATAATAAAAATAAATCTGATGTTTCTTTTACAATTTTGTGGAGTCTGAGGACCTTATTTGCTAGTGTGGACACCACTGCTGCTCTTCTACCTTAATTTTATTAAGGTTTGTGTGTGGAGGGAGGGAGGCCCTTTTCCTCATCCTCTAGATCAGTGGTTCTCAACCTTCCTTTTACTCCCATTGAACCTTCATGCATTCGGGGGAGTGACACCTCCCAGGTTGAGAACCACTGCTCTAGATACTTGAGAGACGAACTAAATCGGGTGGGTATGGGAATGCGACTTCAGGCAGAGGCTGAGGAGAAGACGAAGGAGGAGATGCTGTTGGAGTGGAGACGGAGTCGGGACCAGTATGCGAGCATCTTCGACGAGGACATTCACAACGCACTTACGAAGAGAGGAGAACGCCGATTCTCGCTGCAGGCCTTGCAAGGAGCCCTCATGATCTCCTTCTATCGTGATGTCCCTCGTTTTAATCAACCCTTTCAGCTTCTGAATCTCCTCATGGACATCGACTCACTCATCACAAAGTGGAGATGTAAGTTTACCTTCGTCTCTCATTTCCATCCGTTCTTTCAACCTTTTCCATCGGACTTACTAGTACTTTGTTCTTGGGTTTCCTTTCGCTCTTCGAAAGACAATCACACGATGCTGGTTCAACGAATGATCGGCTCGCAGCAACTTGGGACTGGCGGCTCTACAGGATATCAGTACTTGCGATCCACGTTGGGGTGAGTCGCAGAAAACATCTAACTGAATCTGAATTTTAGATCAAGAGTGGGGAATTTAATTTTTTTTCTCGTCTTCTTTTGTCTGGGATTAGAGACAGATACAAGGTGTTCATCGACCTCTTCAACCTGTCCACTTTCATCATCCCGAGAGACAGCATCCCGCCTCTGACTCCCAGGATGCGGAAGAATCTTTCCATCGGCTGGGGGCCCGAGGATGAAAAAGATTAACCCTTCTGGTCAGCAGCAACTAATTCTCCGTTGTTCATCTCATTCTAAAGCATTTGAGTATTGACCAAGCCTTCAAGACTATACCAACGAACTCGGTAAATTTCGTTACAAATATATGATATTTTGAAGCCGAGGAGGAATTAAAACTGATATATCCCAGTGTTCACAAGTCAGTAACGTCCTTGAAGTGACATTACATTCCATTGACATCATGTATTCATAACATTGAATATAATGACTAAGTTTAAGTAAAATTGATTTTCTTGGAAACCCTCAGTAACTTTACTCGGCTGTGAATCGCATAGGTAAGATATAGCATACCCCTCATCATTCCAAAATCATCCTTTGACTTTACCGTATGTACAAAGGGTAATAGAAATCACCACTAAGCCATTCATAGGGTATTAATTATTCCCTATTCGCAAAATACCAAAAGATCGAATTTGATTGAAAGTAATGATTGGGGTTTGTCAACTCATATTTCGCGAAGTACAGTACAATCAATCAATCAGTCATCGTTTCACAGGGAAATACCAGTTTTTGCCATAATCAGGGATAGTTAATAATTGATAAATGATTGCTCATGAAGTTTTGCATCTATTCTTTTATTAGTTATCCTTAATCAACCATGCTAAATGAGTATTAATGTGAATATTCAGGATCACAATTTTGGAGGCGTTTTCTATATTTCATGAGATTTCCCAGCAAAAAAAAAAAATTGCAGTTAAGCAAAAATAGGTGTTTGTCATACCACTTCAAATCATTAGAGTAGATATGACATGCTTGTCACTGTCATCAGTCCAAGAGCCTGAGTAAAGAAAGGGTTTGGTGGTGGATTTGTCATTGTTTCATACTTTTTAGATGTAATAAACTGTGGATATTAAATAAATATTCAGAAAATCAATTGACCATTTACTTTATATTTAACTTGAATAATCAAGGGATTAGTCATTATCCAGTCTCTTCATGTCCTTGTGGTTCATCATTCTTACTCCTGATTCTCCTTAAATTTGACAAGGTTTCACAAGGTAGTGTCCAATCCAATTAGCAGAATCTCTTCATAACAAGTGTGAATCTCATCCCAGGTTTCTTTCTGTATCCTGCAAGCCACAACTTCAACTTGCTCATGGGACCTTATCATGGTGGCTCAAAGGATGCCCCACTGCAGGGCTATAATCCATACACTACTTCAGTGTAAACCAGTAAAATATTTTTTAAAAAAATAAGGAGAATACAAAAATAGTTAAGGACTTTTGAGACCCCCTGCATAATGGTTCTTGGCGAGCTTCTGATGTTTTGCATATTATATACTACCAACAAAATCCCCCACACCTCATGCAAAATGATTTTTAAAATTTGCATAACCTTTCATTCACCTCTGCTGTCCACCACCACCACTTGATCCAAGGGATGTCAGATGGGAATATGGTGCAAGGTCATCATGAAATAGGTAGGAAGCATATTGATTCTTGTGCCCAGCGATTTGCAGCAGATATGAAAGTCGATGGTAAACACTAACTCTACTAGTGATCTGACAGTCTGGTAGAGGATACTTGAATGCAGATATTTACACTCAGACTGAGGATTTCAATGAACTGTTGCCTAGCACCTCACCTTGATGATTTTCAGGGGTCAAGGACTCCATAAAACAGTGAAGAAAAGTACCTAACATCATGAATTAATATGAGGAAATCCAAGAAATGACTCTTTTTTTTGTACATATAGGGAAAGAATGCTGTACAATCATAATTTGCTGTGTAATATATATTTATTGAATATTTGTGCATGCTTTTTTTAATATATAAAAGCAGTATCACTTTCAAATTCCAAGTAAATGCCACATCACAGGGAAAGTGACTAGGGGATGGGAATTTGTAAAAGTTGATGGAAAAGATACAGACAATATGTATGTACCTCCAAATTTGGACATTTCTTTGAAAGCAGAAGTCATGATAGCCCAACTCAAGATTCTATGGGTATTTGAAAAGGTGCTCCCTATTTCCAAAATCATGTAGTTTCAAGAAAGGAGAGGAACACCTTAACATCTCAGCAGAAATTTGCTGTTGGAGCATTACCATGGTTCCAGCTCAAACAGCTCTAAGAACACATTCCAAATTTCAACAGAGATGCCAGCACCTCAAATGTATTTATAGAGGATGGATGAAACTTGTTTTCTCTCCTGTAGTTGAAAGTATTGGGAATGGAAAATTTGGAGTGACTTATCATAAAGTGTGCATAAAGTCACAGCACACCCTATGTTGCAACACTTAATGAGTATTGACCTATGGTCACTGAGCAGTGACCATAGGTGCAGTGACTTCTCAAAATAGCCACCAGTAACACAGAAACCTTATTGTGGCTAGAAGAGAAGATTTACAAACTAGTAGAAATCACAGCACCAGAATGGCAATGAGGACTCTGGAACAGAACTCAAAAACGAAGAGAAAAAAAATGAATATAGGATGAAATTCCATCAGGAACACAATCTGACACAAGAATAAAAACAAAAGCCTTGTTTTGCTTTATTTTTATTCCATTCCAATCTTCCTCATGAAATGATGCTCTCTTTACATGGGTCACCACATAATGAGAGCATCATGACAACCAGGAATATTTGATCTGATAGTGGGAGGTTGAATTGATGGAATCTGGTATACAAAAGATTGTTACTGTTGACATTAGAAAGGGTGATGAGAGATCAACAGGATTTGGCAACATGAATTCTAATCTACCAGCTGGTACTGAGCTCAATCATAACAAAACAGTTGGACCACCACCTCTTGCTTCAAATGATGCTCACTAGATCACATATTTATCCTTTCCTTCACACTGTCCACATGATGAACGAAATAAGAAATTGCTAACTGAAGCCTTTGTCATTCAACATAAAAAGCATTTCTCATTCCACTGGTAAATGAACTCCTAAATAAAAAAATTGAACTACTCAGCAGAATTAAAGAGGCTGGAATGAAACAAAAGAACAGACTGAAAACCAGTATTTGGCTATTAAAATGTCCTGGAATTAAGAGCAAGAAAGTCCCTCAATGTAGCTCCAGTTTCAATTAGGTAGCAGTAAAAAAATGGTATATCTTTGATATACATCAAGCTACACTATCATCACAGTATTTGGAGTACAATGGAAGCTCATGGGATTGAGGAATAATGCAATATGGATTATGCTCACACATTTTAAAGTCTGACAAAAATTGCCAGCATGGAACATATCCATACAAAATCCATATCTATTGGATAAAAAATTATTCCAAGACTTAAAATGAAGCTTTGGGAATTGTTCTGATATATCCCATAGCTCTTAAGCACACAGAGGATGGAAACATGCAGTCATGGTTATATCACCATGTAACCATATTTTGTACAATGCAAGCAGAAATATGAAGGCAGCAACATGGTTATCACAGTTTGAGGAATGCTGAGAGAAGACATCAGCTAAATCATTCATGGTAGAACATCCAAGGAGGCTACCTCCAATGCGATGCCTAAAAGGAAAAATAAAACACATATGAATCTGTGATACAACAAGCTCTACGGATAAATGATGTACTGAATATCCTGTTACTAATAGGTATGCAGCCACTTCACAGGATGTCTGATCTGGTCTGATTAGGGATGAATCACCAGCTGAGATGGGAGGGGAGGGACAAGGATCAAGCAATTTTGTCTGGGAAGCAAAAAGAAAAGCTAAAATGGAATTGGGAGAAGGGAATTGGCTTCCTTTCCCTAAGTTCTTCCAACAATGTCTGCCTTATCCTTTGTAGAAAGGAAGTGAGAGAGAATTAATGTTGGAGCTGATGGGATTGCTGCATTAAAAAAGGTGAGATAACTCACATGCACAATTATCCAGTTTTAAATGAGGATGTGCCCTAGGATACCCAGTACATCACTACTGAGGACTTAAGGACTACTTTCTTTTGTTGAGAACTGACCACATTGATTGCTGCCAATTGCAATATGTAGATATCCATCAAGTCCAAATTTTGTTCCCCAGGAATTTCTGACAATGTAGTAGGGGACATCACCAGTCTTGTCATAGCCAACTATTTGTACTGCATGATTCAAATTACTCTCACAGTGGTACTGAATGATACCACCCAGATAGTCCTGCCAGGAAGTCCCATCAACAGCCACAGCAACTGGACCATGACTAGCCAACAACTCCAGGATTCCATCTTCCTGTCCTTCAAAGCTGATACCATACCAAAATCCACTTGCATGACTCTTCAGTTTTTCCAGGTTTTTCAATCCAATAAAAAAGACTCACTTTTTGCATGTGAAATTTGATGCAACACGAATCCCTGTCTTGGGTCTGAAAGAAATAACACTGTGATAGGCAGTGTGAAACTAATTTCACAAAGCTGATTTAAGGGACTGACTCACTTCTGAAGAAGGGAACATAAGGAAAAGGATCAAGGTGTTCAAGGATCCATGAACAGCATTAGGGATATATTTCAAGGACAGTCAATCCTCACATGCACATGAAAAAAACTTCTACAATCCTCCAAGTAGGTGAATCAAGACTCACTTGGGTAGTTGACATTTCCCATCCAGAAGAGTGAGAGGATACTTTCCCTCTGAGACAACTGGAGTGTTTGTCTCTACAAGCCAGTTCAAGGCTGTGCATGTGTTCCCTCCAGCACAGCCCTGATTTCCATTTTCTGCACAGTCAATTATCTGTAATTTTGATATCACTGAATGTTATAACAATTTCAAATTAAGGATGAAAAATAATTAATTGTTGGAGGATGAAGAATACCTGTTGAACACTGAGTGATTGAAGAGGAGCTCCATGAATAGCATTCATTGTTTCAATGCACTCTACTATGCTGAATGCCCAACAAGCTCCGCAATTTCCTTGATCTTTGATTGCTGTAATGACATTCTTCTCTCTCCTGCATGAATGAAGACATCATTCTCTCTTATTCTGAGACTACTAGTGAGTAGCCATGAGCATTATTGCACTAGAGACCAAACTTAAGTTCAAATTAATCAGTATTAAGTCAATAATGATTCTGAAGGTGCAATGATGAATGCAGATGCAAAGATAAGTTCTTGTAAACATCAATATAATGATATTGCTATCCATTAACTTCATTATACAGGGTGGGCCATGAAAAGATAATGGTTTTTCTTTTGTTATATGTTGACTACCAGTAAAGACAGCTGCATAATCTATGACTGGGAGCTGCAATAGGATGTGGAAAAATTGTTGAGTGTATGTTTGGACATGTAGGTTAACCTATTGAGGAGTGAGTTTGTTGGCAACTTGGAGGCTTTTCTATAATAGCATAGTTTGATGTTTCAGGGGCAATAACCAGGATAAAACCTTTCACTTATTTTAAAAACATGTTTGGAAGTATCCTTAGAAAATTTCAGTTACAACATTTGTGTAGATTTATTGGAATTTGATCAAATTAAAATATCAGGTTTAATATAACTTTTGAGTGATCCATTAAATGAATTAAAGAGACAGTATTGATTTATGTCAATTTTAAACTTAATTCTGTAATAATTGCTGAGGTAGATATGCAAAATCCTACCATTCACCTTTTTCAACTACCATTTCTCAAAAATTCTATCCAATGAAAACACATTGCCCAAGTTTTTTGCTTTCAAATGCAGGTAAAAGTGATGGCTAAGGATCATTTTCCACCATTCCTGCCAGTTATATGGATCATCTTGAAATCCTTATCAAATGTTATCCAATCTAGATCCCTCCCTTATTGTTCACATAGATGCCTTCTGTACGAACAACGTATACCCAAGTTTTGGAAATTACTTTTAATCCCTCCCTTGGATTGCTGCTATTGTCATATGTTTGCTTTCTTCTTGATGCCATGGCTAACAGCTCACTGATCAACTATACCCTGTGTAAATAATAAATGCATTTCTTGACCTAAATTGAGGCCTAGTGTTACTCATTAAAGTTCCTTGACTTGCAGAAAGATAGCAAAAGTTGCCATGATCGTTTTAAACCAAACCGCAAATATACAGGCATATTACAGTGCACGAAAACCTATGCCCCTAAATATATGGGCATACTCTGGCAGGCACACTGGCGCTACCCATAAATATACAGGCATACTCTTCAAAGGGTTAAGGAACATCTGACAATACAGTAAAAGAAAAAAATTGTGCTGATGTACATGGAGACAAAGAGTGTGACTATTTCACAATGATGCAATCCCCTGGTGGGTAATTATCACTAGGGAGTGATAATTGCCCACCAGGGGATTACATAACAAATAGGAGCAGTGAGCTCCAGCCAGCAAAAGCAGCTAGTGTAACAGTAGTTCCACCAGGATTGGGCCCCTCGTCAAATAAGATCTTCTTGCTATCAGTGTTCTGGGAAGAGGAGAGAAATGTATCCTACCAGAAACGAGTGGACATTGGGAGGCACCCACAAATAAGAAGGTGCCTAGATTCTTGTGCCACAGCAAACTCCTCTGTACATGTAGCCTTTCATTCTTATTTCAACATTTAAAAAAGTTTTTCCACTGAACATATCCAAACAGAATTCTTATTATCTTAGTAACAGAATAAGTCAAGCCATTATGCAAAACTTCATCACACAAATCCTCATATTTCAAGAGTTTTGGAAAATTAATCCCATTAATAAGAATGAAACCTATCTTCCTGCTTTTGTTTAGATACAGTCTGAGGGAAATAAATAAATACAAAGTCAAAAGAAGGAAATATGCTTCACAAAAACTACAGTTGACATACCAATCAAACTTCTCAGGGGTTTTGATAGCCTTGAGGAGCTGAGGTGGTTTTCCTAGATTTTGTCTTGGCTGGTACTTGAGTAAGTGCCTTTTGGTAAATTCATCAGGAGACAGGTCAGAAAAGGGTGTGATACCATAAACAGCATCTCTTGTTGATGTCCTCCGGTTATTTTGATTCTGTATCCTCTTAAGACTCTCCTGTAGTACAGTATTAAAAAATATTAGCCAGAAGAAAGACACATGCATGATCAAAACTGCAAGATAGCAGGAGCACATTATACCTCAAAATTCTTCAACCTATTGTTGTACTCAGAGGAGCCCTTCTTGTACAATTTGCCATGTTTGACCATGAAATCTTGGAATGTTTCTTCATGATTTGCAATCACTCCATTGTCACCCTTCTTCACGGAGATTGGGATGCCAACAAAGCAGAAAAGGACCATGAGGATGATGAAAACAAGATCCTGTCCCCTAGGAGGTTCCATGCTCTCAAAGTGTCATCCCTATCATCACAATTCATGATGGGATCTAAATCATGCCTGATACAAAGGATTTATACCAATTAATGAAGTCAAAAGCTAGACACGAATAGAGAAGTTCCCCACTGCAGTCTAGCATAATTCCAGACTCATGGGTGTCTCATAGTTCTATGTGCAATCAGGCATAAGGGAAAAATCACTTCAAGATATTCAAGCATGGAGGATTTTATTCCATTCAAGAACTCTTTCATGGGGCAACAAGGTCAGCTTTGCCACCTTTAGCTTCAGAGATTGGATTATCGGGTATGACCTCTTCCTTGGGTTCAACAATAGAAACATGATCGGGAAGAGGCCTCTTCGGTCCATTTTTGCCATTTGGATCCCAGGGCAGCATGATCTTCACCTTGATTCCCAAGACACCTGGTAATACAAATTAAATTCATCTTTCTCAGTCCAAGACAGGAACTGCAGGTAACTCTAAACATTCTATGAAAAATATGGAAAAATAATCAGTAATAAAACTTTAACAAGAGAAGGAATACACATTAGGTCATATCAGGCTAAGAGGGGCATCAACAAAAGATCAGAAGAAATCACTGAATATTAATGCTCTTTTCATCATATATCCTTTCATGCATTAAACTTAAAGCCTGTTTGTGAACTCTCTCCAGTGACTGACATTTAACTTTCTTACACCATGACTTAGGGTGAATTTTGGCTCCCCCTTGATCAGGTCACTGAACCAAAGCATCTTGTAACTGAAGACCAAATTCCTTTGACCTGCCATATAACTTGCATACTTAAAGATTGCAGACTACTCATGATCATGTGGTTGTTTTGAATTTCAAGAACTCATCTACTGAAAAGTAGGCTGTTTCTCCATGCCAGGTCTTAATCATAATGCAACATTGCATGCAAGGAGCAACTGTTATGTGATGAATGTACAATATAGGATGGACAGAAGTCACTTAAGCAACTCAAAAAATAAAATATTTTCATTTTAATTTGCTCATGATTGAAGAAAAAAAACCTATACTAAACCATGCTGACATTGGATGAATGGATATGAAGAGTTCTTCGAATAGCCAAGTGAAAAGGCCAAAAGATGATTTCAAATCCCTATCTATTAAAACCTACAATATTAAGGGGGTGCCTAAGAAGTTCAAGATCACAGGATCATAAACAGGGAATTTTTTAGGGATCAATCCAAATACTCATGGCACCTCTTGCACACACTAACTATGGGATGAAAAAGGGCACTTCTTATTTATAGAGGTTTGAATTTGGTGCTGTTCGATCCTTGCAGTCCCACACTAATGACATTTAAATCAAGGAGAAGAGGACAGAAAAGATGGAAACATCAGTCTCATGGGCCTCCACACACACGTGGACAACATCATCAAGGAGGAGGAGGGGGGGGGGGGGGAGTAGCCTCATTAGCCATGACTGATGCTTACAGATATTTTCAGACTTGAGCCTACAGGAGAGGATGCCAATTACATTCCCCTTTGGCATGGTGCTCGGTGATTAACCTCTCAGGTGGTTCCCATCTCATAGGAGACATGGGAACTCTGTACCTTACACAATTCCCACATCATGAGATTTAAAATTAAATTAAATTAAATTAACAAATTTTCCACAATGGATCGTTCATCATAACCACATCTTGATAATAAGGGCAAGACCTACACTTGGAGGAAACTGCAAGCATTAGGGTATTTTCCTTGAGTTATCTTAGAAAGGAATGATGTAATATCACAGCTGGAAAAGGCACAATCCATTTCTTTTCAGCTTATTGGGAGTGTATGGTAGCAGGAGGAAACAGATGTCTGAAAGGTGACTTCTCCTTCAATCAGTGACTGCTCCTTTTGACTTGAGGGTCTCATGGCATTTTGTTCCCTTTGCTCATATCTTTCAACCCCAGGTTTGAACATCAATACTATTCAGACTGAATTTGAACTACTGAAACAGTGAAAAACTTTAACATTGAAAATGGTGCATTTTTACTGTTACTGAAATGCAATTATATGAAGAATGGATTTTGACAACATTGGGATTTATAGTTTATTTCTTGCAGAGCAATATCAACTTTACTTAATTTAGCCCCACCCTATAATTTCATGCCTGTTATTTAAGAAAGTTCCAGACAGTGCAAGCTTATCTTACATGAACAGTTACTGTGAACATTATAACTTTCTGAAACTCTTTTCCTGATCCAGTTGAGCTATTGACAATGAAAATAGAAACATTTGAAGAAATGAAAACACTCAGAAAATACCATAATTATGAAACATCTCTTCTGATAGACAATGGGGGTGCAAAAGTAAGTAACTCAATTCCTGCTATTATAAAACAAATATTAGTCAATGAATTTTGATATTTGCACTCAATGTTCACATTAGCTCACTTACTGTCCTCCTGCAAGAAACATAAGTAAATACAGTTGCTCTACCAGTCCTTACTGCTAAAACACTTACCTTGCCGAAGCAGAACGTGTCGCACAGCAGTATCAACGTAATCATTGGTGGGCTCTCCACTGTGGATCATGAGACCATCAGTGAACTTCATGGATTTGGCTCTCTGACCTCGGAGTTTCCCTGAAACAACCACCTCACATCCCTTGGCTCCACTCTCCATGATGAAACGAAGCACTCCATAGCAAGCCCTATGGGCAATAAAGAGTACAGACATGAATCACAACTTCCTTGCAATGTATCAAGAATAACTCCCACAGATTAAGACTTGTAAAGGAAATGACAAATCGAAGCAAGGATACTCACCTTCGAACAGCCAGACCACCAATGAGCTTATATCGCAGAGACTCTGCTTGTGCAATTGCACACAGGCCTCGAGTGGCAACCTTTTCTGCATAGAGCTCTACACTTCCTTCTGGGAAGCCAAACCTCTTCTGAACGACAGATGTAAGCTCCCTAATGCGTCTGCCTTTCTCACCCAAAACATTCTGAGTTCGGGTGGCAAGTATGATGATCTCTGTGCGTGTTGGTGTCACACGGACCTGTAAAAGGTAAACTATCTTCATGTGGGCCTTATATTACCCAAGTCAAGAAGCATTCCTATGAAGTCTGTCCTGTCATACTAGCTGACAAAAATTACATATACCATAACAGAATTTTCAGAGTACTGGCCCTGCAAAGAGTAACCATTTTCTTAATATGGACTCAATTCATTTCATGGGAGCTCACGAGGTGCAAAGGTCTTTATGAGATGTACTTCAAGCACAAGCATGATGAATCAAGTCAAAATGCACCACTATACTTGCTATGCCAGGTACAGTGTTACTATCATATATAAAATAATACAATGGCTATCAGTGGCAAAAGACTCATTGCTCTGAAATTCCAGCTAACTCCCACCAACAAACTTCATCTAGGACCATAACCACCTCTACCCTTCAGAGACTCAATTTGGTCTGAGTGGTCACTCAGAGAATAAACTACTAGAGTTCAGCCTGGGATTCTTTAATGTCCAATATCTAGGCAGGAGGGCAATGTGTTCAAACACCTTCTTTTCCAAACACACCAGGGCTTCCATTAGGAAATAATGGCATATATTTGGTTGGTTTTGACCTCAGGTTTCCTGCCACTGAAGCCAAGCTTGCTACCAAGCCATTTGACCCAACTTCAGAAGAAAATGCAAATCTGTGTCTAGGTATAGGTGAAATTTCTTTGTTTGAGTGGGTGCCTATCCATATCAATGGAAGGCTAAAGTCATCTTAAAATCCTCACTCTTCATACCTCAACTCCACTGTATCCATCCTCAGCCAATTCTCTGGTGAGGAATTCGTTGAGTTCTGCTTTAAAGACTCCATCAGCAACAAACTGGAACATACAGAAAATGCTATGTTATGCATACAATTAAATCATATAGACATATTCAAAGGGTCATATTTAGCTCTATACTTTATTAGTTAAGCCACAAGGGTAACTCAAGTCAAGACTAGACTCAAGGCAAAAACAGAAGTATGATGGCACCAAAATGCAAAACAACTCTTTAAGCATAGCCAGGCCAGAAGTCTCCACAGTCTTCCAAATTCCCTAAATACATCATGGGCAAATCTGACACCAAATAGAACACTCAAGTTTATACACAAGGCATGGGGACACCAAGATGAACATGCATAGGTGAGGGGGTTGCCAGGACTATGAGAAAAGCCCAAGCTCCCATGGGTATAACCTTAACACATTGACTGCCCATCCCAACTCTGAGAATCTCCTGGCTGGGGCTTGCCAGAGGCCCACACCTCATATCGTATCAATCCCCCAAGCCACAGGATTAGAGCGCTAAGGGAAAATGAATGGATTGCTTGCCCAGTTAGCTGGACATAGGCTTCCTGGTCTGGCTAGTTAACTGGACATGGGCAGTGAACATGTTAAACATACACCTGTCAGTCGTCTACAACAAAGGGATAATACTGGGTGAAGCAAAAAAGGAGCCACTCATGAAATTCTGTGATGTGAAATGAACCAGTAGCTAACAACTTTTTCTCCTCCCATACTTCTGTCTCCTTTAAGCACACAAAAATTGCCATCCCTTCATCTACAGCTGTTTTTCCACTCTTCAAAAACAGAATTTTATTTTTGCGATAAAAAAAACTGAATCAAGGACCTGTAGCACTTACTAGAAATGGCAATTCCTTTATGACTCTTTCTTCTCTCCGTAGAAGTCGGCAAACAAATATTTGTTGGACTGCCCCATGAACATCAAAATTTCTAAAAGTGGCACTTATTTTGCCTCATTTGGTTCATATGTTCTTTGATGAAAAGAGTAGAACCTGAAGGATAGGTCAATGTACCATTAGGCATATATCAAGTATAGAGAAAAAAAAAAAGCCTTTGCTTACATTTTTACAAGAATATCAGTCATGGTTACAGTTGCATATATTCCAAGATATCTACACCAACGTCTTTTCTTCCATTGAATGATTTATCAGAATTTTCCACCATCTGGTTCAATCACAGAAGCACTTTGAAAATTGCATGCAAATTATTTCAAAATCTCTATCCTTTGTAGGTCTTTGCAAAAGTGAGTTGCCATTTCACTTGATTGCTTTCTCTCTATCAACTTGCTGATCGAGCCAGTCGTGATCATGGTTTTGTCTAAGACAAATAGCATACAGTCAACACTCAATATAACAAACCTCTATATAACTTATTTTCCTTATAGCACATTTTTTAAGCCTGTCTCTTTGAGTTCATTATATCAAGTGTAGACTGCATATTGAAACATCTTTTCTCGATAAAAGTGTTCAGTGACTTAATTCCTTAGCAAGATCTATTTCAATTTCATATACTATGTCAGACTATGATCAGGAAAGTCATGATATTATAACGTGTACACTGGGGAAAGGATTAATTCCATCTTTATCATGGGAAATATGCCCTCAGTTCCTGGAATGCAAAACAGAAGAAATAACATTGCCTTATGTAAAAAGTGGTATAAATTATTCACAAATCACTATGGGCCATTACTAGACAGGCCATCACAGAAGGCATGTGATGGTCTTCCCACATAAAACTTATAGTAGGTGGAGCACTTTTGAGGTTAATAGATTGATAGATATAAAAGGAAGAGCAGTAGAGAAAATCGAAGTAATGAGTCAGTTATCAAGGGTGTGATGAGTGCCTTCCAGTACGAACTATCTTATACTTAATCTTCTGCTTCTGCCATTGGGATTGAGTTGACATGAGCTGTGTTGTGGAAACCAAATGCTCACATTATGTTGGTAGCTGCACTTTTTCAGCAGTAAGGAGAGGGGAGGAATATGAGGTCATCCATATTCATGTGAATGTGGCTGAATCAGTGACAAAGCTTCATATGGAGTGGAGGATTTAGATTAGTTCTAAAAGAGAAGCAAAAGTGGTGGAGGCTTGATATAGCCTTCCAGAAATCCCTGCAGAGTGCTTGCAATTGGCTGTTAGTAGTGAAGGTAGTCACAAAGAGAAACATTTAGTTATTAATTAATTTGACCAAAAGCAGCAAAGACAACTGATACGAGAACTTTGCTTCATGAACAATAGATCTGTAAGGGTCAGTTCTGATGGCCTTTCGTGGAAACAGCTTAACAGATGTAGCCTAATGTGCTCATACAGAGATCAAGATATTACATAAGTAAATGATGTCATCCTTGATGCCCAATCAGGGTAGATAGACACAGGCATCTCTGGAAGGATATACAGAAACTGATTGCATTTTATGACAGACCCAGGTTTACATTTTCTGTCAGCCTAAGCCAGGCTTGGTATCATCAAGACAAACACCCTTTTTTCCATTCCACAAGTAAAACCCAAAAAGGAATGAAAAATAGCAGCAAAATTAAGAAATTTGATTTTTAATAGGTTAAACAGTTTCCTATTTCGCTTTACTTACTTACATTACATTGCTTTATTATAGTCTCACCATGAGTGATAGAAATTCACATAAGTTGAACTGGACTAATTATGAAAGAATGCTAGCCCTTGCTGGGCTTTGGACCAATGATGACTATATAGCAAGTCCAACATGCAGAAAGGAGGACAAAAAACATTACTTCTCCCTAAAACTTGCTTGCAAAGGGCAGAAGCACAGGAAACTCCTGGCAGCAAGCTACTGAGAAGAACAAGGCAATAACCAATGCCTAGTAAGACGTCATGATGGTTCTCTTTGAGTGGAAATGGTATACTAAAACTTTGGGAATGTTAGTATAGAGCCATGGGAACAACTTAACATCCAAAGGGGGTGAAGATGTTCCGCTTAGTTAACCAAACGCATCCGGTTAACTGAGTGCGAGTAGAGTCACCTGGAATCTCAATTGATTGGGATTCCTATTATATATAATACACACCACACCAACTCCCCTAACCTAACCTGGTCTAACTTAAGGAGAAACACAATATCCCTAAAGGGTACAGCCACCTGGGCAACCCTACGCACTGCATACAGTTAACTGTGTCCGATGGGCAACTGTAAGCGGAATAGAGATATACACCACATTGAGAGATCACTCTTCCTCTGGCAGAAATTTTACATGGACATGAATGAGAACAAGAAATACAGCCTGTGTGCCTGACTTCCTATTATTCATCAAAGATACGAGGCTTTGCTTTTATTTAAACTTCAGTTAGTTCTTTTCGCTTTTTATTTATTTGGAGGGCCGAAGTCATACTCATGCTTGAATAGAGTCTAAGGTCCTTTGCGGCATGACGAAAAGCAATACATTTTCCGATATTAGCCGGTGAAAACCAAGTGAGGAAAGAAAAGGTTTTTACGACTGGAATCTTCCTAAGCAATTTACTAGTTCTGAGCCCTGGCCTAGGCCTACTTAGATACGTGCGAAACCATCAAAGAACAAGAACAGGAAAATTGCTTAAGGACTCACCTTCTTTTTCTTTGACACCTGCTGCGCCATTTTGGACAGGAAGGAAAAAGAATGGCACTTTCGACACAGTCAAAGATCCTATGATAATGCCGTACCCTATCAACCACCGTAACCAAACGGGAATATATTCTTCACCCAATTGCCAAACTTCTATTTCCCGGTGACTTGAATCTGTAGTAACATCGGTTTCCGAGAATAGAGCTGCATTAACATGGCAGGTTGTAGCTGCTGGCGTGTCTTTCTGGGCAAGTGTAAATCTAAATGCTGAACCTGGTGAAGTAATTAGACCAGTGGCGTGCCCAAGGGGGGGGGGATTTTGGGGGTCATAACCCCCCCCCCTTGGGGTCAATTTTACACGTTCGAATCTCATAAATTTTTTTATTTTGCCACAAATACAAGGTTATCAGTTTTCTTACATGTTAACACCCCCCCCATTTGGGGGGGGGGGGGGGGGGGGGGGGGGGGGGGGGCAATTGGGACAATCTGCCCTGGGCCCCACGTATCAAGGGGTTCCAAGGGGGGCCTCCAAAGGGCCTCAAGGGGGCCCTCAAGGGGTCTCCAGTTTAGTTTTGCCCCAGGCCCCTGGAAACCTCTGGGCGACCCGGGGAAAAGGAACTGAAGCTGTCCATCGGTCTCTGTCGAAGCATTCCCAGATTCCATCATCATCAGGACTCCGATTATTAGATATTTCGGCAAATTATTTCAAGAGAAAAAAAAAACAGCGAAAGCGAGAAAAATCCCACAATGTCTAAATTTAAAAGTGACAGCATCAGTCATACATCTACGGAAAGAGCTTGAAGGGACCTTTCATTTGGCAAAAGTTTTCAAGTTTCTATCTTGTTTGAAACATGAATTATAGGCCGTCAAAGCAATGAAAAATTGGACCTTTCAAATTTAATTTGCCGTAGTTTTAAACAAAGTAAGTCGATAAATTAACTATTTCATAATTATTGGCTAGTATTACTAGGTAGCAAAAGTTCATTGTGTTACCGTGATTCCCACTGTTCTAAATTTTTGTGTAAATTATGTAATTTTTTAAGTTTAAAAAATCCATAGCTTCTTTGCAATAAAATTATAGAAAATTAAACCAGTGAAATGTGATTCGGCTTTGTCTCAGCTTTCATTTGAATCCAAAAACCCTTTTCTGGCTCAAATAGGGCCGAAGATTGCCGTTTGACCCATGGAGTTGTGATGGGCTTGAAATAAGCCCGAGGGCATGAACAAGCTTTAAAAGGGGTCCGAAGCCGCACTAGAAGGGTGGCCTGAAAACACCTCCTGGTGGCTGGCCGCGGACCCACCCAAGTCCAAGACTTCGCTCCAACCCCAACGCATCATCAATTATCTCAATACCCCCAATTGTATATGTCCCCACCTTGTATCCTCTTTCTGTAAAGGGCATGCTGTGTAAATAAAAGGTCATTGAACAAAAAAAAACACTAGAGGGGGATTCCACGCCAGACAGTTACACGGAGAAGTTGTGTCTGAGGATTCCATACTGGGCGGACCTCCAGAACAGTTGTGCAGAAGACGAGCACTACGCGCCTTCCAGAGACAAGCCTTCCCTTCTTGCGGGGCATACTCGTCCTGACTTCCTTCAATACACACCAGGACGTGAGAAGTGCAATGTTTCCATATTTACATGATTCTTAATATTGTTAAACTACTCTGTTGATGTTATAATAATCAGTGATTAAAAGGCTCAGGGTGTATAGTGACTGACTCCTGAATCCTTCCTTGTTATCAAATACTAAGGCCGTGGAACAGAGAGATCGAGACCGCCTGGGTCAGAATCACCCGCTACCACTTACCTCCCCTAAACTTATTGCACAGGGATCGGTATCATATAATTATAATAATTTGCCAGCCTCCGAATAGAAACAGTAAAAAGCACACACCGAACCTGTGACAGAGTTATTTTCCCCCTGGTGGGCTAATTTTGCAGTTGAATATCTCGAGAACCGCTTGTGCTAGTGCGGGGTCGGGAACCTATGGCTCATGAGCCGAAAAGTTTGACTCATTGAGTCATGACTAAAATAAATGGTTCTTCCTCATTTTCCTCATGTATCAAAGAATGCACATGTACAGTATGTTGTTAACTTCAGGAAAAATTCTGCTGTTTTGAAAATCTTTGCTCACGAGCTCTTACCTCAATCTTAAAATGGCTCACATGGCCAAAAAGGTTTCCGACCCCTGTAGAGCGTAGAAATTTCGCTTTTCATAACTCAGGGAAGTCATCAGCATTAATCTTTTCAAGCAAATCATTGTCGGACACGCAACCAAAGTATATTATATTAAACCTGAAATTTGACCACTTGAACTGAAATGTCTCTGACTTTCAGTCTCTCTTCGAGACAGTGGATGAGGTCCGAACCATAAGAGCGAGAGCTACGAAGTTCGCTAACCCGAAATCAAGCAAAAATATATATTGGACAGTATCATTCCACCATCACTAGGTCAACAACACTGGATAAAATATGGCGAAAAGGGAAGGGTGCAGGTATTCGCTTTACTTCGATGATTCTAGTCCTCCAAACGGATTGGGGGCCATCTCAGCCACGGGATGTCGTCAAGTGCACGGCAACAGCATTTCAATAACGGAGTACACCTTTCAAAGGTGAATCTCAGGCCTTACTGCAAGGATGTTGAACCGCACACCCCAAAAGATTCACATTGGCAAGGGGTAATGAAAATAGAGCAAATAGGGCCTGCCGATGATGTGAAGGAGAGCAGAAAAGCTCCTCATGGGGATGCTCTTGACCCGTCTAAGAGCTTCTGTTTCCTCTTTTGTCTGGCATCTACATGAATGAGTCTGTTCCAGAGTCCATAGGTGCCGAACCCATGGGGGCGAAGGGGCACGTGCCCCCCAGCAATGTTTTTTTTTTTGAGGGGGGGCAATGCCTCCAGAGAATGGCCTAAGTACAACGAAAGTATGGTACATGGAACATGGGAAACAAAATGCTGTTTCACGAAAGATAGGAAAAATATTATTTTCTTATTTGTTTAGAGCTCCAACTTAATGATCCCCGCCACCATGTAATGGTATGGAGTGGAAGGGCGAGGAGAATCCTGGAACGATTTCGTCAATGTTATATCAGGAGCGTTAGGACTTTGACCCCCTCCCCCCAATATTTTTTAGAAGTCGGCACCTATGCCCGAGTCCATTCTTCATTCGTTCACGATGGCACAATTGCTAGTGCAGCGTGATGAGGAACGTACTTGTTATTCCAAGACTGAACAGGAACTTCAGTTCGTCGGCTTGTTAATTGAATAAAGCTTCGCGAGACAAGAAATGAATGGCCGAAAAATGATGGCCAAAGTACCAACTGACATGAGTTCGTGCGGTAAAGTGACGCGATCGCTTCTTACAGCGTTTTCCCCTTGACTTGGACACCTATGGGATGTTCCTCGTGTCTGAGTCAAGTGAAAAACACTGTATCTCCTCACCGACTTCTGTCCGATATTCGCTAGTTTCATCCTTATTCCTCTCATGGAAAAATTAGGAGTATTAGCCGCACATATGAGATGCTAGATTCCATTTAGGTTTTCATTCGAGATGAACCCGTCGGCCGTCCGAGAAATTAATACGCGTTTCGGTTCAAGGGTTCCAGCGAACCCCGGGTGGATTCGCAATCGGTGAAAAAGAGTTTGATATTTTTGGAGAAAATTCTGATCGCCGCCAACTCCAACCGTACTTAAGAATACGCCACGGAATTCAAAGCAGACCTCCAACAAAAGGAGCTGATTCCCATTAAGGAGACACCTGAGTCTCTGACTTTCATGGGCAAGGGGGTGGTCTGTCGTCGGCGAAATTTATCTTGTTAAGTCGACGTGCCAAGATGGACGAGACGTTTTCCTTTTTGTGAAGACTCAGGGAGGGTGACTAATGGCCTACGTTTAACCTAGTGAATCTCTGCATGGCTCCTGAGGGAATCCTCGATTTCAGGTATGCATGAGAATTGCCTGGAATGGTATACTTTCAATCAAGTAGGTCTAAGAAATGCAGCTTAGTCTCTTCATCCTCACTGACAAGCAATGGAGTTCGCCCTGTTGGGACTCAATGAAGTTCTAGAAAAGTTAAAATTAGGGCTGTACCGATGGCCACATTTGGCCGATTATGATCTCATACCTATTGGCCGGTACTTATTGTAAGATTGAGAAAGTGCGAGGAACTATGACATCAAATATTTACTCAAATAGATCTAATAGGTAGCCATGTTTCAATTTCTTCAAGGGCTGTCTCAAAAACATCGATGTACTGCACTGCATCAACCTGAACTATTGATAATACATCGATGCGCCGGGGGAGGGGAGTTTGCTGGCGGAGTCAGTCATTTCTCGTTGCTTTTGGGGCGAAGGTTTGACTTCGGTCGTTTCCTGCTTGATCGGGGCGCGGATTCCATCATCTCACTTCTCTCAGATTCCATCATCTTTCGTCTGTGATCGGGAAGAGCGGGTGTGACGGTAATGAAACCAGCTATACCTCCAACTATCGAAAATTGCATCGATACATGCACCGGGACAACCCCACTTTTTTCCTATTGCATTTGAGAATCATTTATCGGGGCCCGTTCACGTTTTTTATTTTTTTTTCTTCTTTGGGCATCGGCACCGGCAGCTTGAAAACCTGCCGATAACGTCATGCCGGTGGTTGTGATGCATCGGCACAGCCCCAGCTAAAATCCATCACTTCTGGTGGGAATAGGTGTCTGTTGCAGTTCTTGCTTTCCGTTTGTAGAGCCTCACTATTGAAACTTTTCAGCCTATGTTGGAAAGAATGACTCCAGAAGGGAAATCAGGGAATTAAAAAATGTTCAAATGAGAGAACGCAGTCTTGTGGACAATAATAGCAGTATTCGCTGGTATGAAAGAAGAGAGGCGTTAAGATTCCCTTTGAAAATAAATTAAGTGCAATGCTTATTTGGATGAGTGTAATAAAAATATCAGTTTTATTTTTTTTTTATAATAGGCAAAAATGATCTATGGCATATTTAATCAATGCTATGCACACCATTGTTAGATTGCTAGCTTCAAATCTAGGCATTTTTGTCCATTCACTTTTAAAACTGTACAGGTTCACTGCATTTGCATTTGAAAGGTCATTACAATCACATCCTCTCTTCCAAAGGGTGTAAACATGAAATGGGCTAGGGTGTGAATCAATAAAGTGATGCTGTGGCCATGTGATATAACTGTAGGGGTAAATGCCACATTTTGCACTCATTAACATTAACATTGTTGTCACTATGTTCTTCTCTTCGAGGCGGAAGGGTGTGATTGGGAGGAACGGCGACTCCGATCTCAATGCGAACGGAAGGCGACTGTTGGATCTCAGTTGCAGCAACGGATTATCCATCATGAAGAGAAAAGGACTCCTTGGTGGACAGAGGAGGTCAAAGAAGCTGTCCGGGCAAAGAAGGCAGCCTATCTGGCTTGGCTTAGCAATAAGTCGCCTGATTTGCGTAATCGGTACACTGAGGCGCGAAAAACCTCAGCTCGGATTGTGCGCGAGGCTAAGGCTGAATCCTGGGAAAAGTTTGGTGAGAGACTGGAATCGAACTATAACACGGCAAATAAAGTATTCTGGNCGTGGACAGATTACTCTTTGCAGATGATCTCGTCCTCCTCAGTTCTTCCAAAGGTGACCTCCAGCGCGCACTCGATAGGTTTGCAGCCATGTGCGAAGTGGCTGGGATGAGGATTAGCGTGGCCAAAACTGAGGTATTACTGCTCTCAAGACAGCCTGCTCAGTGCATTCTGCATGTTAGTGGAGTCCCACTGAAGCAGGTGGAGAAGTTTAAGTACCTCGGGGTCGCATTCACGAGTGATGGAAGGCAAGATGTAGAGCTGGACACCCGGATTGCTGCAGCTAGTGCCGTGAGGCGCGAACTGTGGCGGTCTGTGGTGATGAAGCGAGAGCTTGGGAAGAAGGCGAAGCTCTCTGTCTTCAAGTCAGTCTACGTCCCCATCCTTACCTATGGTCATGAATCTTGGGTAATGACCGAAAGAGTGCGATCGCGAGTACAAGCTGCAGAGATGAGATTCCTGAGGGGTGTTGAAGGTGTCACGCTACTCGACAGAGTTCGTAGCACAACCATAAGGGGATCTCTACATGTCGAGCCGCTACTTCTCTGGATTGAGAGATCGCAGTTGCGTTGGTACGGGCACCTAATCCGGATGCCACAGGAAAGTTTTCCCAGACAGCTTCTGTTTGCCAAGCCTGGTGGGAAGAGACCAGTGGGACGACCGAGGACTAGGTGGCTAGACTACATAGAAAACCTCGGATCTTCACGCTTGGATCTACCCACCCAACAACTACGCCTGGTGGCGGAAGATCGTCCCCAGTGGAAGTCCGCCTTAGAGCGTCTGCCCCCACGACCCTAACGGACAGTGGGACAAGAAAATGGATGGATGGATGGATGTTCTTCTGGTGCTTACACTAACCCCTACCAGCTCCTTCGTTGATACATAATGGGAAATGGAAAAATACAGTTGAAATAAATTGAATAGATAAGGGTTGTCTTAAAAGCAGTCAACATGATTAATCAAAGTTTAAATAATAATAAATATTTTATTATTATTTGTATTTACTATTAGCTACTAACAAACTCGCTATTGTCGCGCCTTCGGCGCTCCATTCCCAGGATAGTGATTCAGTCAATAATTTATTTTCAAAGTGGCAAAAACGTATCAAAAGTATGTGCCCTTCGGAATGTGCATCGAGGGAGAACAAACCGATATTTTAATCGGAATAATTACTCCCATTATTTCTTGTGTGCCTAAATTCAAATTTCTTCATAATCTGCCCTGAGGGGGCATATTTGAAAAGTAGGACATGTACTCAGCAATCGGACAGGTATTTCTGCTCCAAGTTTCAACTTTCTTTAGTTCTCTCCTTCATTGAGTCAGAAAAGTTTCGAGAAAAGCACCTTTTGTAAAAAAAAAAAAAAAAGCCCTCAAGCGTTTTACTTGAAAATTAACATTTTTACTGATATTAGTACTCGGAGAACTACGTGCATATCAAGTTTCAGCCTTATCCGTTTGCTCTTTTTGTTGGTGCAAAAACATCTTTGGAAAAGCCAACACAGCCAAAAGCTGTGCCCACAAAACCTGAATTTTTTACTGAACTCACCATCCCCTCAGTTATTGTTATGCCAAGTTTCACATTTCTACCTCTGTACAATTCAGTGGACAAAAAGAATTATTTGAAAACGTCACCCCCCCCCCCAAAAAAAAAATATATATATATGCCCCAGGGCATGTATCCAAAACTTGACATTTTTCCTGAACTCAGAGTCTCAGTAGGTACGTCCATGTCACATTTCAGCTTCCCATGTCTCTCTCTTTGACTGAAGCAAATATACATCATTGAAAACATCTCCCCCCAAAATGGGTACCCCCATGACATGTACCTTCAAAGTCGGATTTTTTCTGAACTCTATTTCCCAAAAGGTTCCTGTGTACCAAGCTTCAGATTTATAACTTCTCTAGAACATGGTTAGAATTAGCGTCAGTCAGTCATGATCATCTATACAGTATATATATATTAGATATGTACGAGGGTCAGTCAACTGAAAACAGGACATTATTTTTTTTTCTCCAAAACATCTTCGCAACCGTATTTTTTCATGTGCCGTTTTCTTTGTCGGCATGTTCCCTAGGGGCATGCACAGCTTTTTTTCTCTGTTTGCACTTTTTTACAGCATGAGATTCTTTCAAACATGGCCTCCGAGGTGTTGGTTTGCACCAAGGAAGAGATACGTTCTGTGATCCGTTTCCTTGTTGCTGAAGGCATTAATGGTAATGAAATTCATCAGAGACTCAAAGCTGTGTATGGTGATCACTGCATTGCAAGGAGCAACGTCTACGAGTGGGTGCAGAAGTTTCAAAGTGGAATAACAAGTGTGAAGGATGCTCCGCGCCCGGGCCAAGCGCACTGCGTAGTGACGTCGGAGACTTGTATGGTGATCACTGCATTGCAAGGAGCAACGTCTACGAGTGGGTGCAGAGGTTTCAAAGTGGAATAACAAGTGTAAAGGATGCTCTGCGCCCGGGCCAAGCGCACTGCGTAGTGACGTCGGAGACCGTAGCACGCGCCGAGGAACTTGTGAAACAAGATCGGCGAATGAAACTAGATGAAATCGCTGCCAACCTGGGTATAAGTCATGGCTCTACCCACCATATCGTTCTCTGGGACTCAATAAAGTGTGTGCGAGATGGATCCCCCGTCTACTGACGGAAGAGATGAAGAGCCAGCGCGAAACCAGTGCGGTTTCCCTGATGAGCCGTTTCGAAGCTGAAGGAGATGCTTTCCTTTTACGAATTGTGACAGGATCGTTGGTTATAGTAACAGTAACTATGGCTTGATTGCAATAAAAACATATCATGGAGAGTGACTGTTGAAGCCATCTATCAAACTGAAGATTTAAACACCACACCAGCTATGATAAAAATACAGTAGCAGAAATTTGCACAGGAAGGCATTGAAGAACGTCAGACTAGACCCATCTTCCTTTTTACAGTGCCAGGAGGAAAAATTTGACCCTTTGAGACCTGATGTCCATGTGTGGACAAAAATTCTAAGACTCAATTAAATAATTATTCTCAGCAGATGAGTTTCCCCTTGTCCACAAATGTGAATGTGCCTCAAAGAGTATTCCTGATTTATTTCCCACTATGGACAAAAAGCAATGAAACATAATTCAAGCGTATAATTGAGATATGCTTAGCATTCTGAGCTATCTGACAAAATAATTTTAAAAAAGACATGGCTATGGATCCAGTGGTTTGAACCCACAATCTAGAGAATACCAGTTCAAAGCACTACTGCTTAGACCACACTGTCATGTTTGGGAAGAACCACCTTGCATGAAAACTACAATATATACCCACATGGCATGGAGACATCCTAAAGACAATTTTTAAGCAAATACTTCTCTACATCCCTAAAGAAATGTCATGACAAAATTGAGTCTTGGAATAACCCAAATGGATCCTTTTCAATGAAAGAATGTCATCCTTGGGATACCTCCTCACCTCAACATTTACGAGACCCTGAGATGTCTCTAAAAGTCATCTATGAGACTTCTTACTTCTCCCTGGGATGTATTAAAAAACTCTGGTTTGCTGGGAGAGTACATATGACAACTAAAATTTAAACCCTCCCTCTATGATCATTATACAGGGCAGAGCATGATATGTTGAAGGTTTTTATTTTATTACAGATGAATTCACAGTATCGACAGTTGGTTAACCTCTTTCAGGGAGCCTCAGTAGGCCATGGAAAATCAGCTGTATGCATTTTTGAACATGGCAGACAATGGGCATCTGACATGACAACAAAAAAGCAAAATCGTGCTTTTGTACATGGAAAATAGAAGTGTGACTGTCACTCAAGGACACTTCAAAGCTTTTCTTTGGAACAAGGTGGTTCCTCCAAGCAGGAACACTATCTTGCACCTTTATAATGAATTTGAACAGGAGGGGAATTTTCAAGAACTGAAATGTAAAGAATTGAAAACCTCAAGGAACTTCGACAAAAAATTTCAGAACTGTGTAGAACCATTGACAAAGAACTCTGTCACTGAGTGGTGAACAACTTCATCCAGCAGTTGAAGGAAATTTGCCATCAAAACGGTGGTCATATTGAACACATTGTTACTGGCAAATGATTCACAAAAAATGTTTCTGTTGCTAATAATTTTCTTAAAATCAACTTAATGAGTGTGCTTTTATTTATAAATAAATAAAAATCAACATCTCATACTCAACCCTGTATGTCCCACTTCCATGGGAAAAATGGAATTCAATATTTAAAAAAGAGAGTATCAGTTCCATATGGCACACATGCTTCTCATCTAAGAAATATTGCTTTCTCAAACCCATTAATTCTGCAAAAGAGATACAATCTGGAGCATAAAGAAGACTCTTCATAATTAGCAAGGTGAGGGGAATGAAGGGTCTTGAAGGCCTTGTATGGGAGAGTAAACCAAGGAGGTCAGGCAGCAAGCATGGAAATAATTGATATGATAAGGATCCACAAAGCATGATTACAGTAGAGTCAGGTTCCATCCCTGACCATTATAAAAAGAAAACTTGCTTCCCCTGGGAGTGAGTTTTCTCTCTATATAGTCATTTATGATTAGTAGATTCCTGGAAGTGTCTCCCCATGGGAGCATAAACATTGAGTAGCACAAAAGTTATGCTTAATTGTAAATGAAAATTTTATTGGGACCTAATTATGAACTTTTTCTGATGTAGATCACAGACTTTGGATTATATCAAAATCAAACTAGTGGTATACATGAAATAATTCAATGTGTGAATTAGAGTGATACTGCTCATCACTGTGGATGTTGTACTGGAGGCATGGGAGGTGCAAAACGCTCAATGAAGTACACAAGTTTGTAAAAAATGTTTCTCAGCACAAGTGGCATGCTGGGCTTGTTGAAGAAATTCTCTCCATGAATGCGCAGGTCATGGAACACTTTCCGAGAATAGGGATTGCGTCGAGAAGAATACCTCAGCGTCAAAAATCGATAATAGATGAATGGGGTCAGCAGTGACGCTCGGCCTCTGCATGAAAAATAATATAGTACTATCAGTTGCAGACTCACTAAATCCACATTACTTATAAATGGTCTATAAATTAGATACAATGGGAAAGAGCTCACGTGAAGATGATGACAATGGTCACAGGCATGAGCATGACCTCAATGAAAGCAATTAGCTGAAGAATGTTGCGGCAATGAAGCTCCACAATGGAGATGAAGAAGCGAGCTATCCACAAGTTGTTCATCCCCATGCACTGAAAAATGAAAAAAAGTAAGCCTTCTTTTGTGAAGACAGTAAATAACCTCACAACAAGAAATGATCACCAAATCAAACTCATTCCTATATAGTATATGAACTTACATCAAGTAGTGTCAGAGAATAGCTGGCAAAATGCACAAGGGCAAAGAAGAAGATGGGCAGGAGCACCACTGTTCACATCAATATATACTTCAAGTTATGGCCAATCAAAGTTGAACAACACAGGAATGTGGGCAAAAAGGTTCCTACTTGTGATTGGTGCAGGATGCATGAAGATGAGCGAGTAGAAAAGGTAGTGGCAACTGTCTTCCATTAGTAAACTGGCAAAAAACTGCCTATTCATCTGGACATGGGGGGTCCTCTGGTGCAGCCTGAGGGCATTTATTGCTGCATTTGCTGCCAGGGCCTTGTAATACATATTGTAGGGATGGCTAAATTGCCAAAAACAAAAAAAAAAATGGTATAAGAGAAGGTAGGACTCCCGAATGTAGTAAATTTAAAATGCTAAATAAGGAAACAGATCTGACCTGAACAGTGGAATGAAGTACCCAAACACAATGACCATAGTGAGTCCTCGAATAGCCCAGAGTGCACAATCAACCTTCTGCTGCTGAAAATGAACCAAAAGGTTGGCCCAGCCTTGAGGCCTTCCTCGTTCTCCTTCATTTGGTGAAGTCTCTTGGGTATCTTCACTACTCATTATGTTACTGAAATGTGAGGGCTAGCAAATGTCACCAGGTTAATATACCTTGGCTACCTAGAGATACACCAGAACCTTAACACATTAATGCCAGGAACCGTAATATTACGTTTTTAAACCCAGTGTTCTGCAGTCGATGGGCCTGAATGTGCTAAGCATCAGAGTAGAAGTCAAACTTGTATATGCATGACAGAGTGCATATTTATGGATATGCCTACATTCATGAAAGTGATTTTAAATTTAAGACACTTCACTAAGGCAGCATTGAACTTATTTCCATCTAAATTGTTTTTGAAGCTGTCATACATGACTGATGTTATCAGATCTGGTTCTTACAATTCCTGAAAAAGCAAAGAATAAAAATAGGATATAAAAATGCAGGCTCTGACTGAGCCAGGATCATCAAATTATAGGATGATCCCTTCATTGCTTCATGCTGCACATGTCACATGCAGGGAAAAAAGGATGTGTGGGTTGTAGGTTTAGGATTGATTACAAGGATGAATAGGAAAGAATAAGGATTGTCAGATTTGGTAGACTAGAGACAAGATATGCTCATGGATTCGGGAAGGAGTCAAATGGTGTGGAATAACATGCAGGAAAGGGGGCAAATGTGTGGGATGGTATGCAGGACAGTCAAGCACCTCGCCAAGGCAAGGAAATGTTGTTCAGGTGTTTGACATAGGTTAGACCTACATCAATCACTGGCTGACTCTGCTCACTGATCTTCTCCCATGCTTCTACTACCTTCTCAATTGCTTTGGCTACCTGTGCTGAACTCTTCACCCTCTCCATGGTGGAATGCAGATGTGAAAGGGAATCATGATTAGTTACAGTAAATTGACTGGTCTTGGTTCCAATCCAAGACCCCACTTGACTGGTCCACTCATTCACTTTCTCCAGCTGTGCTTGAACCTCATCTGAGTCCCAGACCTTTTCCAAAAGGTCCCATAGAGCTGATAATAGAGTGCTTGTGTTGTTCTTCAGCTTATAGAGCATGTCTGCACTCAGATATTTCATAGCTTCATCTGCAAGGTATCTAATGGGGGATGGGGAGGCCTCTGCATACATAGCAAAGTCATCTTCAGGAGGTGAAAAGCCTCCACTGATCCTTACAGCTGAAGAAAAGACTCCATATTGAAAGCGAAAGAACACAAGTGTCCCAAACATCAGAACTGTATATGGACTCTGCTTGCTGTGAAGGGAAGACAGCAGTTCATAAAGAGAATACATTACCTGGAATGAATAATTATTCAGTAACACTCACCACAGTATTCCTAGTATCATGATTGGGAGGAGAATGAGAAGGAGAATGTCAATTCCCATGATGATAGGTGAATGAATCCTGGCTTCCAGGTTTGATAGGTATCCTCCAAGACTCCAACCATATACCTAGTAAGGCAGTGCATGCAATACGTTAAACTATGTTTTTTACTTGAGTTAGAAAATTTTCAATTGAATGAGACACTCATGTATTAAATGCTCCTTGTGCAAGAGTGTCAAAGTCAAGTGAAAAATCGTCCACCTCAAAGAAAAATTGTCCAACTCAAGTTAACGACACTTTAAAAGGGCATAATATATTTTCATCTATGATAAACACCTACACTCAACAATGTCCCCAGGTAGCGAAGCAATTCTGAGGTGAAAAAAAGTAGGATTGGGAATGCTGAGACTGAATGAAGGGAGTTAAGGAAGATACATTTTTGGGTGAGCACAAAAAATAAGCTAAAGATTCAACTATTTCTTGTACTTCTTGAATAAACATGAATCAGATGGAAAAAGACAGTATAACGAGTGACGTCTAAACTATTGGTCTAACTGAAAATATATGTATTTTGAAAATAGATAAGTCACTTTTGATCAGTGGTAATAGCTTTCACCAGAGGTTGCTCTAACATGAACTGGAGGAGGTCACAAGAGAAACCAGAGATTGCAATGATTTTTCAGTCCTTTCACAGCTTGTAATTAATAGTTAATGCCTTAAGCACATTCACCACCACCACCATTCATTCCAAGCTTCCAGGGGCATTAAAAGCAGGTGTGAGAACATTTAAAGGCCATTTCACAATCATGATCATGACATATGAACATATTCTTACATCTTTTTCTCTCTACAACATACAAATAACTTTGCCTCTCTATTTCATACACACTATACCCTCAAACATTTTCATAAATAAAAACATGAACATATAAATTTATTTCTCTTAATTATATAAGATTGTTGCATCATGCATGTGATCACTTTGTAAAGAGGAGGAGGCAAATTTTTTGGAGAGCTCAAGTTCTGAGGCAAGAAGTCAGAATTCTTACAATCAAGAAGTAAATTTCAGGATATATGGAATGGCCCATAAATTTATTCCTTGAGCTTAAAAGGCCTATACTTGAGAGACTTCCTAAGGGGTATTCCCTAGTAATGGCATAGACAAGGCCCTTATGCATCCAGTCCATCAGCAGGCAAAATAAGAGCATTTTTCAAACAAATGAAATGACAAATAAGCCCTTCAATGATACTAAGCATACAAAAGCAGTTTTTTCCATCAGCATAAATACCAACATAATCCCTGCTAAATGTTATTTATAACATGGGAATGCATTAATGCTGCTTGCACATCAGTAATGCCATCATGGTGAAGGATGCAGAGTGTATGTTTCAAACACATATGCAATATTATGCAAATATTAGTACACAGAGACTGTTAGTGACTCAGCACATTGGCTGCTGTCTCCTTCTGCATTGGTGAAAGCTTCAAGATTATCATTCCTTTTTAATATCAACCAAATCCATGCTTCATGTAATTGCACCTTCTCAAGGTACCAGTCACTTCTAGCATAATAGTAATATGGATATTTATCACCCAAAACAAAACTGTCACATCAAATTGTTGAGTAGAGGGAAAAAATGTTTGGCTTCTACTATAGCAGAGTGGCCACATAAAATATGCATGTACTAAGTAAGACATTGAATTTATAAATGGTTCATGCCATCTAGTCAAAATTTAGAATATACAAGCTGTTACAATACTCTTCCTTTGGTGTATTAATTCTTACAGCTGATTAAATTAACTATTCAACTTCACTCCTAGAAAGGACCAAGTTTATCATCACTGAATAGCTTTAAAAAAAAATTTTTTATCTGATAAAGGAGTACACCACACCATGTACCAAAGACTAAAAATCAGAAAGTACCATTGACATTGAATGGTTAAGCTATTACATGTGCTTAAAAATCAGAAAATCCGAGGTCCACCTCAAACAATCTTCTGGTTTTCATTATCCTGGATAGGGTAGTTCTAAGGTTACTGAAACACCAGACACAAAATTTAATAATGTATTATGTCATATCTTAAAGATGGTTTGGTTCAGAAATTCTACTTCAACAGTGCTTTATAGAGCAAAGATACCTGTACCTATTCCAGTCAAAATTTTCTCCCATGGATGAAAAAAAGGAAGGCCATTCAATCATGTTACTGACATAACACAGTTAAGACAATGGTTTTCTTTCTGCTGCTTCCCTTCCAATTTTGTCTGATTTGGCTTGATCTGAAGCATCCATATTTTCAGAAAAGAAGGCATAGACCACCACCTTTCTTCATGCCAAATAAAAAATTTTTGTTGGTCAAAAATGAATTGGCTAGGAGAGTTTTCCAGTGTTAATAATGTAACATATTAGTCAAAGAGTGAGATTCACCAAGCAAGTGTTAAATTCATTTAAATGGAATAGTGCAGGAGCAATGAAAAGCCATCCCACTTTAGGTGGTGAATGTTTAATGGAGCATATTTGGTCCAAGTTTAGTACTCAAACAATGCAGGAAACATAAGTTGTATGACAGTTTTGTAATTCAATTTTGTACCACTTTTCTCCCAATTACTCTGGAACCACCCAATAGGATATTGAAAAGGCAAAATGACCAGGGCCAGAAAGATGAATGTGAGAAATATTTGGAATTCCATTAAAAATATAGAGAAATGGCATCTTGGGTCAAGCCACAAGTGACAAGAGAACCAAGTTGTAAACTATAGGATTGCCTGGAAAATATCAGACAGGAGGTAACCAACACCCTCATTTTCCCAGAAAAAATAAGAGAAGGATACAGAGGTTTTTCCAAGTGAGAAAGAAGAAAATGCAATAGCAGAAGAAGAAGGCCACATCTGTGGTAAAGATATCAACAGCATTTCCTGTTGGCATTCCAATCCCACTTGCTTGAACCCTTTCCAATATTCCCAAAGCACATGCCAAGATCCCCAACAGATATCCTTTGTGATACTGTCGCTTTCCTCTGAAAATAGGCAGAGGTACCATAATGATGTCTATATCCCTCACAAAGAAAGCACAAACCACAACAAAAATTAAAACTAACCCAGTTGCAAGATACTTTAAGAAGTAGTATAGTGAGGCACCAAGGAGACCCACATATGCCATGACTTGATGCTTGCCAAATGCAGACCCAGCAACCAGGCTCTTCCCCATCACTCCACCGGATCCACATGGTCCAGGGTTCAGGGTGCATGTATAAGAGGCACCAGAGCAGAGCTGTCCCAGATGCCCTAGTGTTTCCTGGCATGCTTGCCCTTCATCCCCATGGACATGGACATGAAACGAGATCACTGCCTTTGTTGCACCCAATGCAGCCAAGCCAATGGCAATGGTCATCCACAAGGAGATACAATGACTCATCTTGGTCCATTGGGTATTAAGGAAGGTTGCAATGAGAATATATGACCCAGAATGAATCAAGTTGTGCCCATAATTTGGTCAACTATCAGGAATAAAGGAATGAATTTTATTAATTTTAGGAGTGACAATTTAAAGAATAAGCATGATAAAAAGTTCATGTACTAATTCCTCACATGGGAGTAGAACTATGTCCACATGTCAAGAAAAACTGAGTTTTCTATGGAGCTAACTGCATTCAGCTTCTTCTGAAAACTATTAGTGCATTAATTTCAAGAGTTACCACTCCACATTGTAGTTGAAAATTTATTGAAACTCAAATGGTTTAGGGTCACTCCAACATAACAGGGATGCATAAAAAAAATTGAGAGAATCAACAACAGGGTGAGGGGTGATCAGCAAGAAACTACAAAGAAGGGGTTCCACCAAGCAAAGAAATTCAGACTCTTTTTCACTATTCAAAGTATATAAAGTCATTCTTATGCTTTACAGCGTCGAGTACTTTACTCAAGATAACATGGCCTGGAGGCCTTCTCTTTCTGTTCCTAGGCTAACATCTGAGTGTCTACTGTATAAAAGGTTTGAAAAAACCTTTTATCAGGCCAAAAAAGTAATTTCCAAAAATTAACAGGGTAAGAATTTAATTAGAACCAAGCAGCTGGTAGCAGCACACATGCCATTACAGAAGCTTCAGAAGTACCAGGATATCATCGGGAAAAAACCATGCCTACTCCAAATGAAAAATGGTTGATTGAATCTACTTCAAATTGATTAAATCTAAGTTAAGTTGCATCGAATACTATGACCTATCCATTACCAGGATGTGGTCTTGAGAACAAAGGCTAATTCCTGACAAATTGTTTGAAACTCAGCAAATCATGCACAAAAGAGACTTAGTTCAAGATCTTCTATGGGTCAGAAACAAGCATAATTTTTTATTATAAAACTTTAGAACTATATAATCACAAAAAAGAATCAGTGCTTCCATCAGTGGATAAAATGCACATAAAAAATAGGTGTTGTCTGCAATTGATTAATATTGCTTTAAATTTCATTGCTGGCTAGAGCAAGCAACACCCCTCACCTAAAGTAGTAGCTCCAATAATAAAAAACTAAGAGTTAAATAGCAAATACAACCTATGCAATGATCATCAATAATATCAAAGATGTACAAAGCTACCTTGACACCTCATATATAACCAATAAATCATCTAAAATGCGAGTACTGCTGTAAAATCAGTCAGAAAAAAGCAAATGATGCATCAATACATCAAAAACCAGTACTTTATTTGTATAGTCTATCTCTATGGATGAAGAAGCGAGGCACATTAGAAACAGGACTGAATATAAAATCTACAAGGTGAGGAAAATAATTGCATCATCCTTTCAGATCAACAACTCAAATGAGATATTTTTTCTTAAAGGAAGAAGGTATAAATAGATTTAAATCTTATCCAGAAGGCCTACTTCCCAAATTTTTCAAGTCAACTCACCCTGCCTACTGTGAGGCATTCCATGGATATCACATGGAATGTGAGTTGGTAAGTTATTCAGATCCACTGCTTGGTCATGTAGGGGTAAACTGTTGAATCAAAAGCTCTGGGCAAATGAATAAAAGATGCAAAATAATTCACTCTATGTTGTAAGATAAACTCCATCCCATACTGACTTACTAGATTCTAGCCTATGAGTACCTGACTGAAAAAAGTAGACCCAATAGGATAAAAACTTTCTGAACCAATGAAACATATATCGTGCCAAATTGTGGTGCATATTCATCAGGATAAGTGATCACATGGATTTTGACGGATTCTTCATGAGACTTCAATCACTGGGTGAGGGCAAATTTAGAGTCTTCCTCACTAAATGATGTGCAATTTTCTTGAACTGCTCTGGATCATCTCGCCACATTTTTGCAGCATCGACATTTGCACCACTCTCAGCATTTGGCTCAGCAAGAATGCTGACAACTGAAAGGAGAATCTTCTCAACACTCTGAACTGGACTCCATCGCTCAGAACTTGATTCATAGCCCATTGGATCATCACCAGGTGCATGTAGAATAGAAATACACACCCTTCCATCAGGGTAGACATTTGGGTGAAACATTTCACATGTGAATTGCATCTTTGGTGGACTTAATGGATAATCAGAAGGGAAGGATAATTTCGCAGGAAAGACTCCATTTTCATAGCATGTTCCTTCTGGTCCAGTTATGAGTGCTTCCCATTCAAAAAAGTTTTCTTCATTTACTGGTCCAGCAACAATACCCTCAGGTGGATTCAGCGTCAGCTGCTTATACTCCGCCATCAGTCGCCTCAAGGCTTGCCCTGCCATGCTGGCAAGCCCTTGAGACAATAGGAACAAGTGTACTTTTAATTCCTGGAATGCATCCAAAGACAAGTCAGGACCCTCAATTCATAGGATGTTTGCCAATTTTTATTGTGAAAGGCCAAGGACTAATCTAAACTTGGCCCTTAGTTAGAATATATCATATGATATAGCCTATGATATGAAGTAAGATAGCCATTGGCAAGCAATGATAGTGTAAATTATAACCCATAGAGAATGGACCTACTCACATATACTCACAAAGTGACTTTAGCATAGGATAGAATAATTACAGCTAAATGGCATAGAAAGTCTTGCATAAAATAATATATAAACAACCTATATCCAATGGCATCAATGAAATTAATTATAACAATTGGCAGCTTTCTACACTCTGAACTTGTCAAATATACATTCTGCATGCAACTATTCAATTAAGTATGATGCATCAAAGGCCATAAAGCAAAATGTGTAATTCCATTGGCTAAAGATATTCATCAAATCATCACCATGAAACATGATATTTTCCCATAAAGTACAGTGTCTTTTTAATCCTATACAAACTATGACTAGAAGTTGATGAATATAGCTTAAGTGAGAATATCTTAACATCTATTGTTGGCACAAAAAGAAATTCTAAAGCCTAAAAAAATGTTAATCAAAACTCAAAGGACCATTTTAATGAAATTATTATCAAATAAATAACAAAATATAATGAACTGAAAGAATAGCCATTATAAGAACTTTGACCTATGCATTGGATAATAAACCAACCAAGGCAGGCCAGAGTGAGCCAGTGGCACTTCGGCAAGCCTTTGGAAGCAACTATAATATTTCCCTTCTTTTTTTCCATATTTATGCCCAAATTTGCAGTTTATCTTCATTATCATCAAGTCATCCCATGCCAGTTTTTGGTGTACATGTTCCCATGCAAATGCTTGTACTTATGTGCCATAAATAAAGCTGCTACTCCCTTTCTCTCAAAATTGATGGAGTAAGCATATATAGACATAGGCTAGGCCTGAGTCTACAGAGCAGGTCAATGTGCCATGTTTTAGGAATGACTTTTCTATAGTATTCATGGTTCTTGTTGAGGGTAGATGACTATAGTCATAAGTCTTCCAGTGATTGCTATCATTCCTCACACTGGAGAGGTTTTGCAATGAAACATGGAATGACATTAACTTTGTGTAAGATAGCTACTACTTCATAACATGACAGGAGAACCATGGAAAAGTATGGATTCCCTATAGAAGAGGGTTGCATTAGGCCTTAAAGTAGATGTCTGACAGGCTGAATCAACCTCAATTAGCTCAAGCTGTCCATGTGAAATGCCAAAAATTTACCTTTACTTAACTGCTGCATTGATAATGTGTGCATTGGACAAGGCATAAAATCATGCGGTACCCCAGACTATTCTAAAAATAAACCAGTACAATTTCCGATAGCTAAAAAGACATCAGCTCTCACTGAGGTTATTTCCCAAGAGCCTGAGAAGGCATGCTATATGATACTGAAGACGGTAACTTGCAGTTTCTGCTATTCATATTCACTTTCATTTTGTCAATATACATTTATGTTAAAACTGGAGATCCACCAAGTATTTAGGCGCTGCTTCATGGCATTGCTCTTATCAACTTAATAGTACAGCAACTGGTAGGCTATTATCTACTCTTAAGCAGAGAAAGATACTTTTCGAAAAGACTTTGTTATATCACTGGAACTAGGGAGGTCGTTCCAGTCTACTACTGTTCTGCAAAAGAAACCCAAGACTTACAAGGGACTATTCTTGGAGGGATGTAGGATGGAGCAGAGCTAAGCATTGGAGCAAAGCTAAAATCTCTGTTGGCTCATCATGAGAGCAAGAAGATAGGCCTTGATATGGGTGAATTTGTTTTCAGGTTCATTCATATAAGGCATAAAACAGCTTGACTTACGTATGTTAGACTACAGCTAGGTGACCTGTAAGATTGGGCCCACGGCCTACGCCTCGGTCTATTATTATGGAACGCTAGCAAATGACTCTAAAAAAGCATAGGTCATGCATGATGCAGTGCTGGCGAATCATGAATAGTTTTGCCATAACTATCAGCCAAGCTCAGAAATGTAAAATTCCCATCTGAACCACCTCGTAGCCAGCAGGGTTAATGACCCCAGGACTATGAGTAACCTAACGTCAAACGGCATAGTGATGACGTACGGCTCAAGACCTGTTGCAAGTTACTTCACGCAGTCCTCCCAGTCCAGTGGCTCGCAATGAGGCTAACATAAAGCCGGTACTAGCGTGCTTGTAGAGTCTTCCCTACTCCATCCGCTGGCAGGAGACATAAGGACTTCTAGAGCATCCCTACTCGCGCAACTCTGCTTCCCCCTTAGACCTCGACTTCCCCACCTATCCCATTCTGATCATCCAGTTGAGTGGCATGCGCACGCAGCACCGTATCATTCCAGTAAGAAATTGATGTAAGCAGTGGCGTATTTTACGGGGGGCGTCCCTGGGACAGAGCCTGGCGCCCCCTTGGAGGTAATAATTTTTTCACCTGTTATCACTCGTGCGGGGTTTGGCATCCCCGCTCTATTCTCTGTCCCCTCTGACCCCTCAGCCAAAATAAGCTACTGGAATTAAGCATGATATACATTTCTGGTTTCGACAACCTACATTCACAACCAATATGGAACATTTAAATACATCAAGTGGAGGAATGAATCTCCTCGATACATGGAAAAATTACTACGAAAAATGATATCTGAAGTAATAAGTTTGCTGCGTATGCAATCAAGAACCAAAGGACAAGTTCGCTTTTCGTTTCTTTCTCTTTTTTACTTACAATGCTCAAATTGATTGTCCCCACTGATGTGCAGTGACACAAACGTTCGAGTCACTCCCCACAAGGTTCTGGTAAATATATGGTTAGGGTTCTCCGCAAAATATCGGTTTCTTTGCACTCCCATGTCGATTTCGTTATCATTATTGATATTGCTCGATTGGATGTGGGGTGCGAGTATACAATCACGATACAAGAAATGGAGGAACTAATTCTTGAGAAGCGGAGAATTGACGGACACTGACAGCAAGGCATGGTGGCTACTAATAGAGGATCGAACTTGCTCAGCGTCTTCTTCGCGTGACGATGATGACACGAATGTCACTTTTTCTGTGACACGAGATCATACATTCATGGACAAAATGCTCAATTATAAATGTTACACTCTTCCTTCTTAAACTTTAGTGAGAAGCAACTTTCTCAGCCACTAGAAAATAATCCAGTCTACTCGACAATATTGACTCATTGTTTCAAAAGTATCGAAGTTTCAATAAACATCATGTTGCGTCAACGCTGCTAGGCCAAGTAAACATTGGCATATTGTTAAAATAAGACTAGTTTTGATATTGTTGACAATGAATTCCTGTTGTACTCTAGTTGAGTTCTCAATACCCTGTCGATGTTACATCAATATGATGTCAATATGCTGATACAATTCAAGGCCGAAACAACCTTGACCTAATTTTGAAATGAGTCGGATCTCAAAATTACAGGAATCACTGGACCGGAATTTCAGTCATTGAAGTCGGATCCCAAGTTGAATCCTCCTTTCTTCATCCTCAAGGGTGAAAATTACCCAGGCTCACATCGGGCTGGGTCTCATCTTGTTTCATCAATTGTATTTATGAAATCCGATGTCTTTCACTTCGCTGTCTGAGGGGAAAAGATCAAGTATCGGATGAAAAGCACTATCGGCCGTCAAGTTGTATTTCCCACTTTCAAGGGATAGATCAAGAGATAGCTCTCCGAATACACGATTTAGGCGCCATCTCACTTTTATCGGGATGAACCTTGTTTATTGGAATAACTGCCAGATGACCCTTCATGTAATATTGACCGGGCATTCAGTACCCAATGGAAGCCCAACACGAATTTGATGTCCTGTCAATATCGAGACTTGTCCCTTTTCCAACACTGAGTCAGCTTAAAATGATTTCACCATATTGACATTATGTTGACGTAAGATCGACAGGGTATTGACCACAAATGGAGCTCTCCATAGTCTCTAAAGCCCAGTAAAGTGGAGACCAATCTGATTCTAAAAATCGCGTCGATCTTGAGTATGCTTTTTTAGCTATCAACATTAAAATCAAATAGAGTGTGTGTTCTCTCGCGAAAATGACTTTAAATCTTGAGGGAGGAAAGTTGTCATGTGAAAGGACTACCGGGCGTATTCTGCCACGATTCATAAGGCTCAATAGTGTACAGTTAAGATGTGCCAAAAGAGGTGATATGATTTTAATTAAGACCGTCGCAATAGCAGTTTTCGAAACATCGATGCGCCGACCTGAACTATCGATATCGAATCGATTCAACGGACCAAAAGATTAATTAATTAAACTCCAGGGAAAGTAAATGGCGGCCAGGCGGCCAGCCCTGGGGCGCCTTTGTTAAAACGTACCTTTTTCCCACATGGAGATGAATTGGCTGTATCGCAACACATCTTAACGACCTGGGCTTAGCCGAGCTTATCGTCTGGAGGGGGAGGTCGAGGAGTTAATAATCCTGCCTCCGGATTTTCGGATAGAGCCCTATATCTGAACCTGATATGACATTCTGAAATGGAGTTGCGAAGTCTCTTGTTAGTTTAGTTTGGTTTGGTTTAGTTTAGACTTTAAAGTTGGTTCGTTTCGGTTTATTTTGTTTTGGTTCATAATATCCTAACAATGAAGTGAACCCTGCCATAGCCTCGTAGCTATATCTCCCGTCTGGGAAAAGAAGCGTTCACTGGACAAGTCGACTCTCTTGAGTTTCCGGTATCTACTCACGTTCCCAGAATTCCGATGGGTTGAGTGCCCCATTCTTGCTGCAATGTACTTCATGCGAGCCAACTCGTCGATCGTTGTTTTCCTATTCTCATTCGAGGCCTCCGTACGGCTGAGTAGTTACTTGAGTCCTTCAGTATTCATCACTTAAGGTGGTGGAGCGCTTGGATTTCCAGGATCGTCCACTAGTTCTTCCCACGCATCCCTGGAAAGTTCCAAGTGAAGTGTGTGAAGAGGAGAAGCACATGTCAGTGCTTTGACCACTCGATAAGCTCGTGGTCCATCAAATCTCTCGCATGCGAGAAGCTACATCGCGAAGTCATGACCGGAGACTCTTGGAAAGGGATGTCCCAAATACGACCACGGGTTGGATCCGCCACGTCACATCTTTCGCATTAAAGTAAATTAAATAAAAGCATGTACGATTTACTCAACGTGTCCTTTCTATTGCCTTTCTCATTTATAATATTTAAAACGTGATGATTTTTTTGGTTTTTCTTCCAGCACCATTTATTTTACTTCCAATGTGGTCCGCCACTTCGGAACATTGTGACTATTTCCATTCGACAGAATAAGGGCTAACTAAGCAATTAATTCACCAATGAACCGAAGATCCGAGAAAAATGCGTACTTCAGTATTTCCCTTCCTCCTGGGCGGTTGCACCTGCCACAGATATTTTTAAAGGTCAATCGTCTGAAACCATGAACCATCAGCGTGTCGTGCTCTTTCATCATCAGGTACACTTACTGCACACCAAATTATTACTTCGATTTTATGGTTGCGAAGCCTTTTATTTGAAGTCAAATTACAGGCGATACAATGCACGCTAGTGGTCAAATACAAAAACTTAAGCCTGCATGGAAAATGAGATTGACTATCGAGAAAGGCAGGAATATAGGGAGGGGGGTTAATGTGCATTTCGAATTGAAGTGGTCAAAAAGAACAGTCGACGCTTACAGCATTCACCTCATGAGATCGAGCTCATGACTGAAACAGAAGAGGAAAAATGTATACAGGGAATGGGAAAAAAAAGACCAACAACTTTTAGCATAAATATCTCTGTTCATACTGGAGATATTGATGTGAAACTACCACAATGCATACATGAATATGATTCCAACTGATTCTCAAAACGCCTTCTGAATTTTTCGAGCCGAAGCAATATATTGCGAATGCACACAGGACTAGAAGTACAGCACAATCAAGGCAAGACAGACACAAAGGACACCAAAAGTGAGAAGCACAGCCGAAGCAATACTGTCAATAATTGAAAATAAGTTAAGACATTGAGAATTGACAAGAGCTCCTGCTGGTAGTGGAATGGGTCATTCATGCTCGTTGAGACCTCCTCTTTCCTAGTAGAGACTTCTAAGTTGTGAAGACAGATTCTTCTTAGGAATGGACTTAGGCTGATTTCAAAAGGGCAGTTCAGTTGCAGATCGGTTTCAGCTCAGACTTAGATCTGACTGAAGTTCCACCGTGATCGACTTCTACCACAAATATATCCCGACTGGAACTGCAACTGAACTAGAACTGGAACCGCCCGACTTCGTCCACATTTTTTAAAAATAGACTTTGAAATAATAATAAAAAGTTCACGTCTTTCTCCAAAAGCCCACAATCTCACAAGACTCTCAATGATGCCTTTGTGAACCATTAACTAAGTTCGCCTTTTCACTACCAGCCTATTGTTCTATTCAAGTGGCTCTCTGTTTTTGGACAATTCCTTTCTTGTACCTATGAGGTTTTGATTATGGGAGTGGCGCATTCCAGCATTCTCTTAGCTTACTGCTTCGCACGTTCCTAGATTGCTCATTACTCAACCGGAGTTCATTCACTTCTCGGGAAGATAATGGATTTCGTTTTTATTTTCATTTTTTGGATAAGCAGTGGAATGGTTATGCTCATTTCGATTTCGAAATGACGGTCTCCGGATTCATATATGACCCTGACGCTCTGTTGAAATAGGATTGATGTAACGAACCTTGCTTTGTATTGTATATCAGTAAAGCCTGAATGAGAAACACCATTACTATGGGGGTGACGTAGCCAGAGGTTATATGCGATTGGTCGGTTGTCATGGTTGGGCTGTGGGCGGGATACGTATACGCTCGTCTTCCATGCAGGGAATCTATTTTAAAAAATGAGGAAACATCAAGCGGTCAGAAGCTCTGACTCGCCCCTCTCCCAGTGGTATGCCAATCTCAGGAATCCATGCACGGATTCTCCCCCCCCGGGCTATAAGCCTAACCCAAGGCAGTCAAGTTTGGCAATTTTCGGCAAGGGCATCATTATGCCATTGAGAATAAACCCATTGCGATTGGCTTCTTGACAAATTTTTGCGCAAAACCATGGATACATTTTCTGGATTCCTAAAAATGACCTTAATGATGTAATTAGAAGGTACTGCTACTGTTACCGTTGAAGATACGTGATGATTTTTGCCTTCTCATTTGACAAGAAAATTTAAAATAATCATAATCCTCAGCGCAACTACTGCAAACATTCAATAAATTCTCTTATATGGTTTTTACGAATCGACCGTAACAATAATTTCATGGGTACCAGATAAGCGATTAAAAACCAGCATGAATGTCGATAAACGTACATTGTGAAATTATAAACTCACAGAAGGCATTGCAAGACCTTTCTCTCAACCAGGCCAATTAAAAGTCAATCCGCGGAATTTTATGGTCCCCAACATTTGGTGAGAGAGAGATGAGGCAGGTGATGAAAGAGCCCACTCAGCAGGGGTTGTCGTTTTATTGCGGGGGGGGGGGGGGGGGGGGGGGGGGGGGGTATGGTTTTGCGCAAAAATTTGTCAAGAAGCCAATCGCAATGGGTTTATTCTCAATGGCATAATGATGCCCTTGCCGAAAATTGCCAAACTTGACTGCCTTGGGTTAGGCTTATAGCCCGGGGGGGGAAGGAACCTGTTTTAACAAATGGTCCACCCGGTGGGGTTGGGGATGACTGAGATGTGCTTGTCACGCAGACGATTATGTCTGTGGGTATACAACATTCAACTCTAGAGTAGGGTTGGTCGTTGTCCGACGCAGTGTGGCGCCAGTGTACAGTGAGCATCGTCAACAAGTTCCATGATGAACACCATTCTCCTCGGGTTTCGAAAGGGAACATCGATGTCTTCATGCCAACCAGGAGATGGGGCCGAGGAACATCGGGCGTTTCTTTAATTTTCCACTCTCTACGCGCAAGAATGAAGGCAGCCAAGTTTCGAATGAAAAGAAATGGATGGACTTGCAAGGGAGGGAAACGGACGGATGAACCGGTTCCTTCCCGTATCACCTGCCACCAACGGGATACAAAGCACTTCGTACCCAGTCGCCGCCATCTCACCGTATAACCATATTCTCATGAATGATGGAACTTGAAGCATTTTGAAATCAAAATTCTTCGTCCTTTTTCCCCCCTCTCCTCTCTGCTTCATTATGCTAGCTTGGATCCCAAAGACCTCCTTCAAGGCTATTTGTTTTTCTCTGCTTTGTATTCCCCCCCTGCAGCCAGCATCGAATGGACACAGTTCTGGTCCGTCCAGTCCGAGTTTCAGTCGGCACGCGGCCGTCTGTGATATTCTTTCAAAGTGATTCGGTGGCACGAGAAAAATGAAAAACTCCAAGGTATACTCGTCACTGCTGATGGGAGCCGCAATGCTCACGATCGTAGGTCGTCTACCTCGCCATGAAGTATCCCGATCGGTCTCCATAATTATGTGTTCCCAATTGAGCGATTGGATCTGTCCAGTTCCTAACGACCGCGTTGGTGACGACATTCGGCCTCCTGTTTGAGGGTCTCCTCCTCCAACTTCGATCCGACCCATCCCTAGTTTCTTGGATTTTCAACGCAGCCGTCTCTCTTCAGGCCATCTCCAGTGAGATATTTTCACACGAGACGGGAATGGGATTCCTTATATCGTAGCGAGTATTTTGGGAACCGTTCCTTTAGGCCTGGCAGTGGCGCCCCTGGTGTACCTGTATGGACATCGTGCCGTGAGTGCATCCGGAGGGATTCTCGTCTTTTTCGGCTTGCTTTCTTCGTCGTTCGCCAGAGAAACCTGGCACCTCCTCTTCTCTTACACTATGCTAGTCGGTACGAAGAAATATCCTATCGAAGCGAATCAAATGGTTATTTTCCCATCGTGTCCGCGTCGACTCCATCACTCTACTAGGGATAGGAACAGGTCTATCACTGCAAGCGGGTTTCCTGGTCGTGAGCGAGCGTTTCGCGAAGAGACGTGGCTTGGCCATAGGGATATTCTTCTCCGCTGCCCCCATGGCCAGAATACTTGTGCCGCCCTTGGAAGGTACTCTCCTAGACCATTACGGAGCCAGAGGATTGCTTCTCATCATGGCTGCCATCGAGGCACACATCATTCTTGCCGCCATGATCATCCGACCCAAACGAACTCCACCACGGTCCACTGTTTCCAGACAGGTATATTGAAAAAAAAAGCATATTGCTGTTGAATTAAAAGCCATCGTGATTCCCCTACCTTATGTGCTTCCTCATAACTACACACAGAAAGCCGAGGCTGTAATCACATTGATGACGGGCAAAGATGAAACGAAACCAGAGATGTCTGACGAAAATTCCAAGTTGCAGGTCGTATGGATGGCAGTGAAGAAGCGAATCGACTGGCGTTTGCTGAAAGAACCCATTTTGTGCATCTTTGTACTCAGCGATGTTTGCTTCTGGTTCATTTATCCCAATTTCTCCTTCCTGTTACCTCAGGTCAGTCCTCGATACGAGTACGGTAAATTATTCGTTTATTTATTTAAATAACGAGATCGAATGGATGAATCCAATACACGATCCAGGCAATCTTGGAGAGGGGCGAAGGGATCGAAGAGGCTGCTTTTTACTTAACGATGACCGGAGCCGGAGACTTGGGTTCTCGACTCATTTTCCCTCCTCTGATAGACAGGAAGATCATTTCTCCCCGAAACGGGTTCATCCTGGGGGAAATTTTCGCTTTCATCGCCCTCCTCTGTCAGTATAAAAAAAAAATATATTCCAGACACTTAAGGGGAACGTAAATAAGGGAGGGTGAACTTCCCGAGACCCACTTAGATTAAAAAAATGGTTTTAAAAACCCGGCAGGCTTCCCTTTGGTCCTGAGTCACTCGGAGGGAAAGATCATCTGTTCGTTGCTGTATGGCGCCGGTTCAGGAATGGCTGTGAGCTTCGCCGGTCTCACTTTGATCGAGTATTTCGGCGCGGAAACCCTCCCTTCGTCGACCGGTCTCAGCCTGGCCCTCAAAGGCGTCTTCCTCTTCTGTCTCGGTCCTCTCAACGGTAACGATCGACGATCCCTTTCGTATTCCCTCGGTTTTGGACGCATGAAATGTTTTATTCCTTTTGTCGTTGCCTTGCAGGGCTGCTGAAGAAAGAAACGGGGAACTTCGAAGCGAGTTGTTTCATGCTAGCGGGCGGAATGCTGTTGGGGATAATCGTTTGGACGTTGGTCCCTCTTTTTTCGAAACCTGCCACAAGTTCCCGATGCTCGATGAAGCTCAACTTTTGCAAGAATTAGCCAATGCCGATACAGGATGCCTCGTCTTCAAGCATTTTTTGGGGGGAATTTCTCAAATTAAAAGGGCAGCTCCGAGTTCTAAGGCAGACTCTTGCCATGCCTTCGCGTATTCGCAATTGCACGTCACTTGACTGTTGTTCGACCACATTCCCATTGGTTGGTTTTGTGAGCTCTAAAATTGTACTGAATCACGTTTCCCAAGATTGACCATGATCTCTTGTCGACGAAATACATTTTCCTAACGATTTGCGAAGACCATACTGGATTTTATTTTCATATCGTGCTTCTTCCTCTTAGAACCAGAGAAGCTGACGTGAAGAAAAAGTATTTTTCGGTATCTGGGTGCGAAAAAATAAGTATCTCTTTTTCTATAATAAGCAGCCAACACGATTTTTCCTGCTCTATCTAATGTGTGTAATATACATGACATGGATTCCTGAAAGTCAGAGTGGCGATTTATGACTCGGGTCTGCCTGTGAGACGATGATTTTGGTGGTAGGAGAAACCGGTTTTAAATGAGCCTTTCTTGGCGTATAGAGTCAGGCTGGGATTCCTTTCCTTTTAGTTCCAATTTTTTATTATTTAAATTCAGTTCAACACCTTCAACCTTTTCATGGAAGAACTTATAAAAAGGCCAGAATATAATTAATGACTGAAAGGTTGACAAACGCTTGTCTTCGGTGAAAGGAGTTAGGATGCAATTACATAACTTTTAGAAAATTAAACACCATCACAGTACAGGAAAATATATTAAATTTGAACCATTCACAGAAGTTTTCGCATTGACAAAGGTGAAAGCCATGTGGGAGTCACGTGATTCCTTTCGGATTTAGTGGTATTGTTATTTGGTCACGAGACGCACCCGAGCCCCACCTATGCCCTTTACATCAGTGTAACTCACTCTCTTACGGGAGGCTTATGCACATTTTATAGAGATTTCAACAATCCAAAAGATTGTAACTTAAGGACTTCGTCTTGCATTCCTCCATTATTAGCTCAAATATTGCGATTGCCGTTGAATCTCCTGGGTATATTTATCCAACATCTATTGCTTGTCGAAGACTTCATCCATACACACACCCATTGCGTGTCTCCAACATCTCCATTATTTTGTTGTGTTGAATTGGAGGTGTTTATTGACGTGGAATCACAAAGAGGGAGAACAGGCCGAAAGATCAATCATAAGGGGTTCATCAAGGTTTAAGGAGGATCACGGCTCAGATCACCCCTCAGCCACTTCTCAAGTCATCGATTGACGCAGAATTTTCGAAGATAATCCCGTGTGATGCATTTATATGAAATAACTCTCTCACGTGGCGAAACTACCCTGATACTATGTCTCTCGTTGTCGCAACGAGAGACATCTGGCGAGAGTTGAGTGAACTCTGGGAAGGGCAATAGGGACGCCCCGTCCGATTAAGTGCTGGTCTTCTGCTCCTTTCCCGCTGTTCACGTGGTCGTTCCTGTGGAAACTCTCAGTGTTAGTCAACGAAAGAGCAAACCCCTGTTTCATTTTCAGCCTGACAAGACACCGCGTGTGGTGTGAAGGAAGCGAAGGAATGGCTCTTAACAAGCTCAGCATCGATGCAGTGGACCTGAAGGACAAGCGGGTTCTAATGAGGTTAGTTCCTGATGCATAGCTGGTTCTAAGGTCGTTTGAAAATGTTCACCACATTTATCTCGTGACAGACCGATTGCGACCGAACTTAAGCTTATATTATAGGGTGACCAGACGTCACAATTTTATCTGGACAGTATCGGTTTTTTGAGGCTCTGTCCCGGTGTCCCTGATTTTAAACTTAGTAACGTAACATTGAAGACACATTTCTCAGCCCTATTCCCCGTTGCCCCTCCTTTGCCTCTTCGCGCAGAATAGACTGAAAGTGGAAGAGGAAGGCATTCTCTGAGCTCTTGTGCCCCAGTTTTTAAACAAGCAAGGTGACCTTAGAAGTCAATTTACAGATGTTTCAGTTTCTGCTGAAAATTTCTGGTCACCCTATAATAGGCATATCTGAATTCATCAATTGCCTTTAGCATTAACCCTGTAACTACTGTTCTGGGTCCAATGGACTTTGATACCAAAAGTAAGCCATTTGTGTAGGTTCCATCATAAGCTTCTAAAGCCCAATACTCAGTGTATTATTATGAAGACATGTAATAGTAATTCAGCAAAGTATTTTGAAGAGAGTTTTTGGGAATGAAGAGATGAGACAAAGTGAAACATATGACTGTCCAGGTTCTGGTAGGGTACAGGGTTGAGGGATATTTGACATTGAATAATGTTTGTTGAATTTTACCCTGCTGACAATAGGCCAGGTCATGGAAGTTCTAAGTTTTTTTGCATTGCAGGGTTGACTTCAATGTTCCAATGAAGAATGGAGCCATAACAAATAATCAGAGAATTGTAGCTGCTCTTGATACCATCAAGTATGCATGTGATAAGGGAGCAAAATCAGTGGTGCTGATGTCACACCTTGGTCGACCAGATGGATTCAAGATAGAGAAGTACACTCTACAACCTGTTGCTAAAGAGCTTTCCAAGCTCTTGGGAAGGTACCTCAAGAGATTTTTTAGAAGGTCCATATAAATTTAATGCCGTGCTAATCAGGCTCCTTTCCACTTTTTCACAGAGAAGTGACATTCCTGCATGACTGTCAAGGACCAGAAGTGGAAAAGGCATGTGAGAACCCTGCAAATGGATCAGTGATTCTGCTTGAAAATCTCCGTTTCCATGTGGAAGAAGAGGGCAAGGGTGTAGACCCATCAGGAAGCAAAGTTAGTGAAATGCTTTCTCTCTGAATTGTAGGTTCTTTGCTTGAGAAAAATACATAAATGCTTTTATGTGTTACTTCTTAGGTGAAAGCTGATCCACAGAATGTGAAGGCATTCAGGGCATCCTTGAGAAAGCTTGGTGATATCTATGTGAATGATGCTTTTGGTACTGCCCACAGAGCACATTCATCCATGGTGGGGGAAGGATTTGATGTTCGTGCTTCAGGATTTCTTCTCAAGAAAGAACTTATGTACTTTGCAAGGGCTCTGGAACACCCTGAGAGGTATGGTTCACTAGAAAATTCACTTGCCTCAACTTGGAGCAATCCCTGCAAGCAGCTTCTTTGTTTTTCTCAGGCCCTTCCTGGCAATTCTAGGTGGTGCCAAGGTGAAAGACAAGATTCAGTTGATCAACAATTTGCTGGATAAAGTCAATGAAATGATCATAGGGGGAGGAATGGCATTCACTTTCTTGAAAGTCCTCAATGACATGAAGGCATGTAACCTATATCTGCCTCTATCCCTCACTTTATCTGTTGCTGCAGTTGTACATTCTTGTTATCTTGCCATTTATTCTGCATAGATTGGAAGCTCATTGTTTGATGAAGAAGGATCTAAGATAGTACAAGACTTGATGAAGAAGGCTAAAGAAAAGGGAGTTCAGATCCATCTCCCTGTTGACTTCATAACAGCTGATAAGTTTGCTGAAGATGCAAAGGTGGGTTTCTTCAGCTCTATAACACTGAATTTAATGTGTATGAGATGCTAAGCAGCCTTCTAAAAATGACTATATAAGGGAATAACTTTCTCAAGTAAATAGACCAAAAGGACTCCTATATATTTATTTGGATTATTCTGTTCTAAAATCATCCCCATCCATACTTGAGTTATATGACATATTGATATCTAATAGACATCTCATGATGATTGCATGGGAGGGTACTTATCTCATTGTTTTGTGGACAGTGATGTGAAAGAACATCTACATCTATTATTAATATTGCATGTTATAGAGAGGTGGCAAGTAACTAAAATACCCATACTTTCTTGTTTGTTTTTCATTATATAAAACCCAGTGTTTCTGAAAAGGAACAAGATTATGAATCACTTTGTTTTTGTTTTTTTTTTTTATCTACTTTCGCCCAGGAAACTCAGTTTTAATTCTTGCATGCTCAAGCATATGAGCAATATGGATGGTGGAATTCACTTGAGGGATGCTTTGGCATACCTCCCATATTTTATCCCCTTTGAGGTTGTTATGGCATATCCTGATTTAAGAAAGAAAAAGTTGTCCTATTGCCAGATATTATTTTTTGTGCTAAATAATACTGGAAAAGAGAATGCTACTAAACTTTAGGACATATTTTTAAAAAATCTTTTTGCTTTCTTCACGAGTAGAGGTAGTTAAAATATGAAACTTGTCCTGTGATCTGCTAAGACTTCTGCCAAATAGAGACTTATGACAAAGCTCCCTTGAGATGACTGTATAAGGCTCTCTGCTTTCTTTATGAATAGGCTGCCCCTCACAGATGGAAGATATTCCAGCCTTTGTTCCATTGTTGGTCAAAAATAGAAAAAAAAGCTCTTTTTTAATAGCGTCTTCTACTTCAAGAAATAGTCTGTTTTTATAGTTATCAGTGATGCACTCTTGTAACAAGGTCTAGTTCTGACCCTCAATGACCTATGTTTAGAAATTTGACAGTCATTTTCTGATGTAAAATTGTTGCAGCTATTGCATTTTGCATTTGATTGCTGGTTGTCTGCCAAGTATTTTGATACCTCATTTGCCACAAACCATTTATTGTATTGCTCCATTTTTCAGCACAACAATTGACCAACATTTTTACATCTGCACCCTCTTAACTTTATGCATTCCACTGCAAGGCAATAGAGACCACTCTGTACCGAAACCTGCAGGGAACCTATGGTGAAGCTGCTCCAGCCTTTCAACATGCAAGCAATGGCTCAAGAAGTTCACCTCTGGGAGTGACAAAATTGATGACAAACCCCACTCTGGACAACCCACTGAGCTGAAGAATGAAAATCTGCAGCAGCTGCTCGATGAAGACCCGGGCCAATCTTCCCTGCGACCTCAGCAAGATGCGCAAACAAGGCATTTGGGTACCCCCACGAACTCAGTGAAGAAAACAAGGACGACGTGAAGATTGATCCAGGTCCTCATTGAGCAGCTGTTGCAGAACATCATTCTTCAGCTCAGTGGGTCGTCCAGAGCAGGGTTTGTCATCGATGTTGTCGCTCCCAGAGGTGAACTTCTTGAGCCGTTGCTTGCATGTTGAAAGGCTGGAGCAGGTTTCCTGCAGGTTTCGGTACAGAGTGGTCGCTATTGGCTTGCAGTGGAACGCATAAAGTTAAGAGGGTGCAGATGTAAAAATGTTGGTCAATTGTGCTGAAAAGTGGAGTGATACAGTAAACAGTTTGTGGTAAATGAGGTATCAAAATACTTGGCAGACAACCGGCAATCAAATACAAAATGCAATAGTTGCAACAATTTTACATCAGAAAATGATGGTCAAATTTCTAAACATAGATCATAGAGGGTCAGAACTTATGCCTCAACCTAATATTTACATAATGCTGAATGAAGTAGTTGAAGAAAAGTGACTTTTCATGTGTCTGAAGGTTGGCTCAGCAACAGTGGAATCAGGCATTCCTGATGGCTGGATGGGTTTGGACTGTGGCCCCAAGTCCAATGCTGCATTCCTGGAGCCCTTGAAGCGAGCAAAAACCATAGTGTGGAATGGGTAGGTGTACTTGCTAACTATACTAGGAAGATGTCTCAAGTGCAGGATGTTCCCATTCCAGTTCACGTTGACCCCCCCCCCCTCCTCCCTTTATTTTTTATTTTTAACAGTCCAGTTGGAGTCTTTGAATTTGCTAACTTTGCACCTGGGACTAAGAGCATAATGGATGCAGTAGTGGATGGTACAGCCAAAGGAGCATGTGTCATCATTGGTGGTGGAGACACTGCAACCTGCTGTGCAAAATGGGGCACTGAAGACAAGGTCTCACATGTGAGTACTGGAGGAGGAGCCAGTCTTGAATTACTTGAAGGTATGTCTCCTCAGCTGTTAGTATTACTCATGAAAACTAACACTGCACTTTTCTCATGAGCCAACAGACCTTGGCAATTTTTCAAAAGGTAGATCTAAGTTTATTCCTCCTTGTACCTTTCTAGGGAAGACACTGCCTGGAGTTGCAGCATTGTCTGATGCACAATGAGATACCTAGAACTGTCAACCCATGATCTGATGTGCTATCTGTCAAGAATTTTGTCTCATTGGATGTGTGCAATATTGAAGCAAGGAATAGTGATTACCCCCATCAGGATCTTTCTCATGGTCCTGTTCTTATGTAGTGAAGTTTCTAGTCACTGTCCAGATTTCTTGTATAAATTACCATCCTTTTCCCATACCAATATACAATTAATGTTTCTGTGTCCCAAGGAAGAACCTGCACTGTGCTTTTAAAAAATATTTAATCAAAAAATCTAATTAGATGACAAAAATCTATGTACACACATTTCTAGAAACATGTTCTTTTTGAATATAATATCAAGACAGACCCCTTCCGTTGCTGCACTTTCAAATCTTGTGCAAAGGAGAAAACAAGGAGACTCGTCGCAAGGGAAGGAGAAATGAAAAACATGAGCTCATGTCCGGAGACAAAACAAAATGACATCATGCGAAGACAGTCTTTAACATGAATCATGCCAAGTACAGTAAGGGAAAAAAAAAGAGAGCATCCAGGCTGCATCAAAATAGGTGACATAAAGGCTTGCCAACCTTATATTAGTGAATAAATTTCTCTTTTCTGTCACACATTCACAATGAACTTGCTCTGTACATGAGACTGCAGACCGGCTGCAGGAGAAAGATAACTTCCCCAAATGTAAAGCACCAGTGAAAGTAGGCACCACGAACATGTTGTACCTTGGAAACAAAAATTCTTTTTTCTCCTCAACACGTGCCATATAACTCTCTTCTTTGGCACGTTGATGGGTTGAGACAGAAGGAAGTTCTCACACTATCACGCCAATGTCATGATCAAAGGAAGAAGATGTGGAAGCTCTGGATTTGCCATCAGCTTCCTTTTGATGCTTTTGCTGCTGCCGCTTTAAGGCTTCTTCCAGCTCAAGAGGAAATGGAATCTGGTGGTGATTGGGATGTGTGAAGAATTCCATCTTTTCCCTGAACAGAGGGTAAGAGGTCCCTTCATAGGATTCACTCCAAAATAAACATGGATTGACATGGAAACAAAGAGACTCACTTGAATTCCCGCAAGTTTGGCTGGTTGCGTGAGAAGTTCATGGATTTGCGGAGGCGATATACTTCTCGAGCAACCTTCCTCATGAGCTTTTGAACACGCCTGTCCTCAGCTGAAGAACCTGATCCACTCAGAGTACCAGCATCCTTCACCATCTGAAAGAAACCCCTAATTAGATTGAAGGCACACTACTGAACTAGTTTACGTAACATGAACGTGCTACAACTACACACTGGACAATAGTAAATAAATATTGTATGTCATAAATGATACTAGAAGAGGCAAACCTGCTCCAACATGTTCTGAAGTTCTTCATCCTCTAGCCAGTTGGGCATTTGTGCAGATGCTTGTAACTTCTCTTTGAGCTGTCGCAACTGAGCCAACTCTTCTTGGAGGATTTTAAGTCTTGTCTTCTGAGCTGCTCGGTCCAGTTCAAGGTCTAAGGAAGTGCGAGGGGGGTGAGCAGGAGAGGAAGATGTCAAGGGAGAGACTTTATGGCCACATGGTGCTTGGACACCCTTCCACCGCATGGAGCGTCGATTTAAAGAATTGCGCTGGAATGAGGCACCCATACTCAACACCATACTACCTTCATGTCTGTAGAGGGGCATAGAACTGTCGCTGTCACTCCGATTCAGCTGCATGAACATAGATTTTGTTATAGTGATATCAAAGAATTCACCATGGCCACAAATTTTCTAAAGATTTTGTCTTACCCTGCAGATGTAATGGTGTTTGTTCAGAGGTGCACTTGGAGAAAAGGTTTGAGAACGCTTTACTATGGCAGTTTTGGGACTGGCCCCCAAAGGACTTGATGAAGGTCCACCACCACATGGCAAGAACACACATTCTGTGTTGGTTTCCTTGTCTGCATACTCTACACAAGAACACTCCTGTTCCTCTCCTGGTTGATTTGGGATCTGTGAATGTTTACAAATCATGAATAATATTTGGGCACAGGAAAAATTACTGGACCCAGAATAGGAATTGAACTGACCCCTTCAGCTGAACACAAGAGGTCATGAAGGAACTGGGCTTGATCCTGGCTCACTCTAGCCTCATCCTCATCTTCATCTTCATCAGCCTCATCCTCATCTTCATCTTCATCATCCTCATCTTCGTTCTCTTCATCTGAATCATCCAAACATCCCTGAAGGTCTTCTGCCTTAATCCCAAGAATCATTTCAATCATATCTGGTCCTTGATTCCTGGTCAAGGTGGATGTCTGCGAGGAGATGACTGTGGATTCATCACTGCTCTCTTCTTTCCCACTCCCCCTCTCAAGGGTCGAAGTCATTGAATCTACTCCTGGAACTGCTTTCCCAACATTCCCAGGTCCTGCTTCCTCAGCTGACTTAGACGGACTAGACTTCCTGATGCATTCCTGCTCAGGCTTAGGGTCAGGTGAGGCAGCAGCAGTACTGGGGATTTCTGGTTGCATGAACCGGAAGCTGAGGACATTATACCATTTGATGCTTGTTGATTCAGGCATAAAGTCAGCCAGACTGATCTGAGTGCAACCCTATAATGCAAAAATTGTTGAAATATAAATTTTTGCAAGAGACAGATGATTTACAGAAGTAAGAGATTCTCACCAGGCAATCTTCCTGCCCAGAAAAACAGATGGACCAGACATTGAGCTGAAGTGTTTTGGCATAGAGCTTCTTCACTGGGATACAAAAGGGAAAACTTTCCCCAAAGGAAGCCTTGGAGCCTTCTTCTAAGGCAGTTGAGCAAGTGACAACATTTGCACCTGGAAGCGATGGAAGGATCGCTCCCTTGATACACCTGTGGAAACATGGGACTGGTAAATTAGGTCAAGAACACAGGATTACTAGCACTCCAAGAAAAGGGATGGCAAATTTTAAAAAGGAAGGGCATGAAGTGACCTATTTTATGGGTTGCATGAACAGAAACTGGCACAAGTCACTCAGCTAATGGAATGAGAAATTCAGGGATAGACTCACACTCGATGATCGGGGGGTATGGAGAGAGCAGAGAGATTCCGAGCCTTTTCCAGACCAACATATAAAGTTTCTTCTTCGGTGGAGTACCTAGTTAACATAAATATAGCTATATCCAAAATTGTTCTATGCACTCATGAATGTATTAGCTTTACATCACAGAAAGAAGAAATGGTCACCTCAGTTTCACAAGAAGTTGGGCAGTCTCAGCACCCAATTCAGGAAGAGCCAGCCGAGGCTTGGCATTGGACTGGATGGCTTCATAGACACCTGAGTCCCCAGCAACTGACTCATTACTGACTGCTGCTGAGACAGAGCGAGGATTGCTATTTCCTGATGCAGGAGAGAGTGGAGGATTTGGAACAGGTGGCAGGGATATGGGAGGATCTGAGAGACGCATCTCCAACAAAGGAGCCTCCAGATCCAATGCCTGGCTTGGTTCCTCTGATATCACCCCTGTACAAATATCACTTGAGGAGCTGCTGCTACCCATCAACTGCTCCACCCGCTGATGGAGCTCCACCACATTTGTTCCATCTGGCTGCCACTGGAATCCAATGATTACACGTCAACATTTCCATTTCTTAGCAGTTATGCACAGCTACAAACAAGAGTCACAAAAGAATGAGTAAATGGACATCTACCTGGGGAAGTCCATAGATGTCAGTGAAGCTGAGTGAGGAGGAAGTAGACAAGGAACCAAGAGATGAGCCACTGGAAACACTGAGAGTTGAGGCAGACATGGACCTCAGTTGCATCTCTAATGCTGCAGTCTTTCGGAGTCCAGATCCCAGCTGCTGCAACAATGCCTGCCGGCTTTCATGGAGCTTCAATCTGATAAATAAAGTGGAAGATTTTTCAAATTCAAAGCCCATTGAAAACAACCATGTCTGCTGCAAGAAATAAAATGTAGGCAGACCTCTCAGCTATAGCCTTTGATGATATGGCCATTTGGTTATTGAGGTCATCCTCAAGTCGCTGTATCTGCTCCCTAATAGCCCTCATTTCTGTTGGAGACCGACCTGTGCTAGGGATACTTCTCAGTTCTCTCAGCAATTGCTTCTTCTCTTGAATCAACAGCAGTCTACAGGAAACAAAGAGTGTCACAATAACTATCATCTCCATATGACTGAAATTATACCTAGTACAGGACTGTGATATGTATGAAAATGAGTATGCTTCCATAGAATTTCACTGAATCTATTGCCATTCAGCTCAAAAGATTTGAAATGGCAAATAAATTGGAAATAAAGCAACAAGTGACTCAGGCATTGTGCTGTTACCTGTAGCTAACTGAAGCTGGACTCTTAGCTTAAAACCATTTATAAAAATACTAGAAAACCTTTATTTCTGGCAGTTTCAAAACCATGGACATTTGAAAGGTTTTCAAGCTGTAACAGTGCTTCAGTCACTACAGATTGGATCAAATTTTCATCTGTTCTTTTCCTTTGCATTCCCCAAATAATTAAGTACACAGAGGGAAAAAGGCTTTCAAACTCTTGGCTATGCCTCAATTCAACCAGGGTTTCATATCTTGAGAGAGCAAGAACAAGGCAATTCAGTCAATACACCTGTCAATCATGATTTTTTGCTGTCTCTTTAGTGGGACTAAAGATAGTGTTTTCTTTGCTTCCTGAGAACTTCAAAATTAATTTCCATGTGAAATAAAAGGTTCTGCAGTTAACTTCAGAGTTTAAAGGAAAGTTCTCCAGTGAATGCTGAAATGATTAGCAGAGCATTCCTAATCATCACATCTTTGCAGACATATAGCAATGCATGAGTGCAAGAGCTTCATAGCCACCTGTTACATCAATCACTTCAGATCTTCAAGCAATAAACACTTTAAAACAAGGAGTGTGCCTAAAAGAGTCCTATCAAATCCACTGATATCTGGGTGCCATTAGATAATCTCAACTGGTAAAATAAAAAATTCCATGGGCTCAACCCAATTGGTGCATGAGGTCAAGAGTTATAATAAGTCAATAACTGTATGGTAAAATGAATGAGCAACAGGCAAGCCATCTGTCAGTTACCGAACCAAACAAGGTTCCCACAACCAAAGAGAGATCATAAGAAAGAGTCAGCATCAGCTAATCAGAAGCAAAGAGGGCCCACCTTCCTGTTGGTGGTATTTCCTGGATAACACCTGGAGACCCTTCAATGGAATTTCATGCAAATAAAAGCCATAAAGATGTCAGAGCTTGGTTTTTGATCTTGAACTTGCGACCTGACCTCATGGCCTGATTGAGGCAAGCTGATGAACATTTCAATTCTATTAGTTGAGAACTATTTAATTGCACCCATGTCAGTAGACACAATTGGACATGCTATATGGTTTCAGGCATACTTTTAGACCTACAGCATATTCATTTCACAAATAACTTTTAATATTTGTACAATAGTGCTTTATGGAGTGAAGCGGCAATCATTGCATGCATACATAATTTGACAATATAGACAGCCAAATCCTTTATACACAAGACAGGAAAAATCATCATTGCACCTCTATAACCAAGGAGGCAAGACAAAAAAATTGTCTGTGAAGGGATAAACCATCTGATAGTGAACTTTACTCAATATGAACAGCAGAAAAGCAAAGTGAAAAGCAGTTCATACTCTTCCCACAATTGGTCATGAGTTGAAGGAAGCCCCTCTTCCCTCAATTGTGACAGAATCTGCTGGTGAATCCCCTTCCTTGGGAGCAGCAGATAATTTCCCAATGCATTGATAGTTCTGGTCAATGTACTGATGTTTTCAAAACAGCCATCAAGATAGCTGAAATTCTTTGAACCACATGAGTACCAGGGAAAACGGCAGGGTGGCTGCAACCTCAGGGCAAGGCCATTTTAGAGAGATCTGATTAGCAAAAACTGGTCAGGTAGGTTTTGCTCCAAGTCATTCAGTGCACTTTGGATATTTGGTACTTTTGGTACTAGACCAGGAATTACAACTCTCAAAAGGCACTCCTTGTACACAAGACAAGACAATCAGTTCAATAGATTTCTTAATAGGTTGGCATGTCTGTCCAGTCACCAGAAGAACAAAAACAAGATCCCCAAACAAATACAGATCTCTAGAAGTACTGGACTAAAGCTAGTGCACATTTGTGAAATTGGAGGCCTTAGCATGGTAGAAAGGCTCATTCTGCACTATAATTCTTATCATGAGACTTACCTTTCCTAATAATACTGAGTGAAAGTTTCAAAATAAATCAGAAAAGCAAGTATTTTGCTTTTAAAATTTTTCAAGTCAAAACTCTTACCTGTCTTTATCAGATTCAGTTTCTCCAGGAGTGATTTTGCTGTCCAATTCAGCCAAGGAGTTCTGGATGCACTGAATTCCTCTGCGAGCTTCATCATATTGGAGACGCATGCGAGCCAGCTCTGCCAATCTTGCACCTATTGGCATTATCTACACAAAAAAGTACATGTTCAGGGTATTTGAATACAGCACCAGGTACAGGGTAGGACGTGTCCCATCAATTCAGTTGTCAATAATACCTTTTGTAGAAACACTCAGAGAATTTTGTGAAGCACTGCATTCACACAAAATTGTAAAAAAGTATATTAACCTCTCCAGATAGGTCAGTCTGTGATGCAGTGCTGAGTTTCTCTTGGACCAGACTGAGGGTGGACACATCAGGTGAGCTGTCTTGGGCTTGAATTCTTGTGAGGTCATCCTTGAGCCGAGCAAGAGAATGGATTAGTTCTGCCTTTTCCCTCTCACCCTCATAAAGGGAGTGCTGAACTTGCTTCAGTTCCTGATGAATAGCTTCTGCTTCTGATAAACTGTACCCACTGGGATTATTGCTGAATTTTTGCTCCACACTACAAAGAAATATTTCAAAAACAGTTCATTCCTTGCATATCTTTTATCCCTGAGATGAGGGTCATGAAAGACTTACCTGGAGAGGATCTCGACACCCTGTTGCTTATATTGCATTTCATTTCGGATCCTCTCCAATTCTTGACGTAATCTGTAAACCCTGGTCTTTGCCAGGGCAACATCAGCTTTGAGGAGGTCAGGATCATATTTCGTGCTCCCACTGCTACTACTTGAACATACTACCGACAGAGAAAAACACAGGAAGTCTCAAATTTCATGCCCTTTCTGGATGTTTCCGAGAGTGTACGTGCCCCTTATCAAACATGTCATGCATATTCAAAAGTTATGAATGGTATGCGGGTTCATGTCTTGAGAAAGGATACTATCTCATCATCGTCGCAAAAAAACGTGCTCCTTGTAGAAATTCATGTGCTAAAAATTCATGCAAGGACACTTTCTCTAATTGGACTCAAACCGCTCACTCCACTGCTGGACTGAAAAACTTACAGCTAGAGTGAGACGTGGAAAGATGATTGAGAGCAGAGCTGAGATGCTGATATTCATCTTGTGCTATGGATAGGCGCTGCCTCTTGAGCTCGTAAATCTCCTGCTTCGCCTGAAAGGATTTCCAACACCCATATTGAATCCAAGCGAACTACCATCCACATTCCCCTCCACATCTCCCTCATCCATAACGGAATCGACTATCATTAATTTTGATGCGGGGATAATCATCTTAGTCGCAATCATGGGCGTTTCATTAGACATCGAGAGAGATGAGAAACACGAGGGATTTTCGAGAGGCCAACAAGCTTGTATCTTTCGTGAGTCGAGGATGGACACCGCCCAGGGGGAATTGTTTCCTGCTTCCTCTCTATGCGATTCCGTCAATAAGGTCGAATGATGACTGCGAGAAGAATGGTGATAACGACCTTACGCAACGGGACGGGTAAAGGCCGGAGTCGGGAAAACGGGCCAGCCACAGCCTGGCAGGTATGCTAGTGGTGTCTGGGCCTGGCTGGCCTAGGCCTTGCCTTGGGGGCCCCCAGGCTTCATGGGATTCCCTCCTAGCTTTGACTTGAAAGCGAGAGTTATTACCACCTCTCTCTCTCTCTCCCTTCATTGTGAACGACCTTGAAAGGACTTCTGATGCCATTGTTCTTTTCCTACGTCCGGGGCGAGCGGTCCACACCATCAACGATTGGGAAGAGAAAGACCCTTTAACGGTGTCTTACGCCCATAGCGAGAACTTTGAGCAACATTTCCCATGAATGTCAATTTCCACGACAGCAGCGTAATTCTTTATTTGTCGGCGGTTCCACGAATCGGGGTCGTGCTCCTTGCCAAGTGAGGAAACTCTTCCCGGGATTGAACGAAACCCTTTCGAGATCGAGAGAGAGGAAGGATTCGGCTGAAGGAAAAGAGGAACGAGAGAGAAGACAAGGGAGAAGGGAAGGCTGAGAAAAGAAGAGTAGATCCAGGAGGGTGAGATTCCAGGCGTTCCATGCATTCCGGGAAAGAACAGGCATGTTCTCTTCCAGTCCCATTCCTGGCTTCTCTTGCCAGATCTATCTCCCTCTCTCTCGCTCTCTACAACGAGCAGACTCGGGAGAGGAAGGACCAGCCGAGCAAGCTGACTTCAGAAGACACTTCGCCCTGCTTATGTCTCTTCCTCTGTTTCGCTCCAGCCCTTCCTCAATTACCTGCTTAGCTACGTGGAACTTGTCTCATCCTAACCGTTCCCTCTTTTACCTATCCACCCGGTGATCCTGATCAAGATGCTCGTATTGAACGAATGCATGTCTTAATTAACCCTGTCTCAGTTAAGAAAAACCTTTTTTTTCCCTCCTTCCCCAACCTCCAAGGCGAGGCGAGTCATATAGGCAAGTCATATTCTGCCTGCCGTAGATCATGACTACGCTCATATGAAGACCACTACGGGTCGGATAAGTAGGGATGCTAAGAAAAAAGTTTTTAAAAAGTCAGGAAAGCGAGTTTACACAAAAAAATGCGCAGGAACTATCATGATCCTACATAGCGTTGATGGAAGTGCGTAGCTGATCTTATCACAATTCGCTGACTCCATATGGATCAGGGTTAACGCAATAAATCACGTCAAAATTTTTCTTTCCCCCTTACGAATACTTCGACAAGACAATGCGATTAAGTTTATCTAATCAGTTGATCTTCCTTTTTCATGTAGTGTTGAAAAGATTAACATGGCGCAATTAGAAAACGGAAGAGTTCGCAAACAGGCAAGGTACAACAGGGTACATTAAAATACTCTCGACTCGACTCGCTCTTGATATACCATCACCCTGATTAGCGATACAAGACTACGATAAACATCTATTGATGACATAACATATTAAGCATGAATAGGCCTATCTGGAATCTGGAATGCAGGTACAGGCACTACAGTTGCAATTCTTGCCCAAGATAAAAGATAAGTCCATGTTGAACCACTAGGATCGATTTAAATGCAGATAAAAGACCATGACTCATGCACTCTACAACAAGCACTTCAAAGGCAAGTAGGATGCATACAAAAGAAAATGAAGGACATGAAGGGAAATTCAGGATGATGAAATTCTTCAACCCTTTCCTGCCCAAACTTTTATTGAGCTGAAAATTTGGTTGGACATTCTATTTAAAGATGGCAAAAGCATTTGGATTGTCTCACATGGGTGCCAACTTTGGACAAAATGCACAACAGATTGAGGCATCATGACTCCAATTGAAATCTACACTGCAAACAATTATTAAATAAAAAGAAGTGATTCAATATAAATCACTGATCTGGAAAAGGGCTGTTAACACCTCAAGTTTTTAGATGGGCAGCGAAGAAGCAGATACAATCACAGCCTTTCTTGCACACATGCAAAAGACTCACCGCCAAGTCTTCCTGTGCGACGATGACGTAGTCCCTGAGCATTTTCTCCTGGAGTTTCCGATATTCAAGGCGAGGATCCTCCAGCTGGGTGGTTTCTTCAAATAAAATGTAGTATGGAGATAAGAGGCTCAGCATAATTTACTTAATGTATAGCAAGAGAAGTCAAGTCTCTTAACCATCAGCAAACACATTAAAAAAAAAACTGAAAGTCAGAGCTCCAAGGGTAGACTGAGTTTTAAATAATGGAATTCCAAACCACAGAAACCACATACGGCTGATATGGTTGATGTAGTAGACTCCCACAGAGGGATGATAAGCTTCCTCCCATCCAAGTGGCAGTTCATTTCCAACACAATCAGAAAAGTTTGCAGGCTTGGTTATTCTAAAAAATAAAAATAAAAACCAATGAAGGCTTTTAAAAGCATGAAGAGTGAACATTCTGTTGCTAAACAAAATGGAAATCAGATTTCTCTCATACTCATGAGAAATAAAACAGATCAGTGATTTATTTCTCATGAGTATCAGTTAGAAGGTGATAAGAACCTGAAAATAATTTTAAAAAAGCATAATGTTGAGAAAATATCTTCAGTACTAAATAGGAATAACCCTTGTTGATCTGAAACATTTGTTAAATCAAGCAACATTACTCTGAAGGAAATTATTGAGTAATTTCCTACAATGACCGGAATCAACAATGCTAGGATGTAAGAAAATAAATTATGAAAAAAAGAAATTCTTCATAACAGAATTATAACTAGACCTCTGGAAAAAAGCATTTGCAAAAAATTAAGTTTGCCATATACATGTATCTGTATCTGTCCACATTGTCATCCTTTCTAATGAAGAACATTACTGAACTACAACTGGGTTTGCTAATGCCTGACAATTACAAAATAGAGTGTGAGGGTATTTAAATTGAAAATATTGAATAGAACACCAAAGTATATAGTTCTAACCAATGAGAGCTATGTACTGTCCAACTAAAACTTAAATGTCTTCACCAAAAATAAATTGAACACTCAGATGCAACTGAACATCCACTCAAGTAAGCAAGTTGGACAATGAGTGCCCCAGAAATAACAAGGACATTTATTCAAAAAGAGGAACAAATCACAAGAATGGATGTTAAAAATTAAATTGGTAGCAACTATTCAAGTATTTGCTCCATTCTCCTGCACATGTGCATTTTTGATTTCAGACCAATCAACAAGTTCTGGAAATGAATTATCATTTGCTTGACTAGATTCAGGACAATCATTTATTATGTATCATATGAGAGTCTGGGGTAGTATTGCAGTTGTACAATTAAAATTATATAGGCTTATCTTGTTATGGGAGCAATGACATTTCACTCTAGTAGAAATGAAGTTGGAGTGCATGGCAAATAATGTCTATGAAGTTCCACCTAAACATAATAAAATATGCTGGATATGCAGCTGGGAACTCAAATGACAAAAAAAATCATTGCAGGCCAAAGACAAACTAAGTTGATGAATCATGCAGAACTAGCACCATTCAGCTCTCACACATGCCAGATGTTTGGTATTGGAAATTCTCCCCCTTCATCTCTGCATTTATAAAAGAATTATGCTTGGTCTATAGAGCAGTCTATAAATATGCCTCTTTTAAAATCAAGTTTGAGTACGAGACTAACAGCTTGGACATAAAACAAACTTTTCCTTTTTTGGTGCTCTTGCAAACTTTTCCTTTTTTGGTGCTCTTGCAAAGGAAATCAAGTTCAAAATCTAAAGGCAGAACTATGTTCATTTCAGCATTTTTGCATTGGCAATGAACTTAGCTGTGTTACATCACTTTTCATATGCTGGGTGTTGTACATAGATGAATTTCGTGATTCTTGCCTAAAATAAAGAGTTGGGAACAATTAGTGCACTAGCAATTTGTGCATCGCAATATATGTTTTTGTACCAGGTGTTGCACATAGATACCCCCCCCCCCCCTCCTCAGCCTAAACTATAAGAGCTAGGAAAAAAAACAATATCATGAGAAAGAGCATTCATTTTCTAATCTAAACATGTACTTCTAGTAATTTGTGTGAAGCTGGACTATATGTCTGACAGCTTTAAGACAAGTGGGGTAAGATGAAAAGAGATGATTAAAGAGTTTGGTGTCATTTTCCATGTCCTTCAGCACTCTGGTGATGTTGCTTTGCAAGGCTTCTCAGGAGAATCCATGCTGCTTGTCCTCCATGTGCATGAGAATTCAATTTGATCTTTCAGGATAACCCCAATGTTCCCAGCCACATTCAGATCAGGAAAGTTTCCAGGCATTCCACATTTCCAAAGAAATCAATCAGAGTCTTTCTGCATTTGCTATGTGGTCAAAGCTTTGAAAAACAGGGCATTATCTGAACGTTTAATCTTTTTCAAAACCCATGAATGGGTAACGAATTCAGCTCTGGCGTCACAAGCTTCTCAAAACGTATTAGCGCAGATGCAATCAATGAATATAAGTTTTTCAATACTATATGACATCAGAAACAATGACTTGGGATTGAACAGAATCAAAATTGAACAAGGATTCCAAATTTATATTTTAAAATTTTCTAGCTCCTATAGTTTGGGCTGTGGAGGGGGGAGGCTATCTCTGTGCAAGATCCGGTATATCTTAAGTTTAGAATGAGCTTCAGTAAAGAACAGGCTATTGTACTACATTATTTACTTGCATATTGAATCTCTCCAGGAAAAACTCATTTTCTACACTGATTAAGGCTACAGAAAGTCCCTGCTGTTTTCAAACTCTTTTACTGCAGTTGTTGCATTTTTGCACTCAAAGGGATATCAGGGTTTTGAAAATTCTGCTGCAAAAGAACGAATGGGCTTTCAGTTTTTTTGTGAATTAATATTAAACATATTCAGGTAACTGAAAAAGTAAACTAAATGAAGTCACCATGTAAAATATCATCTCATGAGTAGTCTAACATAATACGTAAGTTTCAGAAAAATACAACCCATTTACTTCATAAAAGGACTTAAATTACTGCAATGAAAAAGCAACCTATATCAAGGCATAAGGGACTTGCATACTGAAGTAAGCCAATGTATATGTGTGGGTAATACCTACTACTACTCCTTTTGAAACAAAAAAGGTTGCATTCAGGTGCAAGAAAATGGCACAACATAACTAGATAGCAATGTCATTTATATGGTGCATCCAAAGTGAAAATGACATTAGGCCTATAGAACTCATTTTAAATGTGAAATGATTTCATTAGCAAATCAATGTAGGGGTAAGGGGAGACTGTAGCTGGACGGAAGCTGCAAAAATTCAACCCGGTGTGTGTAGGCGCCGTCAACAGTAAGCGTTATGAGTTCGGCACGTGCCATCTACCTTCGAGAATGCGTACTAATCCCGTTCACCAGCACCACACGCCCAATATTTCTATCCTTGGGCCTATGATAGCCTAAGCCAGCTATCTCAACGCCAGGTCTCATCCCTACATAAACCTCATCGAAACGAGAAATTAACTGAACCTCCGCAACTTAGTACCATCACCAAACACTAATGCAGAAGGGAGGGTGACGGAAGCGCCATTGACCGAGGAAGCACGCGGGGAGCGGACACGAGAACTTCAAAAGACCGCACCTATCACGCGGGTCAATCCAAGTCGTCTTCTTGGTGTTGTGATCGATGAAGTAAACCTTGCCATCACAGTCTCGTCCCATCTCCCAACCGGCAGGTAATGGAATCTCGCCATTTCTCCTTGGCATATTTCAGGACACATCACCAACAAAGTCATAGTGGCCTCTCACCAGCCCCTCGCTCGCTCCATCTTGGCTCGCTTATTAACATAGGAATGTGACGTCATGGGTAACCGCACGGTGCAAGCCAATCAGGGGCCAGGATTCTCAGCTCAGGAATGTGGCTCATTATCATAACAATGCGAAAGGTACGTATGCAATGAACGACAGTGCGTTATCAAGGTCTCTCTCGCTACTACATTGTCGCGTTATTTCCCCTCTATATCTAGCTCGTCGTCCCATATGAACAGTAGGCCAACTTATTCGTATAACCTCGTCTCTACGGTCCATGACACATGAGCATGACGATCAAGAATTCTTGCTTGGTGTGACACAGGAGTACTCAGTGGTCTCTGCAATCGTTATTATCTAAATGATTGTAAAGTTCCACCATAACGGTTCAAATTCTGTCCGATCCCATGACCTATCCATTAAAACTCTTCTGCTGAAGCATCATCCATATCAATCACATTTCTCTTCTGCCATCAGGAAGCAGAGGCATTGTAGGGCTGTTTTCTTCTTCCCCTCCCCCCTTCCCTTCCCCCCCAAGAAAACAGGATTTGAAGAATGAGAAAATGGGGTCTCTGTGAGGTCTCCACTACCTCATCGTTATAATCATTTCCGAATACTATCATGTATGCATCGCCCTACAACTAAAACTAATATAAGTTCCAATGCTATGCGTGCCAGATAATACCCGAAAATCTACTCGGGTAAGTACCTATATTACTCGAAAAGCTTCGTAAGCCCTATGGGGCGTACGCAAGGACGTATTCCCGATGGTGACATTGGCATTTTTAGAACGGAACTTTAATCAGAGTTCAAAGTGGGAAGTGCAATCAATCGACATACAAATCCTTCCGTGACGAAATCAATTTATTGTAGACGTTTTGATTATGCATACATTTGTTCTAATTCCCATTTCTGTATGCCAGTTTAATAATCATGATAAAATTCGAACTGTACACAGATTTAGCAAATACGGGACCCTTTCTGATGAATGGCTGACAATTTATTCTCTGCAGTCCTACCAAACTGTAAAGAAAGGGTCCTTGACGCCGGTGTAGATAATGTCCCCTGTAGTATGCAATGAAAGTATTTTTGAGCAGTATATGTATCAAGAGACTCTCCATTGTAATCGCTCGCTGAGGTTCTGAATGGTATGGCTGCAGGTAACTTGTCTTCCATAAATTCCACAGCTTCTTTCTCTTTGGAATTATATAAGTACGAATTCAGGGTCGCTCGAAGTCCAAACACGACGGAACGCATTAGCTCGAGAATCCTTGACTTGTCTGTTGGTGCACTCTGCCTTCTTCATGCTGATGCATCAATGTCTAATCGCTGCCAAGAGATGTCAGACAAATCGATAAGGTGCGTAGCAGAAAACATTTGGCGTCACGCATATTGAACATGGCGCCGTACTGTGGCAGGTGATAAGTCCAGTAAAATTGGGTCACGTTTGCGTTTTAACCTCAGACATTTTATCATCTTACGGCTCCCAGTGCAAAGTACCAAGACTGCTTGGTTCATATTGTGGGTTTGTCGCTTCATTGGCGAGGCGCATACTCTGGCGCTTAGGAAGAATGGGGCAAACGCTATCGGAGCCGATAACAGCTAAGGAGACGGCATGTGTGGAAAACGGCCGATTCAAAGTCGGTTCATCCTCGATGCAGGGATGGCGAGTTACAATGGAAGACGCCCACACTCATATTTTATCCCTTCCCGATGACCCTTCTACTGCATTTTTTGGAGTGTATGATGGACACGGGGGTGAGTTCTATCGATATATTTGACGTTAACTCCTTGGCTTATACGGTAGTGACCAGTCGTCCCGGTTTTTCAGACTATGTCCCGGCTTGAATTTTCCTTTCCATCATAGTGCCCCAGTTTTTTCCCATTGCAGGGACTAACATTCTGGGATTTGCTTGAAAATTTGCCAGTTTTTCCTAGAAAAAATATGGTAACCTTAACATATTGGAGTGGAAGTGACTAGTCCATAGCGTTAGATAGTTAGATAGTCCATAGTTTTCCTAGAGTGTTTTTGGATTGACTCCTACCCACATACCCCAGTGATAGCTCATGGATGAAACAACTGAGGAAGCCAGCTCTTCCTTTTCAATAAGCAAGTGGTTTAGGCTGGCTTTGCTGTTAGATGATTAGCTGGCTGGTGGGAAAAAAAAGGTTGATTGTGAGATCACTTTATATTGGTGACATATATTGATGCAAAATCATCCAAAAGACACTTCCATTAAATAATAGATGGAATTTCATTTAGTCCAAGGAGGAAAAATCAATCTGGCAACTTCCTCCATTTTTTTGTTTTTAAAGTTCACTGAAGCAGAATTGCATCTTAGTCACTGAACACATAATGTATTCAAGGGCTTTTTCACTCTTGACATCTGTGCCAATATTAACAAAGTTTTCATTTGGATGCTGGAACAGCTCTTTTCTCCATGCAAAGGAACCTGCAGGTGCAAAGGTTTTTGCTGGGCAGGCACTCCCTCATGCAATGCCTACTGTTTTAGGACTGAATAGGTATCTTCTGCCCCCCCCCCCCCTCCTTAAGAGTACTTTCATCAAGTGCAGGTAGGGAACCTTTAAGATGGAGGGTTAAGTATTATTTAAATCTTATGAGGGTCTGATTCTGAATCTATGGAGTCCTGCACAGTTGCCTGGGCTTGAATCCTTGGCTTATGATTAATGCAAATTCAGATCTGGCCACTCTCATTACTGTACAGAGCATGATAAGTATGATGGTTTCAATTATTACTCCCTTGCATACTAGGCTTGGGACGAGATGGGTACTGCAATGAGAATTTTGCATGCAAAGGATTGCATCTCCTCTTGAATTGTCATTTTCAGGGACATCCAGTTCCTGTTGGTTGATAGGAGAGTCATAGGTGCCAACTTCTTAAAGGTATTAGGAGGGCAAAGTTCTAATGCCCTTTAAATAGTTTGAACTGAATCATTCTGTGATTCAGGGGAATGACTTATTGCTAGGTGAGTGACAACCAGGCAGGTATGTAGCTGGAGTAAGAGAGGATCGAGAATTCAATGAGAATTTTAAGGGTTAGGAGCCTAAAAGTCACAGTCACCCAATTGCCCACCCCAACAACACAGGCCATGGGGGGTTATTATAGGCCAAGGGGGATGCTTGAACCCCCTGCCCCCCACCTATGTGAGAAGAGTCAGCCAATAAAGAAAGTAGAACAAAGAATGTTAGAATGCTGATGAGTAAGAGAGATATGAGTGCAAGAAACTTAGGTTTTTTCAAAAGGACAGGTAATGGGGAAATAGGAAATAATGGAGGCTAGCTGGAGTCACTGAAATAGAAACTGAGAGTATCACACCTGCAAGTGGAAACCTTTTTTTCTCATCTCTCTTGTGTGTGCAGTAACAGGTCCTCTCCCTGCAAGAGTGGTGTAATTTGATGGAATCAAAGAATGATTATTGCATGACTACAAAGGCAACATTACAAAGATTTAAGTAAAAGTAGTACCCTACAGTACTATATCAATAATCATTACCTTTAATAAGTAGTAAGCTGAGCTGGCATCTGAGACCTCCATAATATTCTTCCCTGATTATCCAACAGGAGCAAAAATAGCCATGTATGCAGGAAAACATCTGCACAAGTACATCATCTCCAGGTCAGAGTATAAGCGCAGGAGCATAGAAGAATCTATTAAGCAGGTAAGTGAATACCTGCTTGTAGAATCAAATGCCTGTCTCGATTGCAATGAGCTGCCTGCAAAAGGTTTTCAAAAACTCTGATTTTTCCTATGATGGCATTTAGGTCAATAGTGTATTTCTCTCTTTTCCCATCAGGGTTTCCTGGACTGTGATCAGGCAATGACACAAGATGCTAATCTCAAAGATGATGGATGTGGAACCACAGCAGTCACAGTGCTTATACAAGGCAATACACTCTACTGTGTGAGGAGGTCCTTCAATCTTGTTTTTTTTTTTTGGTTTCTTCCATGACTGCACCTTGGTCTGAGCACTTCATGGACCTAGAATTGATATCAGGCTATAGTTGGTCATGTCTTCTTCAAACATTAATGCAATTTTCTGAACCACTTGCAGGGAAATGTTGGAGATTCAAGAGCTGTTGCCAGTATCAATGGGAGGGCAGAAGATCTGTCTGTTGATCACAAGCCCAACAATGATATGGAATTCAGAAGGATTACAGCTGCTGGAGGATTTGTTGAACTAAATAGGGTCAATGGAAATCTGGCTCTTTCAAGGGCATTAGGTGATTATGCATACAAGAGAAGTGAAGGTAAACCTCCTGAGCAACAAATAGTTACAGGTATGAAGCCACTGTGATTCATGAGTTAATATTAATTAATAATCCAGAGTTTCTCTTTATTTTCTCATACAATATTTGTTCTAGATATGATGTAGATATATTACATAGGCTTACTATTTAAAAAGAAAAAACAACAGATCCATGTAAAGAGGAAAATTAAGTATAGTGTGGCCATGATATTGGATGTGATTGAAATTTTTCTTGTGATAATAATAGGCCACTCTAGACAATGGTATATAATATAATGGTTCTCATTTCTTAACATAATCTCCTCATATACATTTCACAGGTTTTCAGCCAGCCTTGAGAGGTTTCTGTAAAGAACTTTTTACAGGGTATGTTTTATCCACTGGTACAAGGTGAACAACTTCTATGTCTCATGCCTCAAAGTTGATCCCTTGAGCTTGGGGAACAAGCAGAAGTTGCTGAGGGCTAAGTCGCATAAGGCGCATGGGGTAGCAGTTTGATGTCCTTTTCCTCCAAGAATTCATGGAGATTCCATTGCATTGTTATGGTGTAGGATGAAGGGAATGACTGCCCACTCTGTTCTTTTGCAATTGTTAACGGGCTTTTTGCAAACGATGTCTAGGAGAGTTTCCCTAATGACCATAGTCCTTTTTGGCATGGCATAGGCTACAAGAACACCTTTGGAATCCAAAATACCATGCACATGATCTTGTCTGCTGATGCGGCCACCTTAGATTTTCTTGGAAGTGGTGACCCTTGGTTCTTCCATTAAGCTGAAAAGTGTCATGTATCAGAGTTTTAGGGAGGTACACATGTTTAATTCATTGTGACAATCCTTGACTGGAACATATCACAACCTCAGGAAAAATGAGGTATAAACTGTCAACAAACATCCACTTGTAGAGCAATCTGGTCTGCTGTGAATTGCCTTGGAACCCATCAAGATTAAACCTTTTCCATTTGGGGCTTATCAGTCGAACTTGTGAGGATGCCCTAGAGAAATGCATAATTATTTGGCTATTTTATTGACTGATTTGCTTCTGTCTTCCATCGCAAGCCCATCCATAAGGCCACATTGTCACATGTTGCTTTCAACAGCTTTTATCTGCTGGGGTCATCTTCAAACTCAATAAGTTCTCCACTATCATGGAAAGCTCTAACTCATCTTCTTGTAGGATCTAATGGGAAAGTATCATCTCAAACTTCACTCAGTAGCATGAATGCTTGCCACTTCATCCTATGCAGTGTCAAAAAAACTTGATGGTTGCTTACTCGACTTCATTTATAAAAAAGCTGGCATCTTCAAGCAGTTCTACAAACAGACTGAACAAAATGTGTAGCTGCAAATTCTTTCTTCAACAAGTTCAGGCTTGTAACACTTTGCCTTATAGGTAGAAATTTCATGAAAATAATTAAGTTCCAGCTTGTATTGGTTTGGCTTTTAATGGCAGTAATGTTATCAGTACTTTTTAAATGCATTTCATTCAAGAAAGGCTGTGAGGTTTTCTTATTCAAAATTCTGCCAGTAGCATTAATAGGTCATATACATGGATGTATACACATCCAGTTCCATTTTCCTTCAATACTTCCAGAGGGCTAAGATTTTATGCAATGGCCATATCCATGGACCTTGAGATTGAGCATAGTGGCTGTGCTGAAGTGTCAACGAAGGTGCAGCACACTGACATTATGTCAGCCTTTTACTTTTACTTTTAGAGAGGCTTGTGATGCCAAAATGACATAATGAGCCATTTCATTGAAGATTGCCATGCCTTCTCTGGTTCATTCAGCTTTGAACAGCCAAATTGCAAAATCACAAAACCTGTTCAGTGGAAAGAAGCACCATAAAAGGGCTATTAAAGTTGGCTACTGTGATCTTGTAGTCTCTCACATCTTGTCTTGCCACAGGGGGCATCAATCTTTGGCACCATGTACAGAGTTTCTCAGTCCCTGTAATTGATCAATTATTTAAAAAAAAAATTCATGGTACTTGCATGTATTTATTTATTTATTATCAGCCCAATTAAATTAAATTTTATTTTTTTTACTTTATCTTGTTATTCCAAAGAGTGACAGTCAGCTCTTGATATATCACCACCCTTGCTCATTGCTGACTTTTCTGAAAATAAATATTCCCCTTAAGCTTGTAATAGGTGATTTCACATTATAATGCTAGCCTCACAAACTTCCATCTGCCACTGCCATTTTTTTGTGCAGACATGCTTTTCTCATATAAAGCCTCCTTGATTTTGTGCCAAGGAGAATGTCTGCTGCAACCCTCAGCAAATACTTAATCTAGCTACAAATTTGTTACCACTCCGAGAAGTGACTCATACCCATGGAATGGATAGTGCATAGGACAGGTGTGAAGTATAGGAGGGGATTAAGGATGGTAATATTAGCTTCACTTCCATTTAGTCAAATTTTCCATGGAATTTTTGAGTATTGTATCCTCTAGTGTCCTGCGGTTAATTCAATATAGCACCACTTGCATTAATGTGCCAAAATTGTTTACAACAAGACTGGCATTATATTGAGTGTTGACTGTACTCTATTTCAAATGTCACTCAGGAATAGTTTATAGAATCAGCTATTGGATAGTAATGAATAGAAATGAAGAATGATTCTTCTGGATTAATTCAAGTGGAAGTCAAGAGTATAGAGTACTGTGGAAGAGAAAAAGAAACTTTACCTTAAATCTATTTAATGTACCTATATTCACAATAATATAAATGAGACTGTATTGTTGCTACAGTCTATGCAATGGTTATTGTGGACTTGCCAATGAATTAGATGGAACATATATAGGGTTGAACATATAGGGTTGCTACAGAGTCTTGATGGATGATATATTTTCTTGTGGTAATTCATGGCAACCAAACTAATGAGTAATGTCAATACAGAGCCCTGTCAGATTTGTTTGGATACCCACCAAAGTTATGAAATATTTGCAGTCACAGTTACTTTGTACATAAATATGTTGAAGCATGAAAGGATAAAAAATGAATGGCCTACATGGCACTTACATGTATAGACACAATCTGGAGTCTTCTTTCTTCATCTTAGTTTCCATGTTATCTATATTACTTTGAATAGGGTGCTCAAATTATTCTGGCAAGGCTCCATCTGGGCTGGGGAGTCTGTGGGGCTTTTTGTGATTGCCAACATGCAAGCCATTAGTGCTACTTGGATTGTCCTATTCAGGATTAAAATATGTGTTAACTGTTATGTAAAAATATGATTTCAATTTTTTTAATGTGCCTAATTCATGACTAAGGTGGAAAGGGTGGAGGTTGGGGAAAGTCAAGAAACTTTCCTGTTAGTTGCAGGAGGAAAAATTAGGACAGGGCAAATATAAACTTTGCTCTTTGTCCCCTCCAACACCACTGCCTGCCATCAACATGGTTAGTCTTACCACTGTTGTGTGCCAAGTTCAGGTCAGAATCAGCTTGTTGGTTGAAGCTGTGGCACATGGAGTTGGTTTTGTAAGTAGCTGTTGGATCTCCTCTGCCATCAGCAATTTTAGTGAAATATTAAAGTGCAAAAGAATTTTCTTAAGATGTTTCCTTAGTCTGCAGTTTCCATAACCTCCTAGCCTCCCTTGCATATATGTTTATGAATAGTTGTTTTGTATAGTATAGTATGAGCACCTGAAAATATTGAAATTCATCTGGACTTCATAATCATTCTGTAAATATACATAAAAACCTCCCTCATATGGACTCTTCAAACGTTTGATGATATATTTTTTATTTGCCAGTACCCGTGAAGCATCAAAAATTATTGCAGGTATGTTGGGTGGGATCAGATGATTAACAGTAATCACAAAGCTGTCATTATGTCATCCCAGTGACTTTTTTCTAGGTTTCCTCAGAGATGCCCAATGTTAATGTCAGATGACATGGCTGAAATCTCTGACCTGTGACTATGCAAGAGCTTTATATTTATGTACTCAGAAGGTTCAGTAGGTCATTCTTCATTAAACACAGGTAGGTAAAACACAGGAATGTGAAAGCTATTTTTGCTTTTAGAGGTTGGCAATGAAAGCCATTTTACAGTTTGTCTTTTGAACAAAATGCAAAAATTTGGTAGAATCATATTTTATGTTCTTTATACAGTGTGTTCCATTTAAAACACAACCCAACAAAAATCTCATACTATGGTACAAAAGTGAAGTCTTGTCCTGTCTTGTCTTCAAGAAGGTGGTGGACATTTTCAGCATCTGCTGTGAAGCTGTTCTGTATGTTCCTGTAATATTCATCCCAACATATAAAAACTATCAAGCAACTTGTTGGTCTTGTTTTATTGCTGTTGTACTTTGGGTTGCGTTTTAAATGGAACACCCTGTACTTTGCAAAAATGCAAAGCAATATTAAGGGATTGACTATAATATAATTTAATAATAGCAAGCAATTTTGTCATGCACAGTTGAACTTGTTGAAGTTGTCCGCTTGAATCAAATAAGAAGAGTTAGGAATGATATGATGACAGCATTATCTTCTCCATTGCATGTAGTGAGGGAACTTTTGCACGGTACTTTGTCTTTCCTTTAGCAGTTTTAGGGAGGAAATTTTGAGTGAATGAAATTTCAATAAATCATTGAAGCAACCTGCAGTTAGTTATATTGTTATTTATTATTGATTAATAACACCAGAGTAAAGATTTCAAGCTTCAGCAAATTAACCTTTATTGCATGGATTTAAGTCTCCCATGTAAGTGCTGGCAGCCTGAATATTTCTGCCCATCTCATAAACACTCACTAGTTGAGTAGTGCAACTGTTCGAAAAAGTAAACTGTTGACAGTGAAGCCATTATTGACATTGTATCAGAACATTTTTCCAAAAAGTTGCAGTACCACATTTGTACCCTTAAGCTATGGAAAATTGCATTCTGTGGGACAGCAGTGGTCCCTTTCATCTGATGAATGATGAAAATGATGTTAATAAAATTCTTACCTTGACAATGGTGAGTTCCTTCTTAGGGACACTAATCGCAGTCCCCATGTGATCTTGAGTTCTGCTCAAGCTCTCTATATTATACCTTATAATCTTGCAATCTTACAACAAAGCTATGAAAATTGCATTTTTGTGCCATCCAATATGAAGCATCACTATATATAGCATTGTATGCCTTGTATCCTAATTTCTTGCATTTATCCAGAAATGTCCTGTATCCTCTCCATAGCATTACCAGACGTGGTGGTCAGAGAAGTTACAGGAGATTGGGAATTCATCATTCTGGCCTGTGATGGAATCTGGGATGTACTCACTAGTCAGGTAACCTTCTGTGAAAAGTCCTCTTTTTTAGTGGACCTCCTTTCCTGAAAGGATAGAGACCACTTATGGTCCCATCCTGTCAGTGTGTCACACTTTAGTTGTCTGACGATAACTAAGAAAATATTGGCCTGACCAATGCAAAAATTGGCAAGCAGGAAGATATTAACGAGATACAGGCTGAGTTTGTTTGGTGGAGAATTAACACCAAAATTGGCATTTTTACTGAAAATTTTGAATTTGAAATTTGGTCACAGAGGGGAAGGCATGAATACCTGCAAGCCCCTCAGGATCTGGATCACAATGCACATGCGCATATGATCTAGACCTTTGGCATGATGCAGTGTCATGTCAGCAACTAGAGCTTGCAGTTCCCTACCAACTTTTGTGGTGGATAGTTCCAAGCACGCGCAACCTTCCATCCTCCCATTGTCATTTCGTGGGCACCATGGGTAGATTTTCAAATGTACCTGGTAACTGAAAAATAATGTTTTTGATGGCTGAGGAAAGAGATGGCATTTTGTTCAATTAGATGACAAATTGCTAGTCTTTTTAAATGAAAGGAGGTCCACTATTGGACTGGGCTTGCCCATCTTTTTTTTTTTACAATTAGGTATAATTTCTGACATCAACAGTGTATGATTTTCTCCATTATTTTTGTCCAGGAGACAGTGAACTTTGTGCGAAGGAAGATTGGTCTGGGTTTGGAGCCAGAGGAGGTGTGCGAAGCCCTGCTAGACAGGTGTCTGGCCCCAGACTGTCAAATGGGTGGAATTGGCTGTGACAACATGACAGCTGTGCTAGTCTGCTTCCTTCATGGTGGAAAATATGATAATCTGGTACGCAAATGCGCTGGGATCCGCCTTGCCAAAACTGAGGAAGTGAAGAGTACAAATCACATGAGCATTAATCCTAACAATAGTAACCCTGGCTCTCCAACCTCACCGTCACCATCATCGTCAAGTGGACAAGCTTCTCCCCCCTCACCTGATTCAGCTGCCTACCCTTCACCTCCTCATTGATAGAACCTTGTTCCCTGTGGCTGTGATACTCTCTTTCCTCCCCTTTTGTCTCATCAATATAAGATGACTTGTTTCCAATGCCCATTATGAGGAAACTCATCTGGAGTGTTCCTTGCTGTCCTGCCAGTCACCTACTTCATTCCCAGTCAGTCCAATTTGCAAAAGCGTTAGGATATTATATGAACAAAAAGCATACTTTTTATCATTAGGAGAGAATACATGAGCTATTTTGTTTGCTTGCATTCTGCAGTAGTGATGAGAATAACTGTCACAGTCCTAGAATAAAGAGGACTAATGCCAGAGACTTCTACCTTTCATGCTATCATCATTATCTTCAGAGCAACACACTCTTAGTCCTGTAATTCTTGAAAACCCTGACATCCTTTCCTGTCTGTGTGCCAGATGTTGCGATTGCTTCAGATGACACTTCCATACAGTATATAATTTTTCTGAGAATATGACAATTTTACCTACAAGTGGAAATGGAAGTGAATAGGATCATCTGTGAAGATTGGCTCAGATTGAAGGAGCATTGTGAAGAAACCAGAGAGAGGTATAAGGAACAGCTAAGAAAGATCTTTACTAGATATTCTCCTAGGGATATGAAACTAATCAGTAGTCTCCAATAAACATACAACACTTCCTCCCTCCCACACGAGTCAACCCTGTTTGTAAGTTCTATTCCTGATCCACTCTCCCATGTCTTTACCCTTTAAGGGCCTTTAACCCTAGAACTGCCAACCGTCGATAAAAATCGACGTTGGTAGGCCGCCGTAATGCTTCTGGCAGTTCCAGGGTTAAAGGGGCTAAGTTTTTTGGAGGCTTCTTAAATGCGCAAAGGCATTTTTATCTGATTTTTTAAATATCCTTCTGAAACCCCTCAAATCAGATGTTTTCAAAACATTAGACTAATTGAGACTTCCAAACATATGAGCGTACCTTCTCTAGAATGACTAACCGGACACCCTAACATTTCCATTTCTGTGTTTGAAGTGTTATCAAACCGTAGCCGAAGCGAAGCAAGAGGCTTGGAAGAAATTCAGCCAACATGGAATCTAACAGCTGCAGTGTTAATAATTTGTACTGGCAAACCATCCGAAGGCTCCGGCAAGGCAGGTACAATACTCTCCGGGTTATGAGAGACCGAAACGGGAGGATCTTAGCTGCCGAAACGGAAATACTTCGAAGGTGGAAGAAACATATTGAAGATCTCTTAAACCCACCCACAGCGGGCTATCGTATACCCTACTCAGGAGCCTATCTGCGTGGAGAATAGTCACCATGGAAGTGTTGTAAGCTATAGCTAGCTTGAAGAATGGAAAGTCTCCTGGCGTGAATGAAAACCGGATAGAAGTAATGGGTATTGATGGGTGTTTGTTTGTGGTTCCATCCCAACCTCCCACCGACGGCACATTATGGATTCATTACAAGTTCCTTGGGAGGGGGGAAGGGAGGATTTGCTGATGAAAATTTTGGGGTGCGAACTTGATGCTGTCTTTGGCCTTTGACTTACGCTGTGTGGAAAAAATGGATTTATTCATATTTTTTTCACACTTGCTGAGCTCAAATCTCGCGGCTCACCTAAGCTTTGCAGATGACACACCGGTTAGGAAACACTGACGTAGGGTATGTCAAACCGCATAGGAATCAAAGACGGCGCCTTTGAACTGGCTGACCGGTGTTGTGTTTCCTCATTTTCAAGAACGGGGACTCGAGGAGTTGCACCAGTTACAGTAGAAGAGCTCTTTCCAGTATACCTGGTAAAACTCTGTCAGGGTGTTGGAAAAGAATGCTCGAGCAGTGGTTGAAGAGGCCATCCAAGAAGAGTAGTGTAAATTTCGAGAAAGAAGCAGCACCACAGGCCACCGCTTCACTCTAGACCAGATTCTCGAGGAAGATTTTCAAATGGGAAGGGATTTCGGACTGGTACGTTTACCCTCGGGGAGAGGTGGGGGGCATTAACACGAAATTTGGTGAGTTGAAAGGGCGAACAGCAACAAAATAGGGTTGAGGGTAAGGGTGGCTGTCACAAGCCAAACGGGGGAGGCTTGAACCCCCAAATTCCCCCACCCCCTCCTAAGACGCGATCGAGAAGCATTTGAAGTAGCCTATGCCAGAGTGTTTTACATGTGTTTTCTATAATAGATCTCAGAAAGGCGTGCTACCGTGCGATTCAAGGGAAGCAGCGGGGAGTGCTGCAGGATTATGGAATCAACGGTCAGCTACTGCGGGTCATTCAGTCCTTATACAGTGATTGCCCTCGAGTGACCGAAATGAACGAAAGACTTTTCCTTGGTACGAATTGGGCTTCTCCAGGGTTGCGTTCTCTCTTCTTTCATGTTCCCAGTCTACATGGATATGATCTGTACACTGTAAAAAATAAAAGTTCTGGAGTGAAAATTTTATATCAATAGAACCATTTTCGTAGATAAGATGAAACTGATTCCTGGTGCTACTACGATCTGAGGGCGTTGACAGGGCAGAACATGAACGCTACTCCCTACGATCGCTCCAACCAGTAACTATTACCCAGATTTAGTGGAAAACGGTTATACTCTGTAAAATTGAGGGTTCGGATTGGAACCATATTTGGTGAAACTTTTGTAGAACCATTTACTCGGAATCAAGCCTATACGAGCTGAAATTGGTTAATTCCTGGAGTTATTATGATCTGAGGGCTTTGACACGGCAGATAATGCTACGATCTGCGATATTCATATGATCGCTCCCACGAGTGGTATTAAGCAAAGATCGTGAAAAATGGTTCTAGGGATCGCAAAACAGAGTCGTGCCGAGCACTATCCTTAATACTCTTCAAGAGCTACCAAGTTATTAGGCGTCATTATGTCGAATAGTTTTTGAAGTGAGCTTAAAATCATAGCAAACTGTTTCTCGATTACCGGAAACCGCTCTGAAAGCGTACAAGCATCTAAGGGTTCTAGGAAATCTTCAAGAAAGATGGACAGCTATCAGGAGATTTGGAAAAAAGAGGGGCGGGAGATCATATATATATGCAGACACTTGGATACAATACTTTAGAGAATTGCTATGGAAAGAGAACCAAGATATGGACATTGATACGAACCTGGAGACAGAAAGGGGGGAGCTACTGGTGCAAGAGC